TTGTACCCCCCAATGTCGCCCGTTCGACGCAGCTCGTCGATCGTCGAGTATTGCTTTAACTCTTTAAAATTAAAAGAATTAGGGTCGAGGCGTGTGGGGCGGGCGCGAGATGAAAGGGAGAACGAGTTTTCTTTCGCGCGGAGACGCGCGCGCGAAGAATTCGATGTCGAAACTATACGCCGACTATGGTGTATATAGTTGGCGTTTCTCGCGTGGAAGTTGCGATGCAAATCGTACGTACGCGCGTGTTTCGTGAAATCGGTACTTTACGTGTGTATATGTGTATGTGTGCGCCTCCTGCGCGCAGTGGGCACCGTAAGTAGCCAATTATACTGTGCCACGCGACGCACGTCCACGGCATATACACATGCAAATCTTCCGGCGACGTCCGTCGCGCTTGGAACGCATCGACCGACGTAACGCGCCGTGGAAACAGTACGCTTCTGGTCCATTAGGATGAATGAGAGAGGGATCGGATATATGCATAGATTGCACGACGCGGCGTATTGTCGCGTGGCATGGACCAAGCTGATTTGCAGCGTCTCGATGGAAGGCGCATTTCAGAGTTCTCTCGAACGTAGAAATTTCTCTTTAGAATATTCTCTTGAGGATTTCCATTAAGGATACTCAATTTCAGGGAGAATCATTAGACGAGAGAGGAGTTTCAACTTAAGCAAATATGTATAAAAAATATATATATATATATTTATATATTAAAAAGTTGTAATTATATTTATCGTTTTTAATATTATACTATAAAATGATCGTTTACTTAGATTTATTCTTCACATAATTGCTTTTTGAATAAATTGCTTTTTGAATGTATAATTATAAAACGAAGCAAACAGATTCCGAAAAGATATTTTTATTTTACGTTATATTATTTTATTTTTATTCTTTTTTTTTATCAGCGCTAGACTGCATGTTATTTAAAATTTCTCGTAGTTTATTTTAAGTTACAACAGCAGTTTGTCAGGCAGACAAAAATTTCAACGTTTCGAAAAATTAGAAGGAAGCTTGAAAACTGTACCTCGCGTATCTGAATAATCATCTCTTAATTGCGAAGAAATGGAATCTCTGCCCGCGACTCGCCCGATTGTAATATCATATTTTTTTCTTTTTCAACGGCCGCGCGCGCTCCGCAAATTTCCCCGAGAAAGCTTTAAAGAGGCCCGTGTTTAGCTTCTGCTCTAAATAGAACGTAATCAAAAGCGATCGATGCTACGCCAGTTCGGGCGCCCTCGCTTTACCTGGACCTAACGTAAACGGTCCAGTCTAATCGATAGCGTCCCGAACTTTGACCCTGGACACATCTGTGCCCCATACAGAGACAGCTCTCCGCTCCTCTCTCTGTTTCCCTACCTCGTCCCCCTTCGTTCAGGAACTGCTGCCCTGTTCCGCGATCGAGACTGGTTTTTCGGCGCGCGATGCCGTGCGTGTGCCCTTACATCGCGCAAGCGGCGTCGGCGACGTCGGCGGCGGCGTCGGCGGCGGTTCACGGCACCATCCCGCGCGATCAATATCAGCGCAAACGACGGCCACGACTACGATCAACGAGGGTGACTACGACGATGACGAGGACAAGAAAGAGCGAGCGAGAGGGAGGGAAGGAAGGGAAAATGTGTGAGTGAGAGAGAGAGAGAAAGAGAAAAATCATCACACACAACAAGCGCATGGTGCAATGCATATATGCGGTATATATGTACACGTACACGCGTGCACATACAGGTGGTGTACGTGTGAGTGTGTACATGTGTATGTGTATGTTTGTGCCAATGTGTCGACGTTGCGCCCGTTGGGAGGAGAGGGGGGAGGCCAAGTGGGGACGTTGCCAGGCGACGGAAGCTGCCTGCCAGCCTGCCGCCGCGCGAGTTCATCGTCCTCCGCTCGCGCGCTCCTCCCTTTGCGCCTGCACCGATCCGGCTAGCCACCCTTCGTCCACTTCTTTCGGCTCCTCCGCGCGCGCGCGCGCGCGCGAGCGAGCGAACGAGCGAGCGAGCGAGCGTTTCAGGCGACCCCGCCCCGTGCGAATTCGCTCTTCTCGTTAACGTTCTCATGAATTGGAATCGAAGATGCGAAGTACGTATCTCGCCGCGCGTTTGGGACGTAACGGGGACGGCCGTTGTTTTCGGCGTACCGAGGATGGAGGTATGAAGGGTGCCCTCTCGATGCGACCCTTGTGGATTTCAATAGATTATGTATAGGGTGGCCCATTGAAAATACAAAGCTCTCTCTCTCTCTCTCTCCTCGGAAATTATCGGAGATAACGATAAGATCTCTGGTATCTTAAGTATCGTTAAAGAATCTTCGTATTTATTAGAAGTTTATTGTTAGAGGACTTCCAATAATAAATTAATAATATTGAAATATAATTGCTCTCTGGACATGTCATAAAAATTTGAATGAAGGCTGTAAGAAATTTCCGTGAAACATGATGTAATAGGGATGTGCCCCAGTACGTCGAGAAGAGTACGTATTGCGGAATTGTTCTTCCCTGTTGTCGTCGTCGTTATCATCAAGCTCCAAATCGATCGAGCCTGTGTCGTCCTCTCGAAAAACGCGAGAAATTCCGATAAATAACAACATGATGTAATAGGGATGCCGGCCGGCGCATTTTATATCGAGGGCAATGGGCGTTCAGCGCGAACCCGACCCCGCCCCGACCTCACCTTCGTTATTATATCGTTATCATAGCGGAATCAAACATGTAACACGGATAAATAATAAACGTGACGTAACAGGAACGCAAATGTGCCGGAATGAGGGCGAGCTGGCGCGCGGGGCAAACGTCTGCGTCCTGCAAACCCCGCCCTGCGACTACTTTCCGCTACCGATTCGCTGTAGATTAAAATCGAAAAAGCGGCTTAATTTAAAATAACGTGAGAGCCGCGATGAAAGTCGGGATAGATCGGCGCCGATCTCCAATGGCGCGCATATCTCGCGAAAGGTTTCGTGTCGCGAAACATTTTCCAGCTCGTGGATATCGGAGGCCAGTAATTGACAAAAATTTCGAAAAAGGAAAAAGTTGTCGATCAATCAAGGGAGCGAGAGACTCGGTAAAAGGATGACTCATTCGGGCCAGAGCTCACGCCGCCACCGTTGCGAGCATTCATTCGGCCGCGCGCCGGCCCCCGTACAGCTGACAAACGCGTATTATGCGCGGCTATATGCCAGCCCTCATCGATCTCGCCGCCGTGTGCCCGACCGAAGGGGTTAAAACTGGAGCAATGGATCTCCCGCTCTACGTACGTTGCCTCCTCCTCGGCGGTGTCGACGGACCCATGCGGATCCGCGTGCGGCTCTGTGCTAAACGCCGCTTTCTCTAGCTCTAAAACTTCACGCAGCATTGCGGTCCTTCTCTCGTTTACCTTTCCTTTCCTTTTTTTTCCTTTTTTTCGTACACCCGACCGCGGCACGGTAATTGGCCCCCGCCGCGCATCCGTGCTCCTTTTGTTCGTTCGTTCATTCGTTTCGCGTTCGCTCTTCCGAGCTCTCGTTTCGCCGCTTTTCCGTATCTCTCACGTCGTGCTCACACGCGTCTCTTAATCCCTTTTTATTTTCTGTTTTCCCTCCCGCGCGCGCCTCTATACGAACTTCCGTGTGATTTGCTGTTCCGTTTCATTTCCATCCCGGCGAGCCGGTTTTCGGGGCGAGACCGTTACTGTACTTGGAGCGAATCCGCTCCTCTCGTTTGACTTTGACTGGGGAGGTGCCTACCCTCCGGTGCATTACGAGCACGAGGCACTTGATCCACATGGCAAATTGTGCGAGCGAGAAGTATTACTTACGCTCAAGAAATCTCACCTGGCAGGTTTAACGACACTCGCACTAATCTGATGATAAAATGACACTGCGCTAATTACCGTTAATTTATATTACACTGGCGTGTCAACAAATTGTATGAAAAATATATTTATTGCAAGTAATAAGTAAACTTAAAACTTATCTTTTTCGAATTTATAAGCTGGAGCAGTAATAGTATTTATTTTATTTTCTCGCGTTTATTTTAAGTTTCTCGCGTCGCAGTTTCTTTCCCAGTAATAGCAGAGTAATGAATTTAAAATCGATTTTATGTCAATTTGTCAGCAAATTATGAAACTATTTCTTGTCAAAAGTTAATCTCAAACACAAATCTCGTTTAACAAATTAAATTTCAACTATATGAGTACTTGATATAAAATTTTGTTTTTCAGTTAATTTAGGAAGAGTACTTCAGAAATTTTATATAAAATTAATGACTAATTGAATGTTAATATTGAAACGTTTGTGCCATCCCTAAAAATATCAAGTCAAGTTATCGTGAAAAAAAAAACACATCAAGAATTTTTGTCGGTCAAGCGATGATTCTGAGACACCCCGTATATCAACGCGTGAAACGCTCGCAGATTACATGTAATAAGCTGATTCACCTGTGAAAGCCACGATATCCCACTTATGCGTTTAACGCGGTACATACGTCTATAAATAGAGCATGTGCCTCGCGAGAGTGTAGGTATGCCTATCCGTCTCGGTGCAACATTATTTATTACAGAAGAATCGCAATAGAGCGTTTTGCAACGTTCCGCTCAACAATGATAATTACAGACAATTATTATCGATTAATCTGGGGACGATTTTGTTCTATCGCTTGAAAGAGACATCGCTATTTTATCTCGAATTGTTCAAGTTAAAAGCGGTATCTCGCGCGTTGCGATTTAATAGGAGCACAAACTTTGCGAAACTGTGCGAACAAATAAAATACGTCATGTCAAAATTATATTTTTACGTTGAATCGCACAAAGCTATATTATTCTATTCATTCAAATACACTGGTATTTAGTCATCGATATCGCAATGTAATTTTATTATATTACAGTATATAGAATATGCATATATATGTATATATAATTTTTTACATAATCTTATATTATAATAAATAATACAATACATAATTTTATTTATTATGATAAATTGTTGTATTGTCGCTTTGACAAAGGACTGACTTATTCGGTTGCTTCCAGAATGTTGATCACAAGATGAAATTCCGCTCCAAGAAGGGCCAGCTGCCGTTCGTCGAGCTGAACGGCGAGGAGATCGCGGACAGCACCATCATCCTGCGGGAACTGAGCCAGAAATTCGGCAAGGACCTGGATGCCGGTCTCACGTCCGAGCAGCGAAGCGTCTCCCACGCCATGATATCCATGATCGAGAACCATCTCGTCTGGGTTGTCGCGTGCTGGCGCACGAAGAACCTGGATCAGGTGTTGAAGGGCTACAAGGTCAATCTGCAGCTCGCCCTGGGATCACGTATCCCGAACGCTATTCTGAACTTCTTCTTCAAGCTCACGTTCGGACGTAAGGTAAGTTTCGCTTGCCGTTCGCCGTGTGATTTCGGTGTGACATAGCATACAACTTGGACGTTTAGAAGTCACTTGAATGACAATTCACGTTTTTCTCACGATTCCTCTGATCATTCAATTCTAATAATTTATTCGCATCCACACGTGTTTTTCGTACAACTTATTTGCATATTTCCATAATTATATTCCACATTATTTCCATCGTTATGCAAACTAAGGTCATGCTGCTATGCAAAAACATGTCTCTCGACCTTCTCTCATTGATTTTGTCGAGGTCGCACGATGTTTCACGTATGTTTCGCGTTTCTTTCAATTTAGCCATGCATGTACCACTCACATTATTATGCTAGTTTTTTATTCGTGTAAATACTGACTACTGTAGTTTTGTCAATGCACAATTTCTCTCCCAGTGTCAAGAAATACGCCTCGCATCAGCCAGCCTCATCAGCGATCATCTCAAAGCTGTCTTAGCTGAGTCCTGGTCGAGGTTTTCGTCTAGTTATTAATAATATGGAATATAAGGATGACTGTGTGAAATGCAAGTTTATTAAAACGAGGATACAGAATTTTGTCAGATATCATCCCGTCAGAAACCAAATGCGATTTCCAAAATAAGATTTTCGTCTGACTTTTACTTCGACCAAGTTTCTCGCTACTTACACGTTATCACAATGTTTTTTTTTACCTCATGCTATCTCCAGAATCATTCATAGTATTCGCTTGGAGTGCACACATTGCGCTTTGTGGCCATAAATGTGCTATGAATGTGCTAGCTAGAGGTAGTACCGCGACAAGGAAGCGCAATCGCAGAACAAAATATCATGTCCATTTGTAGTGAGATGGTAGTTGGATTGGTTGCAGGGCGCGAGGAAAGTGAAGGCTCAGGGGATGGGCGTGCACAGTGCGGAGGAAGTGTCCCAGTTCGGCTGCACCGATCTCAAGGTACTCTCGGACACGCTTGCCGACAAGCCCTTCTTCTTCGGAGACGAGCCGACTGCCGTAAGTGTATTATTAAATCCGCGTTTAACATGTTGCCTATAGCGGTCGAGAGATCTTGCATTACTCACCGCGGTAGTACGCGGCTCCATCCGTGGTACTTGGTCTCCGCTGTGTAAATAATAGCTTCAGTTACTTGTAATCCGACGCCAAAGATAATATCGGTGAAAACCAGTGCCGCCCGTGGCAGAAACGGTGCTCTCGTTGTTGGGCGTCACGCGAACAAAGCTTTGTTTTCAGTTAACTCGCAGATATTGGACACCGGATATTGGACCGGGCAAATAACAATTATTGGCTCGAGCTTCGAGTCTCAATTGATTAAAAATTAATTGGTTTTAATTAACTGGACTTTTAGAAGAACAAATAGATTAAAATAACTTGTGTAATCTCATGTTGTGTTGATTCGCAATTATATTTGTTCGAAATTATATTTTGTTACGTAAAAGATTGATAAAAAAAAAATATATATATATATAGATTACGGACCACACAATTTTGGCACTGTAATAACCCTTGATGGCAATCTCTTGGGTTTGTTTTAGATGGACGTAGTGGCATTCGCGCATCTCGCTCAAATCCTGTACATCGACAAAGACACGCCGTACAGCCTGCGGGACTACATGGTCGAGAACTGTCCCAACCTGGTTGGACATTGCTCGCGCGTTAAAGAACGATGTTTCCCGGATTGGGACGAGATCTGCTCCAGCCTGGACATGAACACGCATCTGCCGAAGCCGGAGAAGCGGGAGGAGAAGGAGGGCAAGGAGGAGGCGAAGGAGTCCAAAGAGTCCAAGGAGGAGAAGGAGGGCGACAAGGAGAAGGCGGACAAGGAGGAGAAGGAGGTCGAGAAGGACAAGGAAGTTGACGAGAACAAAGAAAAAGAGAAGGACGGCAAATAAGCGGTCTCTCGTTGTAAAGGGAAGTAATATGTCGTTTTCAAGGGGATTTAAAGGCGAAGAGTCGCGGAAGGTGTATTGGCGAATGAATAAAGATAGAGAGAAAGAGAGAGAGAGAGAGGGATAGTTTGACGGCAAGAGTGTGTGTGCGTGCGTGCGTGTGCGTGCGTGGTTGCGTGAATGTGAACGACGGAGACGCGAGGACGATGTAGAAAGCACGTATAGAAATGATGACCGGGACGGCGGAGGAGGGGGGGGAAGGGAGTTGCCGGAAGTGAGAGATTGTTTGTTGAGGAGAAAGAGAGAAAGAAAGGGGGAGAGAGCGAACGAAAGAGCGAAAGAGAGTGCATACGTGTGCGTGCGTGCATGCGTGCGTGTAAGAGAGAAAGCAAAAAGAGAGAAAGAGAGAGAGAGAGAGATGAGGTTTGGAACTAGAGCTCTCTACTTATACGTATAGATATTAATAGACTCATGTATAATGTTAATACTTCGTTTATATACGTTCAGTGCGCATCACGCGTTACTTCACATTGACACACTCGAAACACACACACATACACACACACACACACACACACACGACCGGAACGACTATTCTCTAAACCCACACCGCCCTTTCTCTGCTCTGCTAAGGACAAACGAAAAAAAAAAAACAAAAAAACGGGGCTATCTCATAAGTCATTAGAAACGTAGGATTGCAATATACGAACTGCAATAGTCTGACGCAGCTGGGGTCTTTGTCGACAGTGGCCAAATGCAATATAGCGTTAACGCTATAAGATAGAAGTAGTTACGGGAGAAAAGAGGAAGAGAAGAAGAAGCGGGGGGGGTAGGTCGTCGCGCGCGAACCCGGGCATACCGATCCGCGCCGCCTTCTAAGGCGAACGAGCGCGTCTCCCACTTCGCTTCTCTCAATGATCCTTGCTGTGCATAAGTTACCTTGCGTCCTGCGCGCAACGTAACGCAATCTTCTCTTTAATTTAGTCCACGTTAATTTCTATATATTACTTTTTACGATACGTTCACACGTGTTATCGCGCGTTTTACTTTCGCTTTCATATCGTGTTACAAATGAAGTTTCTACAAAAAAAAAGAGAAAAAAAAAGATTTTGTACGAGAGAGATTTTTTACGACGTATCATTGAGAGATTGTCTATCGAAACCATCTGAGGAGGCACCGTTGCGTCCCGTGTATAGCCGGTTCATCGACGCGATCCGAGAATTTTCATTAACGATAACGACTAACGATAATGGCTAATCTTAACGTAACGATAATATTAATAAGAATGTGACAACAATAATAATATTAATATTAACCGTAATAACGTAATAGGAGGAAGGGAAATCCGATGTCCATGCGAGAAACAAAGTGTCAGGTCATCGATTGACTGAATTACTTCTCTCTCTCTTTCTCGCGCGCGCATTCTTTTTTAACAATCGAATCGTGAGTCGAGTCACGCCAATTGACCAGCTAGCAACGGACGTCCTCAGACAGCCTAATGTGGAATGCAAATGGAGTTGTACGGGGGAGGGGAGGCCGGGGCGGAAAAGCAGAGTTCGATCCGCACTTCCGTCCGGCCGCGCGAATTCCCGTTTGCATTTTTCAGCATCATCTCGAAGCGCGTGCAATCAAATTTTACTTTAATCGACGAAGCTCATTCCTGTATATTTCGTACGGACTATATACGATACTTTTTGCAGTCCTTTTTTTAATCACTTTTTTAGACGAACGGGTAAGAGGAACCGCGATAAGCGATGGACGGCATATATTATTATCTATTATTTGTATATTATAGTATATGTATTTACGTAAACGCGCGCGAATGCAGTCGGACTTAGATACGCGAGGAAGATGCCATTCGTGTATAGCAGAGTCGTAATATTTCGTCCCCTTATCCACCATTCCTTGCTCCCTCCAAGCTCTTGTGTTTTTTTTTATTTCCTTTCTTTTTTTTTATTTTTTTTAGCGAAGAGGCACAGGTAATGTTTTGATCTCTTTTCCCTTGGTACTCAAAACGCTGTGCTGCCCACGTATTTTATTGATATACGATTTTTCGGACGTGTTAAGGAAAAACCAAAAAAAAAAAAAGAAATTACCTTGCGTAATACAAAGTGTCTTTCACGCATCGAAAATCGACAATTTGATGTAATAACGGGAATTGAAGTTTTTTCTACGAACGCTGCGTAGCGGCTGCGTAGTTTTTCTACGGCAGCTGGACATATTCCACGAGAAGACACGAGATATATTATATTTAAGTAGCTTACTATATTATTGAGATAACGATTATATATATATACATACACACATATATATATATATGATCACGTAAAGGAAAAATGGAAAAAAACATTAGTGATGATGCTGTTTATACTTAGGACGGCGCATATGTTTTCACCTGTGGTTACATATTATTATGGATTATTACGTGCGAGTAAATAAATATAAATTAGAAAATGTGGAAGAAACATTTGGACAAGAGAGACCATAACGTTGCAAGCACAGTAGGTAGGCCCACTCAATACAGTAAGATTATTATAAGAGGAATATTAATAATTATTATAATATATGACTGCTCGTTTTATGCTCGGCGCTATACATTTCATTGTCATTATTATATCACCATTTATTAATATACATACGAACAAATAAAATGTGTTTATAAATATGAAGCGAACTTTATGTAATGTCTGTTGATTGTTCATTGGCGGTCTGCCGTCCGAATCTTCGTCAAATCATATTTAAAAACTATAATATATCTATACATTTGGCGATCGGGTCATATATAAATATAATGAAGAGGGGAGAGGGTCGGTCATATCAATAATCCCAAATCAAGATCAATAATTATTTATTATCTAAACTTTGAAGACATATGTAACGTGAAATATCGAGAAAGATAACGTTCGAATCATTCATCCACGAGGATAATTCGTTTTCATTAGCGTGTAGCGTTAATTTTCAATATCGCTACGCTGTGCTTTATGGATTTCCTTCCGGAATTCGTATTTGTATTTTCGTATTCTGGGGACGTTCTATTCGGCACGCGGAGATATGTGTTTAATATATTGCTATGACTCCAATAACTCGATCGAAAGCCTCGGGACTGGAATCGAGACACGTGGACGTGCCCACGTTCGCGTATTGCATCTAAAATTCCTTCGTAAGCATCCTATATGACGTTACCAACGGAATGGATAGCGAGATTGTGAGATAGCGAGGTGAAATGTAAACGTGACTGTTTTTATTACATTCGCCTGACGTCTCCGGCGATAAGTATTGCTTATTCGCTGCCGAGTTACGAGAATTGGGATACTACTGTACACACGCGTTTCGTTTCTCTGTGCGCGTGTCTGCCAATTACCCTTACCTTTAACCTGACAGTTATCAACCCGCCAACCACTATGGATCGTCAATTTTATAAATTACTAATTAAGTTTCAAAAAATGGACTACATTATCTCTTATCCGTGTTACATTAAGATCTCGCTTTAAATTTCGTTTCCGCAATGTTTAAGACACGTACTTTTTTTTTGTTGACAGCGAGCGCGCGGGTAAACGGCCGCCTAATTTATTTCCGCAAGAACTATTCTCTTGGAACAATATATAATATATATTATTCATTTACGCACTTTAAAATAGCGGTTGACTAATCGAATGTGTAAGTGACGCTTTCTTTTAAGAGATTTTTTTTCTTTTTAAGCCTGGATATTATATTTAGGACATACAAATTATACTTATCATCTCCAATCTCTCTTCTTGTATTCTAATCTTGTATCTAAAATAAGAGTTTAAGTACGTGTACATAAAAATAAAGCCGCTAATCAAGTCGCTACGGTCGACTTGCCGTATACAGGAACGATGCTCGAATTGGTCGATAAGCTACTTTTACATTGGTACCCACAATAACGTCGCGCTACAAAAATAATTTTTTCTTTGTTCGTCTCATCATTCGATCCTGTACGAAAAGTCGCCGAGTAACGTTTTTTTTTTGCGCCTATATAACGCCGGGAAAGGCCTTTAGTTTACAAAAATAATAATACTTCGTTTTATACGCCTTTTCCACTTTGAAGAGGGAACTCCTCTCGGTTCCCGCATACTCGATGTGCTCGACCAAATACAGTTTTTCGTGTGACTCCTCGATATCTCGAGATGCCGATATCGCGCTCTTAGGAATTATATACGATTCGGCCGTCGAGTTTATATGTTTGACAGCGGATGGAGACGAGAGTTCTCGGTGCCGCAGAGAGGGATAAAAGTAGCACTCAGAAGGCTGTACTGGTCGTAGCTGTTGGTGTCGACTGCACGCCGGACTCTGAATTCGGTCGTCCGACGTGTGGCTACAGCTACGTGGACGCGGCGAGGCTAATGGACGTTGACTCGGTGACGGCTGCCCTTGGCTTCACGTCCAGGGAGTCGTACAGCGGGAATTCGCAGCACAGGATGAACTTGAGGAAACGCGGCACCTCGACGTAGATAGACGGCGGTATCGGTATCAACGGCGACGTGGATTGCTTGTAGTAGCGATACTCCGCGTTACTGGAAACGTTTGCAGAACGTCGACACGTGAATAATAGAAATTCGCACGAATTTATAGAGCATAATTCGGTATTTATAAATTTTTTTTGTTTACTACAAGCTAAAACAAAAATTTAAAAAAAGAATAATTTTGAATCTATCTTTAAGTTATAACTTCTGTGCATCACGTCAAAATTCCAACTTCTTTCAATAAGTTAATACATATAGAAATCGTATTTATTTAAATTTTATATTTAATCCTTTGCTGATAGAACATAATATTTTTCGCAAAAATGTTTAATGCATCTCTTCGATACTCACTCCCGGTATCTCTCGTCCGATGCCTTTTCCAATAACGGCATCCCCGACAGGAATAGAATAATAAGCGTCGTGAAGATCGGGGATGCGATAGCGACCCATTCCGCTCCTTCGATGACGTTTAAAGATATTATGAATATCCCCCACCAGACGACAATCTCGCCGAAATAATTTGGATGCCGGGAGAGTCTCCAAAGTCCTAGAAACGTTAGCTTGTAAATGATAACTTACTTTATTTTGCAAAACGATTGCAATGAAATCCTTGGCTAAATGGCATCATGTAAAACCCTTAGTTATATATTTTTTTAACAATACACGAGAATCTCAGATTAACGAATGTTTTTTTATAACAACTTGTCTTATTAATGAAATGGTGCAGACGATGCTTTTCAGCGAAATTTTATTGGGGTATAGTACAAAAAGTTCAATGGAGCTTCGAAAAATATTTTCGGAAAATATTAATCTATATTACGTGTGTATAATCGGAGGTCTCACCGTCGTTACACCACTTCCCATTGTTCACCGGGTCCTGCTTGAAGGCGAACTTTTGCAGATCGGCGTAGGTCTCGGCCAGCAGGCCGATCACGAAGAGGCCCGTGCCGGCGCTGTCGAGGGTCGTCATCGTTTTCGGTGCGGGCGGTATTTTGTGGCGTGGAGAATTGATTATTATCACAGGCAGGCTGACGACGTACACCCACACGGCCTGCAAACCGTCAATGCGCCCTTTCGATATCACATCCCTGCTGCTGGGAGAAATAAAATGGAAAGAGCATAACGCTCGCGAGCGATAACGATAACGCGCGCGATGCTCTCTCGATCTCTCTCTCTCTCTCTCTCTCTACTTCACCTGGAATGTCCAGAATACGGCGAAGCGGATCACGTTGCTGCGACGGTCGTCGAATCTCTTGTCGCGGCCTATCTTGATGATTCTGTACAGGAGGTATCCGGAGAGCCGCGCGCCCCACAGGCACACGAACACGGTCACCATGATCTGCCGGCTGTCGTACGTCTACACGGGGGGTGAGAGAGAAAGATACGCGGGGGTGTTATTTTACACCGATGCAGAGATTCTTCTAACGACTAAGATACATTGTAAAACGAGCGTCGTAGAGAGAAAAAGTAAGTTAATAGGCAGGGACAGGTCATCCGTTAATAGGTATTAAATATATCTCGCTTTTTTTATTTATAGTCCCGACTTCCATTGAGGATAAAACCGTCGATGATAAAATCTACAGTGGCGATACGCCGCGTGCGTTGAGTCATTCGAACTTCGAGCGAGAAAAATCAATCTATAGAATGATTTGCGAACGCGATCCGACAAGTATCGCATTACAGATTCTTTACAATTGCAATAATTTAAATTAATGGTTTTATGTGAAATTTATTATCGAGTAATAATTAATAGCATTAATAGTGATTAGTACAGGAATTGATAATAAATAGACGAGACATCTTCATCTAATTTACGGTCTCTCTATACAGCTTTCTTCGAGTCTGTTAAAACTTTCGGTTTCCAAATCTATCTTGAAAGTTCCTTCTCGATTGAACTTGAGCAATAAATCTCGTAGGCTTAACGTGCCGAAACGTGTCTCGGGTCTCTCAGGAGGGTTCATTCATCGGGATCCGCAAGTAACTCCCTCTTCGCGCACGATTTCTTCACGTTTGCTCCAGATATTTTAATATCCAAATTTTATCCGTCAAACATCCCTACGTGCGTCACACGTGCACGGAGGAGGGGAAGGAGGAAAGGGAGATATCAGGTAGAGCGTGTTAGTGAGTAAGTACCTTGCCCACTTGACCAAGAAAAAAAGTGAGGAGGGCGAGGATGATGAAGTTGGTGCCGCCGGCGAAGTCCGTTAGCTTGTCCATCTGGAAAGTGGCCGCGATCGTGAAGAAGATCAGCTGCATACCGACGGTCACGATCGCGCTCACGGCGAGATGATCCTCGTCCAAAATGTCGACCGCCATGTCCTCGACGACGCGTCAATCGCCCCCGGACAAATTATCTCGGATTCTGAAACGCGATTTTATCCGCGTTGATGTATCAGTCAAAGGATCTTTTAGCCTTTTTTAAATTTCAATTCAAAACTAATTACTTCAATACACTTAAATTTCTGCGATATTTGATTGCGAGAATGTTGTTCTGTCGGAATCAACACCCACCGTTTGACATAGCAAGAAAAAAAAAAAAGAATAGAATAGAATGTTAAATAGAATTTTTATAGTTAATATTTTGAATGTCAAGAAAAATATTAATTATTGATTATGATGTTATAGGTATAAATAACAATATTAATGATACCTCGATTACTAGAAGAAAATAAAATTTGCGAAATCTTTAATGACAGATAATTAAGCCTTTTCACGTCAATCAAAAATTAATACAATTAGTCTTATTACGATTTTATATATAAGAACAGGGAATCACCAATTTGGATTAAGCTAATTTGTGTAAAAATTAAGAAAGAAAAAAAGTAATTATTTAATATAAATTATATGTGTTGCCGTTATAAATTGTTAAATTTTGTAATTTGTTACTACCCTAAAAAACTATATCCTCGAGTATTGGAGGAAAGAGAGAAGGCGGGTCGATACCGGATCCTATCTTCTGGCAAATTAACAAGAGTTACACGCTCCAGATAAACAAACCGCTCATATACGTCGACGCATGTAGTTATATTACGATTTCCGCAATGCGGGTAACCCGGTGCGTCGAGAGGATGTGCCCGTCGCTGCGTGACACACAGGGCACATTCCCAGGGAAATTCGCTAAGAAATTTATGACACAAGGAACACCGTGCGCATTCTTGGCAAGCAATATTTTGAATAATTTGAGAACGTTCCAGCGCGTGCAGCTTATATGAATTTAGAATTACCTTCGAAGCCCCTCTCTCTCTCTCTCTTTGTGCGAAATAATCTAGCATGCATTTTCGTGCATGATACTATTCGTTATCGAGCGAGGAGAGATGGTTGAACGCCTCCGTCTTTAAATATAACTATAGCTGTCACCGCTGCGGAATGATAATGTTATCGATGTCGCGGGTTTCCCAATTTTTCCAAAGTAGCAAACACAGAGAGGGGGATAGAGAGAAAGAGAGAGAAAGAGAGAGAAAAAGAGAGAGAGAGGGAGAGAGAAGAGACTCAGGAAATTACCTCTCCCGTGAAGAATCGCATCTCTCGCGGTGGTTTTCCAGCGCGTTACCGTGCGTCCCGCCCCGACGCCGCTTCGCTCGGCAGGCGAGAGGAAGTCCAATGTCGCCGCGGCTAAAACGAGGCGCGCACTCCCGCACGACGGTATCACGTGTGTGAGTCCGCCGCGGGTCGGCGACGCTCGCGAGCCCTCCTCGCGGCCCTCATCGACGGCGGAGGAGCGCGAGATGCGCGCGTCCGCCCCCCTCTCACCCCCCGCCTCGCCCTCGCCGCCCAGCTCCCCCGAGTCGCGTCGGGCGGTCTCGCAGAGAGCGGACGTGAATCGCCTCCGCGGCGGCGGCACGACGCGGCACCCTCGTCGCCGCTCCGCTCCCTTCCTCACGCATCCCGCGGATGCGCGTATACCTCCTGGCGCCTCCAACGCGCACGCCTCTCGGAGCGCGCCTCTCCGCCACGGCGGGGATCCCGAGAACGTCCCCTCCACCCCCGACGTTCATTTTCAGGGACACCTGCGTCAGACGGGCCGCGGCTTCGGCGTGCCTCGATTCCCCTCCGTGTGTCGGTTTCGAGAGGAAGGGTTTTGTGCCTTTTTAATCGATTAAACACAACAGTTGATTGTTTGAATAAATTAAAGTTTATATGCACGTGCTCGAATTACTCCTAGTTTTACAAATTTTTCTACTTTTCTTCCTTTGAGATCTTATATCTTTTTTTTTATAATTATTTATGGAATCGCAAAATCCTTTAATTTAAAATGACTCTCCGTATAAATTTGTAGATGTAAATTAGAAAGTCTGAGAGCGTCGAAAAACGACAATCATTGACCTTGTTCTTTCTCGAATCCTAGCCACCCCTTTAAACATGCCTTCGCCTTGCTTGCTTTTTCGCGATGTTTTTTTTTACGCTATAATTTACTTTTTTCCCTAATTCGCTATACCTATTTAATTCCTTTTCTTTGTTCTCTATATAGACTCCATAATAATCTGTCTAATCAGAAATTTCTTCCTTTCTTCCCTTTCTGTCAATCTTATTTTCTCTTTAGCACTCTTATCCCTCCCTGTCTTTCATATTACTCTTTTATTTGCTATTTTTTCCTCGACCTCCATGCCGAACATTTGTTCCATTTGGTACATTTGTTTTGTACATACATAAATTTTCGGGATTTATTTATTGCAATTATCTTATAATGCTTATCTTTTTCTTCTCCAATTTGGAAATGTCGCAATATAATTCGGTTCATCGAGCCAGGAATCAATATTGGATGCGCCGGCGCCTCGTTGAAAATGCTCGAGAACGGAAATATGATGCAGAAACCTTCGCAACCGCGGATGCAACAACATCACGATGGTGCACGCTTGCAGAAATAAAAAGCTTGGAATAAAATAAATCGTGTTTCTGCAGTGAATGAAAAATTCCAACGAAAAAAAAAAACACGTCATTAACAAATTATTTTAATGATATTTAAAACTTTCAACGCACTTTCAACGAGAATTATGAATTATTATTAACGGAGTTAATATTGTGCTCTTTTCATTTCATTTCATGCAACATCCACATGCAAGATGTGCTCATTAACAAAAGCAGCGTATCCTATCACATATAAATTATTACAACTAAATTAATTTCTAACTTCTATTCTCCTAATTTCAAAATTAACTTCCTAATTTTCTTTAAAAAAAATATATATATGTATATATATGTTAAGCTCTTCAGAGCCAAAATATCGAATGATACTTTCGACAAAACAAATGTACACATGTAAACAAACTGTCTTGCGGGGTAACACGTTGCTCTGTATGAAAGTACTTTACACGTAGTCAACGAATCTTAGATTCGATTCCCGATCTTCAACCTCATTATATGTCTCGGTTTTTATATAAAAGATTAATTGTGAAGAGTCGAAGATTGGAAGAGTAAAGGAGAGTTATGTGTGAATGATAACCCGTTTTAGGAACCCACATTTCGTTTACGCTTACAAATAAATTGACTTGCGCAATATCAACAGATCAGGGGTAAAAATAAATTACACATTTATTTCAGTATTATATAACATTACACCCTTAATATTACAAATGCAAACTAAATAATCTCTCCCACGCTCTTTTCTCACAATACACAGTAATCGAGAAACTCGTAAAAAAAAACCGGGTTTTTCCCGTTATCGCTTATTATTCAACATTAATATGTTCTGATCATGTAACAATCTGCGCAGCGGCGTGTTTCGTGAGCTTTCTTTTCAATGATATATTACCAATAACATTTATATTAAAAATCAATACATATTAACCTGTTCGAGGCGCCAATTTATGATTGCATGATGCTGCAATGTGCAGTTGGGTCGCTCATTGCTTCTTGTCTCTCCCAGACCAACAATATCAATGCAGCTTACGTAAATCTAGTTCCTAGTGTACTTCCCCCAGATATGAAGCATGAATACAGACGCGATGAATAGAAGCGACATGACGAGCACTGGCACAGGTCCCCTGCAACAAAGCGATTTCAAGGTTTATTAGAATATGCTATCGAGAGCGTATCATGTGAGAACTGATGTTGTAATAGAGAATTAAATTATCAATGTTACATCAAGTGATTTTGTAACAGACAATTAAATCGTCAATGTTGTATTAATCAACATTATATAAATACTGAGAATTAAATGTTTGCTTGTATTTTAACTGTTTATTATCTCATACGTGATATATATATATATATATATAATATATATATACAGGGTGTTCATAAAGTATCAGACCCTCCCTCTATCATCAGATAGCCAGGGAAATTTCCTAAAAGTTTTGTATTTAAAGTTTTTTTATCCAGTTAGTATTTTCTGAGATAGAGGGAGGGTTCGATACTTTATGAACACCCTGTATATATATGTATATATATCGTATATATTAATATATATATAAATATATATGATGCAGACTAAAATAGATCTTTTCGTGCTAACTCGACACACACATATGTAATCCTCAGCTGATCTCCACTTACACTTTGATGCCGGGGGAATCGTCGGTGTAGAACCTCCACATGCCACCGGAGCTCGTGCCGGTGTTCCTGTTCCTGGCGGAGGAGGTCACGGTGGTTTTCCTCTGCCTGACTGTGCCGCTACCACCTGTTCTCGGCGCTATGGCTTTGCTGGGCGACCGTCCAACGGAGCCTACGGAGGTAGCGCTAGGTGCGGCGGGCTTTATCCATGAAAGTGAAGCGCACGTTAGTCTTCTCCTTTTGGGATATCCCGTAGGCAGAAGTACGGGATATTCTCGTACAGAAATTATTCGTTCAAATCATTAATCATGCTCACCATTGTGCGACTGTTCTCTTGTCAACAATCCAGGAAGATGCCGAGGGGGGACTCGCGACTCAACTCTACTCGCTGTCAAAATATGCCAGATATCCCAATGGCGTTTGCGTTCTGGAGATCCTTCCGCAAAATACAGATCGTTACGGCAGGTTGAGACAAATCTGCGACGCTCGGAAGACACTACGTGAGAATCGGCGGCAACGTGGCAACAAAACGGAACCGCTCGTCGGGCGATTCTATAGACCTTACAACACAGGTCTATATGGGCGACTCGAACGCAGGCTGGCGGTACGACGCGGAGTAGCGGGCGACGTGTCGTATGTGTATCCTACACGTGGTAGTACACGGCGAACACGTCACCGCGTTTCGGCTCCGTTTAGTTTACAACACGCGGCGTCCACACTCCACATGGATGTGAATATTTATCGCTATCGAGTACTGGCAAGTGTAGCACTTGGTAGCCAAGTGCAATATCTGATTGGCTTCTGCCTTTCCGCAATTCTGCTCTTCCGCGCCAATGTGAATCCTCCCTAAGTCCACTGAAACATAACCCCACGTCGTAACAATTAGCAACCCTTGGCTACTGACTACTCCTGGTAACTTGATCTCTCGTGTAGGTATATGTTCTCTTTTATTTTTCCGAATAACAACAATAACAAAAAGAAATTACACAAGATTTATCACATCCTGCGAGTGATCGTGCATGAATTTAAGCGCCAGCAGTATATTTATTTAAAATGTTTATTTTCCATGTAAGGTTATAATATGTACATGTACAAAACTTTGGAGAAATTGTCTTGTTATAAAAATATTAAGAAATTTTGTTGAAAAGTATTCTGCATGTTTGATCTAATTAATGTTTTTATTATGAAATTATATGTCAATGTTTTATATTTGCGCTACCTATGTAATGTATGTATGTACATATACATTTCATTGTAGCAATTTGTGTTTACAAATTTTCTAGATGGAGTTTCTTTTAATCAATTTGAAACGAATTAATTATCTGTGAACGGTGTAAATAATAATTCGTAACAAAGATGCAGTCGGATGACGAATTATCTGAAAATGAGGAAGAAATGCTCGTATATGTTGAGTTTGAGGGGCTCACCGGTAGTGACATGTTCAATAAAGAAGATCTTCAATTGGATATGATTGGAATAGATAGTGAGCATCCTGTAATGGAAATCAATGGGCGGGTACGTTGTGTTTTGTCGTCTGTAGAATTTAACAGTTTGACCTTCTTAATCATTTTACATACTTTTAGTTTTACGAAGGCACTTACGAAGACGCCGTGGGCACTTACATGTTTTTTGAGAAAGACGACAATCCGAAGGTGGACGATGAGGTGTTCGATAAAGTGCCGTCTTTAAAATATTTCGCTAAAACGAGAAAGTTGCTTAAGATGCAGAGGGTGTTTACAAAACCGAGAGTCGAGATCCTTGGTGATCTCGAACATGACAGTTGCATTCCAAATACCGAGACGTTATCACAGGCTGGAGTGCCTCCAAAGTATCAGCAAGAAGGTAAAGGAATAGAACAAATTTCTTTGTTTATGCCCCCTCTTATTTAACACGAAAATTAATCTTTCCAGCCATGCAGTTTTGGAGTAAAGTACGTAATGACAAACTAGAAGAATTGAGCGCGTTCCTAGAGAAACAGAAAATTAGAGAAGAGAAAAAGTCCAGAGGTATTGCATCGACTTCGGAGTCTGATGAGGAAAACCCCGCTGTAGCGCGAGAAACCAAAGAGAAGTCAGAAGAGGCGTGAGAGAGTAAGACGTTTTAAAATTCTAATTAAATATTTTAATACTTAGATATTAATATTCTTATTACAAATATTGTACATTTATAACGTAAAGTTGGCGCAGTCGTGCTTTGGACTTTTAAATTATCATATGAAAAAAGCAATTATATAATTTAATGTAAATTGAATGTTAATTTTTTGTAACACTAATTCTGTCTCATGAGAATATAATTCGTAGTAAAAATGGAATGCTTCTTAATCTTATTCGCATTTAATTTTAAATACACTCTCAATATTAGTATATATGATTACAAATATTACAAGTATAAAGAATAATATTCTATAACACTTTCATTTTGAATGTAACACTTTCATTTTAGAAAACATAAAAAAAAGTATTATCATATATTGTTACTTGTCATTTTTTTTATTTCGTACATACATGATCATACGCATAATAATGTTACAAAATGAAATAATGTTATAAAATACTGAATTTGAATTGAACCCAAAAGTAGAGATATTTTCTATTTAAAAAATTCTAGAAAATTCTATAAAGTAGAAAACACAATCTTATATATTATTCATTATATTATATTATTCATACTTATTTTAACACTCCGTATGTATAAATTTGTCGTCGAAATTCAAGAGAATTTAGTAGGATCTTTTCGATCAAAGTTTATCAATTGAAACATTTTATGTGTGCACAAAGTAATATCTACACAAATATATATATATATATTCTATAATAATATAACACTTTGTCGTATATCGCAGAATGCTACAATGTTTGAGACCTGAGTTTTGTTTGATTTTAGGATGAAAAGTTGTGTGCGCACATAACGTCTTCACCAGTCGAGATCACCGGGCAATTCGTCTGGGTACTCTCCCGTTAGGCAGGCGGTGCAGTGGCCGATGTAATTGCTCTCCCGATTGTCCATGCGGTGCCTAACCGCCTCGACAAGTCCCTCGACCGAGAGGTACGTTAAACTGTCCGCCCCCACGTGTTTGGCCAGCTTTATATTGTCAAGCTTATTCGCGATAAGTTCCTCTCTGGTTGGTATATTGATGCCCATGTAACACGGATACTTCAGCGGCGGCGACGCTATTCTGACATGAACCTGTGAATATGACGTGACGAGTGAATATATATATACAGTAAAAATGCAAACGCAGAAGAGCGGTGAATTGAGGAAAAACTTGCCTCTTTAGCGCCCGCGTCACGTAACAATTTGATAATCGGACCGATCGTATTTCCCCGGACGATAGAATCGTCAATGAGAACTATTTTCTTTCCCTTCACATTCTCCGACAAAGCCCCGAATTTCTTGGCCACTCCGAGCTGCCTGAGTCGCGTGCTAGGCTGAATGAACGTTCTACCTACGTATCTGTTTTTGCACAGCACTTCAGCGAAAGGTATATTAGACTGTAACAAAAAAAGTTTCAATTAAAGAACTCGTTCGCGTATATTTGCACAGCACAGTTGAGCTGTTGATTTTTTTTTATTTGCGTTTACCTGTCTGGCGTATCCGTGTGCCGCAGCGGTGCCAGATTCCGGCACGGAACTGACTATGTCCGCTACAACCGGGGATTCCATCGCTAGCACCCGTCCGCATTGCATGCGCACTGAATAAACCATTTGTCCTGTTAATACAAATACGAGTGATTAAAACGTGCCTTCTTCTCAACGCGCGTCCGAACGCGCTGTATTCCATCATTCTTCTTTACGCACCCTCAAAAATGCTGTCGCTCCTGGCGAAGTAGACGTACTCGAATATGCAAAACGCCTGCGGTTTTTTGTTCGGCCTTTCCACTATCTCGATAGTCTTAACGCCCTCTCTGGTCAGCTCCACAATTTCGCCGGGAAATACCTCGCGAACGTATCTCGCGCCGATACTCAAGAATCCGCAAGATTCCGACGAAATTACCCAGCCTTCCGCCTCATCGTCCTCTTCGTCGGACTCGTTACTCGCTGCGATGCGAATTTCATTATTTTGGTATTAAAATAGAATATAATTCTACGTAATATTTCAGTCAAAATAATATTCACCTAAATTGCCAATCGGCACGATCTTCCCCAGGCAAAGGGGTCGATTTCCGTAGGGATCTCGCACGCCATAAATCTTGTCCCTCTGCATTATGACTAAGGAGTACGACAACGGCGCCAGTTGCATGAGGTGCTTGATACGCGCAGGCCAATCCGGTCCGTTGACTTCACCTTCCGGCGGATTCAAGCAGAGCGCTTGTGTTATGAGCTCCGAGTCCGAGTGCGTCGACAAGCCAACGCCTCGGCCTAATACCTAGACATTACATGCGAGAATTCAGTTCCGATCGATGGGGGATCGTTGAGTGAGTTTTAGATGAAATTTGACGAAATAATCGAGGAATAATTCACGCGGGGGAAAAAAAAAACGTAAATTTTTCCGTCGTATTACCATTTTTCGAAGGGACTCCGTGTTGACTAATTCTCCGTTATGCGCAACTGCCAGTGCCCCGTGCGCGGTGTGCACCACAAACGGCTGACAGTTGACTTCTTCGCTGGCTGCACTTGTACTGTATCTGGTATGACCAATTCCAAGATTTCCTTTGAGCTTTCTCATATTCTCATCGTTGAAAATATTATTGATCATTCCCATACCCTTATGAACATGGAATGACTTCGAGCAGACGCCCTCGCTGGTTACGATTCCCGCGCTTTCTTGCCCCCTGTGTTGCAACGCCACTAAACCTGTTCGAGTGAAAGCAGCAGGGCTTTATTTTTATAAACTGTTAAAACCTTACCCTAGCCTTCTTTTCGATTCGTTTTCCTCTTTTTTTCGGTTATTGCACGTACACTTATGAACCTTTTTATTTCAGCTGAAATCTCATGTACAAAGTGAGCGCGCTCACCTAAACAAACTACTTGGGCAACGTCAATTTGTGATGGCCAGTCCCCCGCAGCGATGCAACCGAAAACACCGCATTCGTGTGTAAGACCAGTAGGCCTTTGTCCTCTAGTTTCACCTTTGCTTCGCGGTCTCGTGCATTTTGATTCCTCCGTGGAAAGACGAGACATTGCTTCGGCACAGTGTTCGCTGTCTTGGTCGTGAAATATTTCCATTGCAATCTGCGACAAATAAATATAATAAATAAATATGTTAAGTTTAACGATAGTAATTAAAACCGATAACTGGATTGGAAGGGTCAGAAAAAGATGACGTGATACGATCATATATAAATACGCTTGTTATCAATATTTAGTTATTATACAGCCAAAAATATTAGGCACTTATATATTTTTCATTTATTTCCAATTCTTTTACCCGTGTTGTTTCCTATCGGTTACCGACATTGTACACTAAATGGCTCTTGAAACAAAGGATGCTTCACAGCAAATGCTGCGAAGCATTTCCGAAGCATAAATCAATTTTTTAATAAAATGTTAAATAAGAAACAGTTAATAAGATGCCTGATATTTTTGGTCAATTATAATATTGCTCAAATTGCAATTGCAAAGTTTTTGACAATTATAATGTAATAAAATTTAAATTTCTTGAATTTAGATATACTTCTGCTGATGAAACTCAATAGGTTGTATTTGATACCTGGTGTGAAAAACACAACGCCGACATATAGATTTGATATAAATTGTTGGATATATATTGCACATTAAAATGCCTAGAGAGTAAATCCTTTCGTAATTCCTCTCCGTGTTATTATCTGCGTTGCCCTTGTAAACTATTGACCCCCAACGGACTGATAGAATCGACATATCTTACGTTTGTTCGATGCTACAACTATGTTTTCTCATCACGTTTTGCGCAACCTGCATTTCGCAACGGATTTCATCATCTCACATCGTATTGACATCATGAGTGTCAGAATATAGAACAGTTATATTTGTGTTTACAACAAATCGATCCTTTCCACGTCACGCGACTAATATTTTTCCGTTAAGTTAATTTTCCACTGTGTCAGTTATTAACTACATGTAGATACGAATATAACATTATCTTTTTTCTTTTAATTATCTTACGCTCTAAGTTTGATGCAATATGAATTGATTCTCAAAACTACAGAGATCGCATGGTGCTAAAAAAAGAACAAATATATAAAAAAAGACCTCGTAAATTATTTACTAGAAAAGAAAAGCAGAGGAATTATTTTCTCATGAATGTTAGTTAAAAAAAAAAAAAGATAAATGCACGATATTTTCTGTCATTAATCAAAATTTACATTGAGAAATGTGATTTGGAGTAATAATTTTACTGAAAAGTTGTAATATTAATTTATAACTTTAACTTATGATTCTAAGATTTCTGAATTGATGCTATGCTAAAAATGCGATTTCGGTAATAAACAAGTATTTTCTTCTATTATTCAATCAGTGACAGAAGAGAAATATAGATTTGTCCTACGAATAAATTACTCACGAAGAATAAATAAAATGTATCGTATATTCAGAGATTTTGAACTCGGACTTAATTCAACGTAACGTTTTAGACCGAAAGAATACGCTAATTGTCTGATTTACATAGCCTTTCGAGTATAGAATTTTATACGATATAGTATCTTGGAAATTGCATTCAATTTTTTGTTTGAATATTCAAGATTTCTGCCGTGCTATCGTAAGCACTTTTCTGACGCCTTAATCATCGAATTTACCATCGCGTTGATTTATTTGAACTGAATAAGCAAGAAGAGTTTAAAAAAGGAAATGAAACCTGCATATACTTTGCTTAAAAATATTCTCTTCTGTGAGATCCACAACTTTGATTGTCAATATACCTGTACAAATTACCGCGAATCAGCTAAGAAACTGCTCAATAAGTTTATCTAGTGATATTTGATGCGTGCGACGACATAAAATCAAGCGAAAGATTGCAATAAAAGACGTACAAACGTGATAATTTTTTATACGGCATATGGGGTGACTGCGATTGCGATTAACTTAACTCTGCGGTTAATTTGATCGACAGAATCGCTTAACAAAATCTATAATAAACAATTCGTTATTCTAAATTTTTTCCGTATGTCAAACAATTATAATTCTATTCGTGCGTATTAATAAAATAGTGCACGCATTATTTTATGAATTAAATACACTAATAACTAATTAAAAGTTAGTCGGATTAGTCGCCCATAATCTCTCTTTCTCTCTGAAAGTTCGCGCTACTCCAGTAAAAAATAAGACTTTCTTATATATCGAAAAAAAATTGTACGCAACGTGTAGGGCGTGTAGCATGCGTTACGTAATTAATATACACGTAATTAATATACGTAGTTAATCCATTGAGACCGCATTTATTTCCCGAACGTCGAAGCCGAGGAAACAGCGTTTATTTTCGTCATTCGTTATGAAACTGAAAAGTGATAAAGAGTCGAGCGTAAATTTCCAAATGTCTGTCAAGGAGACAAGTGTAAAAATAAATGTTAGGAAACGAGTTTTTTTTTTAATCAAGTTGTTTCACACTTGGACATAAAACGTTACGCTGTCGCAAGTCAAACTGGTTGCGGTCTCAATGGGCTAAAGCGTTCCGCGTGACACGAAGTAACGCGGTGAAGCTAAAGTCGGCTCGCGAAGATCGAGAATCAGCTGAGCTTGCGGAGGATGCTACATCCTGCCGCACAGGTCCTGTCACACGGGTCGAACACGCGACGCCCTGGGCAGATTTCTTTCCTATCCCGTCACTTCGCGAAGATTCACGAAGATCACGGTGGGGAAAAACTATCGTGATTGAGTCACGGAATAATGAAAAATCGCACGTGAAAAGCACGGAAAGAGCGCGTTGGAGGCCCCGAAGATCGAGAATTGCTCCGACGGACGGGGGAAGCGTATGCACGTACCTCACGTGGTGTGCCGAGTGCGTGCAGAAACGTGAAACGCCCGCTCGTGCTTCTCGTCCCGCTTCGGGAACACGTCTGAATCCGAAACCGAAACGTGCACCTCGCGTCTTCCGAGCCGAGAAATGGGAACGAAACGGGGTACCGTATCGCGCGGCGCGGCCAATGGGGAAGCCCACCGCCGCCGGCCGGCCGGAGCCGGAGGGGCTCGGTTGGTGCGAGCCATATTATCTCTTCCTTCTTGAGGAGAGAAACGGGTGCAGGAGTCGCGGAGCTGCCGCGTGCAACGCCAACGTGCGTCGATTCGAGAGACGGCCGGAGCTGCCCGTTCGTTTCTCGCGTCTGTGACGACCGCAGGAGCGATCACGGCGCGGATCACGCTAGATGTTGAGATCCAAGGGCAGATCACTTAAAGCTAACAATGCTAGACGTCAGCCGCGTCGTGTGATTATAGAGATTATTAGCCATCTCTCCGCCGCCGATAACGCATTAGCACGGTGCGGCCTCGAATGGAGAATGCGACGTAATACCGTTTGAATTTCGTGGAAGCTCCGAAGTTTCGAGAGAGCTCCGACAGCTCGATGGTCTCCTCTGTCCTTGTGACGTTCAACGCTCTCGAATGACTAGCTACGACACTGAAGATGACGCAGTTTAATTTCGTCTATCTTGACGTATCGTTCAGATTCGAAGGACATTTTATTTCTGTTGCGTAATATACGTCATACCCATACGTCGAGTTATAATTTCGACACTGACAATTTCATCGTGATGTATTACCGATGCACGCTTACGTTTCCTGATTTGACCTATGAAAGAAAATAATATATAAGTACTTTTATATATTATAATTACTGTTTATTGTATTAAATTTATACAATTGCTTCTAATTATATATCTATAAATGAATTTAATTAAAAGCTAATTCAATTACAGTTATGTAATATTATATAAATTTTTTCAACTCTTTCGTATACCTGCACCATCTGTTTTGGACGACGTAAATCGGTAAAATATTCTTTTCGCCTCTTTACTATAAACGATAAACGAACGCGTAATTTAATTTACATATACGTTTCCAGCAGAGCTGGAGTATTATTGTGACAGTTAACTTAAGACTCGGTTATCTATCGGTCCACGGAGAATCTTCTAGAATGTATTTCGCAAATCTACTCTCGATGGAATTATATGAATTATGACACGCGAAGGAAATAACTTTGATGTGTACAGCGCGAGAAAAATATTATTCGCATGGATTTTTCGTCACCGATATCGCACAGCTGTCGCAACAACGGGGAGCTACGGGAGCCAATCGGGAATCGGTCGGACGAGGGTCGTAGTGGGGACTGCCGAAGAAATGTATGTGAAATCAGAGGCTGCTTACATCCATTCCAATAGTAGACGTTAGAGCTGCTAAGATGGCTGGTAAGTCCGATAGAACGTTAGAGGCGATAATTTCAGTCGAGCGAGCTCTCTCCGAGCTTTACGTTCAGTATAGAAGCGCGGACAAGCATCGGCGATCCCGTGGCATTGATCACAGAGACGAATCTTGCGACACGTTTATGTCTGAATAACTCGAAGCGAAATCCTGCTGAAAGAAAGGAAGGAGTAAACACGGGGAGGGCCGGAGCAACAGGTGGTCGATAACGCACTGCTTGTACGCCGGCCGGCGTTTCGTGCAAGTGTCTCGTTACATCTCTGTTTAACGCAGCTTATCATTGAAATATCAAATATTATTAAATTAAGCATAATTTTAGCCGCGGAAAATTCGTTGTTAGTCGACTGGCACTTGCACGAGAACGCTACATCAATAGACAATTTGTATGAAAATAGTATATTTATATCTCGGAGCACTCGCTCGAAAAAAGAGAGAAATTCGTTTTTTTTTTCGCGATAATCAATAGGCATTTGTACGAGAATGCTAAATCAATAGACAATTTGTATGAAAATAATCTTAGAACATATATTACATATATTAGTAATATATGTTCTAAGAAAATAATACATTATCGTCTCGTAACACTCGCTCGAAAGAGGAGAGGAATTTGTTTTTTTTTTTTGGTGTTTTAAAATAAAAAGAGATTTGTTTCGTATCGTTTTCTTCTGTCTTTCACAGATTATAAACTTGGAAAACTTATCAACGAGGGGAAGACAAAGAAGATTTACGAACTTCTGAACGATCCTACGTTATGTCTGCTGGAAAGCAAGGACCGCATTACCGCTGGCGACGGCGTGAAGTCTCACGCCTTGGAGGGCAAGGCGGTAATTAGCACGTCCACCACCGTGAAGGTCTTCGGGTTGCTCAATCAGGCTGGTATCAGGACAGCTTACGTCAAGCCCGCCGGTCCAAAGTCTTTCATAGCGAAGAAATGTGACATGATACCGATTGAATGGGTTACCAGGAGGCAGGCGACCGGCAGCTTTCTAAGAAGACATGCCGGTACGTCCGAGAGCGTTAACTTTACCGTTTACTTTAATCAACGGGAAAATCGAGGAAAATGGATAGCATAATATACTCTTGACGCATTATAATTTTCAGGGGTACCTGAGGGTTACAGATTCAATCCGCCTCTGCAGGAAACGTTCTTTAAGGACGACGCTAATCACGATCCGCAATGGTCCGACGAGCAGATCATCTCCGCGGGCTTCCGAATGGGCGGCAGAAACATAACGAGGGATGACGTAGAAATAATGAAACGCACCACTGTTGTTATCTTCGAGATTCTCGAGAAGGCTTGGACGGTGCGTAACAGCTCGTTGATCGACATGAAGATAGAATTCGGCGTGGACACAAACGGGGAGATTTTGCTAGCTGACATTATCGACAGCGACTCCTGGAGACTCTGGCCCGCTGGAGACAAGAAACAGATGAAAGATAAGCAGGTAAAATTATTTTCCTTTCCGACAGCTTGACGGCATTTCCGTTTCGATATTACATCAGCTGTGACTATTTAAAATTTATTGTACCTGTTATTAGGTGTACAGGGATCTGTCCAATGTAACGCAACAGAATTTGGAGACCGTGAAGTGTAACTTCAAGTGGGTAGAGGAGCAGTTGGATTATGTTACTGACGCACCCATCCCGTTGGTTGTCATACTCATGGGCTCGCCGTCCGACGAGGCACATTGCCGAGAAATTGCAAAGCATGCTAAAGCGTTAGGTCTGAAGCCACAGCTCCGAGTCTGCAGTGCCCATAAGTGTACCGCGGAAAGTCTAAATGTTCTTGCCGAATATGAGGGCAGTGGAGAAAACGTACGTTAAAATTTCATCTTTTTACATTACTGTACTTATCGTGACAAACTTTTAATAGATTAAGTAAAACGTAGGTTCGTTGAAATTACTGAATCACTATTAGAATTACGAAAATGCTTACATATGATTAATAATTATTAAAACAGAGAAATGCAAATCATTTAAATTAACAATTAAGTTTAATTACACAATCCCGATAACTGCAGCAATTTGCAGCAACAGTGACGAGTATTGTGCAATTTTATCGTGATATTTATCGTTACGACATTGGCCGCCAACTCGCGATATCAAGTGTGCCAGCCAAGGAATAATTTATATCAAAAAGCCCATACTGACCCGTCGAAGCGGTCTGCCTTATCCTGTTATGTGTCTTAATCACAAAAAACTCGTTGCGATAAAAAGAATGATAGCTATAAAAAGATTATTTATTTCCGTTTATCACGAGTTTCTCGTGTTTCTTTTTTTCCGTAGGTGGTACTGATAGCGGTGGCCGGCCGCAGCAATGGTTTGGGTCCAGTACTCTCCGGCAACGCGGTCTTGCCGGTCATAAATTGCCCACCTCTGAAATCGGACAATATCGAACGAAGCGTGTGGTCCTCGCTCGACGTCCCGTCAGGTATTCTAGATAATTTACGTTCGTGGCGACGTGAACTTTCTGTCTTCTGTAATGTAAAGCGAAAATTATATTTCCAGGACTTGGCTGTACGACGGTCGTGCATCCAGAAGCAGCTGCCCTCGCGGCCGCGCAAATCCATGCGATGCAGAATCACTTGGTCTGGGCTCGTTTGCGAGCGAGGCAACTCTCCAGCTATATAAGTCTAAAACGAGCCGACGTTGAATTGCGAAAGTTGTTGTGAGCAAGTGTGTTTCGTTGTAACGAAACAATAAATGGCAATTGTTTTCTGAAGAGCACATAGCAGTACGAGCAGTGAGAAGATTTGTATATTCCTTTACACACATTTCAGTGTATCAATTCACTTTGAAGTATTTTGTAGAGAGCGATTATTCTCGATTTTCTTTCTTCATGTGTATTTTCTTTCCACCATGCGCCTCGAGATGCAATTTTTGTCCCATTAAAAGTGCGACAGCATGATTGTGCCATAGATTGCGATATAATCTGAATTTTGTTGTATCAATGATCACGTTAGCTCTTTTCATATATACTCTACTGTTATTGATTCTAGTAATACTTTACTGGTTTCAAGTATGCAATATTCGTCTATTTCCGTTTAAACAAATTTTCGAATAATGTAAAAGTTTTTCTTTATGAATTTATAAAATGTATGTTATATCTAAAATAAAAGAAATGCAAAGCATTGACGTTCTCTTTCTATGTATTATACAATTATATCATTCTTTGAATTATACTAATAAGTGAAATGATATATAATTATATAATACACAGACATGTATGTATATACAGAACCGTGTTTGCACAAAGCGATTCTTCAACATATGTACCCAAGAAATATGTTATGAAGAAATAAAAGTTGGGGTTGGAATCATATAAAGAATTCTCAATTATTTTATACAAAAAATATATCCAACGGATTGCATATATGAAAGTGAAACACATCGCCTTCTATTACTTTCATATACAATTTCATACACAATATAGACCCCTGTTACTTTCATATACAATTAATAAACACAATTGTCCACGTATTTACACGTATATACTTATACTCTCTTATATACATGTAAATAAAAAATAGGAGCATATTGCCTTACTGTACACTGAATGCTTGTATTAATCACTATTAAACGTCCCTCACTTTCAGCTTGCTAGAGCTTCGATCTCCGCCAGCTCCTTCGGACAGGTTTTCGTTAAGACTTCCGGGCCGTTTTCCGTTATTAAAACATCGTCCTCTATACGGATGCCTAAGCCGTGAAAGTGCGACGGTGCGTAAGGAGTCTTCGGACTTATGTACACGCCTGCAATGCAGCGAGAAGAAAAACATAAATTACATAAATTAATTTACATTAATGATTTGCAAATGACTCTTTTAAGACAAATAACGAACGGTACCGGGTTCCATCGTTATTATCATCCCAGGCTGTATCCTTATGCTTCTGGATATCTTTCCCGTGTCGTGCACGTCCATTCCGAGATAATGACTGACGTGATGCGGACAGTACGCGTACGCGGCCGCCAATAATTTGTCCTCGTCCATGTTCTTCGGTATCACGTTAATCTCCTGCAATCTTTCGCCCAGCAGAAGGCACATGTGACGGAACGCGTTGTCCAACGACGGCATCTTCCTCAGGCTCTCTATCAAGTTCTTCTGCACGTCGAGCACTATTTCGTAGAGGACCTTTTGCTCCGGCGTAAATTTACCGTTGACTGGCCACGTACGCGTTATGTCGGACGAGTAGCCGTGATACTCGCAGCCTGCGAACGGACAGAGGAGTGTAAGAGCGTACTCAAATTACGTACTAGAATTTATAATTTTATACACACATATCTATACAAACCTACATCCATCAAGACCAAATCGCCGCTTTGTATAATTTGATTGTTATTGATATAGTGTATTATGTTCGCATTCCTGCCAGCCGCTACCACGGGGGGATACGCCAGGTATTCCGCTCCGCGCATACGACACTCGTAGTCGACGGTGGCGAACAACTGGTGCTCGCTCATCCCCGGCTTTGAGAAACGAATCGTTCTCGCGATGGCGTCCGAGGCGATTCTGCAGCTCTCCCGCATCAAGTCGGCCTCGCAGGCGCTCTTGATCAGGCGTATCTGGTGAAACAAGATCTTGGGGGAAGCAAACGTTTGATTGTTCGTCAGTTTGATCAGGTGACACAGCTTCTTGTGCAACGCCGGTTGAACAACGTCCGCGTGATCGTACCATACGACGCTGCTGCTGTCCTGCTGCACGAGCGAGGCCAGGAACTGCTCGAATTCCGCGATCGGCAGCGCGCGATCCGTGCCGAAGACCTCGGTCGCCATCTCAACGCCGGTCCTCGGGCCGTCCCACAATTCCGAGTGTTCGTCCCTCGCTCTCACGAATAGGGTGTACGACGACTCGTCCCCCTTGCACGCGAGCACGAGAACACTGTCGGGCTCCTGGCACCCGGAGAAGTACAAAAAGTCCGTGTTTTGTCGAAAGACGTACGGTATCTTGTCGGACATGTAGACCTTGCTCGACGCAGGTATGACGACTATTTGCTGCCTGCCCGCCACGTTCTTGGCGTTCGCCATGACGCTCTCCACTAACTTGGAACGTCTTCTCTTGAGCTCCTGCAGCGATACACCTGGCAGCACCTCGCCGCGCTTTATCAAGTGCGGATGCGTCGTCGACGTCGGTTGCCCGCACGCGTGCGGGTAAGCACCTCGGGTGTATTCTCGCTGCGTCAGGTTGCTCTTGAGCGTCGTTTCCGTCGAGAAGCACGCCAGCAATTGACAACCTAAAATTATATATCGAGGAATCTTAAACGCTGACTTTTTCTAAAATACTAAAAATAAAAATATTGCGACCTCGTGTGAAAAAAAAATTAATGTGCGAAATAATTTTCTCTCATTGTGGAAGCGTTACAAGCGTATATACCGGCATAAACGTAGTTTTTCTCACCTAATTTATTCGGATTGTATCTCAGCGAATGTTTTATGCTACTCAACATATTTTTTTCCTCCTAAGTATTGTTTGGCACTTTCGGCAGCCACTGGCGCTCGCTGGCGAATTTTATTTTTGTACTTTGTTTACCACGGACGATGTAATGTTTTGCAACATTCGATGTAGAAGTTAACCTATAAAATTTTGACCAAGTACATTCTGTCCCGTCCGTCCCGTCTCGCACAGCTGACTTGAGGAATAACCAATCACGTGTTTAACATGAAAGCTGCCACATATGATGCGATAATTGACCTTTCTGTGCATTATGCAAATTTACAAGATAGAATTACAAAATGTTATATCAATTTATATATCAAGCTGTATTAGCTATAATTGGGCATTTTTAACAGATTTAGCAGAAATTAGAAACAGACAAGTTTGTTTACAACAAAATAGATGTATATATTGTAATAAACAGTGCAAGAAGTTTAGTTATACAAAAAATAAATCTAATTGTAAGAATGAGCAGGACGGAGAGAGGGACGAGACGCGGGAATATTTCCTAACAATAAGATTGGTCATTCTCTCCTTTGTTCTGACAATTAACATCGTGGCGTCAGTGTGTGTGTTCGATACGTCAGTCGTGCACGCGGCAGACACGGAGTCGCAATTTTAAATGTGTATATAAAGACGTAGAGTGATAGAATCGAACAATGCAATTGGGATTATTCGAGAAGCAGCCTTGCGTCACCGATGAAACAAGGCGAAAACAGCCACGTTCTCTTTCGCGCCAATGCATAGTCACGTGGCCGCGAGCAAGCGCAGGACCGCAGGCTGGACAGGAGAGGAAACAGCTGATCCCGGACGGAGAGAGAGAGAGGAGTGTCCGGAAAAAGTGGAGGATCCTGGGACAGGGGAGTGTGGGTATATCGTCTACTGTGCACGGCAGTTCGTTGACAGGTCAAAGTGTCAGGTGTCAGAGACGACGTCGGCGGGCGGTGCGGAACGCTGCGAAATGCCGCGCGTGTCGCCGGACGCGCTCGATTACCGCGCTATCGCGCGAATATTGGCGACACTAGCGTGACATGACAATCGGTGGGTAATCCGAGCGGCCGATCGACCGTCGGGGGATCGGGGGATGAAAGAGCGCGGCGCCCCGTGTGCGTGTGTTGTGTGTTCGTTCCGAGTGCCGCGAGTGTGTGCGCGTCAAAATAACGATCACCAAGTAATGTCACACGGCGGTGGTGCTCGGCAGTGCTGAGTTCCTAATCGCGTCGTAGGGTGAACTTGACAGCGACGGATGTCTGCGGACGGTGACAGGCGCAGGTAGAGGACGGAACGGGCGGCGAAGGCGAGAGATGCTCCGGGGCCGAGATGCCGCTGGAAGTGCGCTGATCGCTAACCTCCTTCCTCTCCCGCGGATCGCGTTCCGCTACGCCCGGGAATAACAGTCGACAGTCGATCGAGAATCCTCGCCCCCCTCGCGAGGAAACGTCTGCCCCTTTCTCTTCCCCTTGATTAACGAGTCGAGTGGGAAAGAGCGAGAGAAGGACTTGGGGGAGGTAATAAATTTAATCAATCCTCCGGACGCGGGATTTTCTATTTATTGATCGGCGGCGGGGCAGATTGACAGCCGTCATGCGATCGCGTGGAGGCGAGACGAGGAAACGGCACTTTCGAAGGAAACGAGACAATTTTTAACTGAATCTCTTAAGAGTTGTAGATCTGTCAGTCTGTACTCGAGTCAACGGATCTGTTTGTAACATTGGGAGTCTCTGTGAGTAAAGATTGTAGAAGACAAGATGAGCAGCCAATTAAATATAACAGTTAGGCCGGAAGTAAGATTGGACGCCAAGTGGTTGAAGACTGACCTACAACGATTCCTTTATCGCGATGGGCTGGCCGAATTGTGGAACGAGATGGTGCGAGATGGCGAAATTGTTGGTTCTTTCAGCGATGGTTTAACCAACGCTGCTGGAATCGTAGCGAAGAAAGGTACTTACCTTTTACATTCACTTGAACGTAGAAATAAATTGTGAAAGAAACGTGAAAAATATATAGAAACAGATTTAATCTATATTAGGTTTATCTATATATTATATCTGTATTTCTGAATAAAACACTATGCTCTCCTCTTTGGAGGCAGGAGAAATAGAGAAAACTCACAAATGTAGATGAAAAGAGTATAGACAGTAATTTTAATTGCATTAAATTCTTTTTAAGATTCTTTAATTCTTGATTTCTTTTTAATATTTATTTTTAAGATTCTTCACTAATTTCTTGTATATATATTTTTCAGGTGAAAATGGCCATTACTATTGCAGTATGAGAGTGTTATCTTGTCTTTGCTGCGATGGGATTTGTGGCCCGCAACATGGCTGTAATTGTACTCCGTGCCAGAAACTGGATGAGGAAGAAACTGCGAGAACAACAGCAATGGTTGAGAAGGCTATGTCTGCAAGACGGATAATGGACTCGTGGCTCTGGGGACCACAGCCATGTAAACACATTTGTATTAATGTTTTGCTTGTATTTTATTTTAAACTACTTGATTGAATTTTTACTCAAAATATTTTGTGTCTGAAACATTGGAAAATATTTACTTAAAAATAAGGAAAATTTATATAAATAGTTGGTATTTCATTCTTTAGATAAAATATCAATCAATTTTGCAAATAATTTATTATATTTTCATATATATTCGTTTGCATTAATGAGAGATAAGAAGCACCATTTTTATCTTGATATCTATTTATTTACGTTTGCATGTATTTTTTCAGCGTTAACAGACTTGAAAGGATGCATCGATTTATCGATTAAGGAGCAACGAAAGTTGTGTTGCGAAGTCGCAAATAGCACATTGTCGGCCACACGTTTGAGACAACGCTTGATAGTCGCTCGAAGATATTTCACCGCTTTGTCTCGTCATAAACCGCAAGAGATCAAAGATACCTCAAATTTACCAAAGTCTATCGGGAAATTACAAAAAACGTTGAGTATAAAATTTCGTATATAGTATACACGATTATAATAAGTCACGTGTTTACATTGCGAATCTTATTATTATATATAGCACAGGCCAAAAAAATTTCCTAAATGATTTGTTTTCTCGTGCACGTTACATGCAGAATATCGAAATATACATAAATTATATCTTGATCCTCTTCAGAGTACGTTATTTTTTTGTATTTTGTTTGAAATAGCGCTTACGAGTCTTTAATAAATTCTTAAATTTTTGTCAATCGCAGGCCGAGACCTAACGAAAAGGCGACCTTAGGATTAGCGCGCGTCGGTTCACGCGCGGCTCTCAATTTCTCGTTCGCGTACTTAAGACGGGCTTGGAGATCCGGGGAAGACGTCGAATTTTGTAGTGAATTATTGACCGAATCGTTGGAGGCGTTGCAGTCGTTACCGGAGGCGACTCTCTTCGACGAGAGTAACGTTTCTCAAGTCTGGCTGGAGGTCGTAGAAAGATCGGCAAAATTCTTAAGACAAGTTGTCACGGGGTATGTATAACTCGGTTTTATTTACATTAATTCATTTTCATTTGCATTAATTTCTCGCACGAATGGACATACATGATATTTATTTTCAGGGAGGTGACCACCGGACGATCGTGGCGTCCAGTGCCGTTGTCAGATCAGCACACGGCTCTTTGCCTGTTACTGGAACTGGTTGCGCAAAGGGCCACTCTCTCTAGTTTATTAGACTCCGTGGTTTTATTACTTCATCTCAGTGGTAAACATAAGAATCAGGACAATCGAGTCACGCCGCCCGGAAGCACGGCCCCGCTCGTCCCGCTGTTACGGCGACTGAACATGATACCGGCGACCAAGTCTCGCAGGCATCTCGACCGAAACGTCACACCGGGACCCTGCGAAGTGCTACTTAAATATTTACGATTGCCGGACGACGATGCCGTGTCCGTCGACCTGAGGAAAGCCGCGGTTATTGTAATGTGTAATTTAAGCAGATTGGCCGCTCCCCTTCTGCCGCCCGCCAGTGCCGAGTACGGATTCCCGAGGAACGGAAACGGCCGGCAGACATTTCAGGAGGTGCTAGCCTGGGGCGGCGTAAAGTTTGGAAACGGCTCCACGCCCTTTTACTGCGATGCAATCGCGGAATTGGGCGTAAAACAGCTGTGCTGCACCGAGCGTGCATTAATGATATTGTCGTTGAACGGCAACGTTTACAATATGTATCACGGATCCGAGACTCAGTATCCGCAGAGAGTGCACGGTTTCTCCGACAAGCCGGTCACGATGATCGCGTCTCACGCGGACGGCAAGCATTACTTGGCGCTGACGCAAGACGGCTGCGTGTATTCCTGGGGCAACGGAGACGGCGGTAGGCTCGGACACGGTGACACCGTCTCGTACGACGAGCCGAAATTAATCGAGGCACTCTTGGAGAAGAACATCGTGTTCATAGCGTGCGGCAGTACGTACTCGGCGGCGTTGAGCGCCAGCGGCGAATTGTACACCTGGGGAAGAGGAAATTACGGTAGATTGGGTCACGGTAATTTCGACGACGTCACGAGCCCGACGTTGGTGACAACGTTGAAGGGCCACACGGTCGTGCACGTGGCCTGCGGTAGCGGTGACTCTCAAACCCTGTGCGTGACCGCGTCCGGCATCGTCTTCTCTTGGGGAGACGGCGATTACGGGAAACTTGGCAGAGGCGGCTCGGACGGATCCAAAACGCCCAAGATCGTCGACAAGTTACTGGACATCAACGTGGTGAAGGTGTTTTGCGGCGGTCAGTTCTCCGCGGCGCTGACGGTTCACGGGGAGGTGTACACGTGGGGAAAGGGCGACACGTATCGCCTAGGTCACGGCAACGAGGAACACGTCAGGTATCCCAAAGTCATCGAGTCGTTGAGAGACAAGAAGGTCAAAGACCTGTCCGTAGGCACCACCCACATACTGGCGCTGACGGAGGATCAATTTGTCTACGGATGGGGTAGAAACGACTACGGTCAAATCGATCCCACCTTAGGCCCCGTCATCTCCGAGCCTACGATGTGCCCAACGTTATCCGCGAAGACCGTCATCGGTCTGGCGTCAAGCCCGACCCAGAGCTTCGCCTGGTGCATGTCGGCGTGGTCGGGCGGGGCTAGCAGAGTGGCCTTCGTCGTCGACATATGCGAGGAGACCTTCCAACTGCTGGACACGCTTCTGTCTAAATCTTGCGAGGGCCTACCGGGAATACGACCGCCTACGCAGGATCGCGAGTGCCTGGCGGTGGCTACGTTAAATTTGCTCCGTTTGCAGTTGCATACCATGTTGACGCATAATATTGACACTAAATCCGTCGGGCTGGCAACCAGCAGTCCGCTGTTGAGCTCCTTAAAGCAACGCTGTGTCAATCTGGCAAGCGCGACCGGGATATTAGCGACGATACAAGAAGCGGCGCAAGCGGTTCTGCAGACCGGCTGGAGTATACTGCTGCCAACGGCCAATGAGCGTGCGAAAACACTGTCTAGTTTCCTGCCAAATACTTCGAACAACGTGGAACAATCGAGTTCAGCGAATATATATATAAATAACGGACAGCGGTTCATGGCCGATTTATTGGTATCTAGTCTAATGGTGGACGGTGGATTGGAGTTAGCGTTGAAGGCTGCGATTAAAGTGGAGATAGCGGACATGCCGGACGAGAAGGATTTCCTCGAAGTGGGCACGTCGAACGTTGCCAGGATGAAGATCGAAACGAGACAGAGTATGAAAGACGGTTTCAATTCTGGGAAGAACATCACGACTATCTCGCTGCTTCAGCTAATACAGCAGTTAATTAGAAACGGCACGTGCATTACGCAGTCTAGACTGCAACAAGGCTCGTCGCAGCAGACGGATCGAAATGAGCATCTTCGAAGATTCGACAATTCGCCCAGCCTGAATCTTCTGCTGCGCTTCCAACGTCTGCTGATCGCGCAGGTGTACGAGTGTATCACGCGCAAGTCACGCACGGAAGATCTGCACGATCAGGAAATGATGGGCGCGGAGTCGCTGCTGAAGAAGTACATCGCGCAGATCTGCGACCACGCGACCGAGATACTGCCGTTGGCGGCCGAGATAGGCGGTCGTTCCGTCAAAGATTTCATCTCTATCGCCAGTGTCCTGAAGGCCGACATAATCAACGTATTACTCTCCGAGCTGGTGACGTGCTTGATATTGCTGCAAGTAGATTACTCCATGCTGCTCATCGATATGAACTGGATGGAGGTAATCGCACCGATTCTGGACTCGCTCGACCACTTCGTGAAGCTCGCGCCGACGATGGAGAAGAATGAAGCGGACGATTTGTCCTGGCCGGGAATCATCGCGCCGCTACATGGAAATAAGATACCCATTCAGGAGGAGCCCTCCTTGATACGGTGGGCGGACTTGGAGAACCACAATCGCGACGGCGGCCTCTGGGTCGTGGTGAACAACAATGTTTACGACGTGCAGGACATCAGAAACGACGGCTCCTGGTCTCCCTACGAGGTGCTGCAACGATACGTCGTCGGGCGGGACGAAACTTCAGCGGTGACGCAATGCGGCGCGCCGTACAGTCAGTTGTCGCCGCGGGGCATGATGGACTCCTGTTTCGTCGGTCATTATTGCCAGGCCGAGCCCGACGAGAACACACGGGTCACGATCGAAGTGACCGACGTCTGCTCGTCTCTGCTGGACACGGAAAGAGCCCTGGGATTTTTGCTGGGCTTGCACGCCTACCGTATGCGGCAGAGCCTGACGCTTCAGTCGGCGGAGAAGGAAGCCGGGGTGTGGCTCACCGCGAATTTCTTGCGGGGCGGCCTGCAGGTCCTGCAACCGCCGAATCCGTACGAGGAGGAGAAGGACGAAGCGAGGAGCAACACGTCGACCGCCGCTAACTCGCCCACGGAGCCGCCGCTCCCGGTGCACGCGAAGAACGAGCAGCAAAAGGAGCACGACGACCGAACGATCGCATTTATACACGCGTTAGCGGAGGCGCATAAGACCGACGACGGCCATGTGCGGGCGTTCCTAACGATAGTCGACAGGTACTCCAAGGCTAACAATCTATTCTCTCACGCTGATTTCTGCGGCGATCATCCGGTCGAGGAGATCAGTCGCGTTTTGATGGCTGTGATTATAAAGCACCTTGGCCTGGGACAACAAGCGTTCGCGCTAGCCGAACAGGAATTGAAGACCGTCAGCAGCGCGAGACTGAGCAATCAGCTGGCCGACATGGCGCGAGCGATTTACCAGACCAAGTGGAACCTGGTGCGGATCAGGCAACAGCAGAATCGCAGCTACAAGGAAGTCTGCGCGCCCGCGCAGGAGAGATGCAGATTTCTTCTGTATGAAGTCAGATCCGCGACGAGTTACGAAGTTAAAGGGCTCGAGGATCTGAAGCTACTCCATACCGTCCCTAAATTCAAGAGAGCCGCTCGCACGATCTTGGCCGATATTCGCAAGAATAAAGATTCATCCGGCGGAGGCGGTAAGCCGGAGGATATTTTGAACGCGTCGATACAAAACGCCAAAACGAAAAACAAACCGGACGGGGATACGACGTCCTCCTCCAAGGAAGGTCTGACCGCCGCGACTTCCTCCTCCGCGAAACTGGAAGATATATTGGATATAAAGAACAAGATTATGCAGTTGACGGAGAAGATTCGATGCGGACCGATGCAGTGGGCCACTGCCGACTACAATGGCTTAATGACAAGTATTATCGAATTCGTCATCAACGACGGCATTGGCGGGGACGTCGAGACGTTGCGCCGTGCGATGTACTGCCAGATGCAACGCGCCCGTGTGCGGGAACAAGGTATCTCCATGATGCGGGAGTTATTGAAAAGAGACTATCTGATACCGTCGGTAAAATATTCTCTGCTTAACGGCTGGCTCGGCCTGACCTACGAGAACAAGTCTCTGAGCGACGGGATAACGCATTGCCTGTATAATATACAGTTAACGACCCCGTATCAAAAGTCGAAAGTTATCCTGGCTGAGGCCGAGGTGATCTCATGGGCGGTACAAGCACTGCGGACATACGTCATACAGGCGGAGCTGCCGAACAAGCAGAAGGTCAGCGGGAAGAGCAGCTTGAATCAGGGTACTTACACTTGGCTGCGAAAATTACCGAGAGCGAGATTCCTGCTGACTATCCTCGGTATGCTGACCAATCACCAGTGTGCCAACGAGATCGGGCTGCTGGTCAATTCGGGCCTGTTATCGAGCATCTTGACTTTACTGCGGCAAATCGGACCGTCGTCGGCGAGTTTCTGCGAGGGCGGCGAGGGACAGCAAGGCGGAGACGGCGAGGCGCCGAAAGCTAAGACGGAAATCACGACGATTTACGAAGATGCCCTTCAAAAGAACAAGCCGCCGACCGTTCAGCTCAGCGGGATGGAACTGGCGGCGTTGATGAAGATTGGCACTCGGGTTGTACGAGGGGCCGATTGGAAGTGGGGCGATCAGGACGGTTCGCCGCCCGGCGTAGGTAGAGTCGTCGGCGAGCTCGGCGAGGACGGATGGATTAGAGTGCAGTGGGACAGCGGCGCGACAAATTCGTATCGCATGGGTAAGGAAGGTAAATACGATCTGAAGCTCGCCGATCCGCCGACGCCTCCCGACGACGACAGCGACGAGACTGATAGCGATACTTCACTCGACGGGAATAGAACGGAGAGCACCGGTTTTCGCGGGGAAGATCTGCACCCGACCACGTGCCTCAAGTCGGCGTCGACGAACTTGCTGCGAATAATCTTACTCTCCTGCGGCGTGGAAGCGGATAAAGTGCCCGCCGTATCCGTTAAGATTCTCACCTCCACTCTGCACGGTATAATCTCGACTGCGAACAGATCCGGCGAGTCAACCACGCAGGTTCAACTAGCGAGGCAGCATCACGAAACTTGGGCTACTTTTAGTCTTTTGAGGGCGATCGCGAAGTCGACGGGATTGTGCAAGTCCTTGAGTTCGCAGGCCTGGCTCAACCTTCTTCTGGGTATTGTCGTCGACGAAACCAAACCCAATCTCGAGAAGCAAATCATGATCACGAAACTGCTGGCGGCTGTTCTACCTTCATGGGGGACGGAGACAGTTCTGAGCGACATGATACAGTTCTTGGACAAGTCCTTCGGGATATTGGGCCAAGTGGCTCTCACGTGCGACAACGTCGCCGGCTCCGAGCTTCACTCGAACAAGTGCCGTATGTCTTTGACCGCGTCGTACAATTCTACCGTAGCTGAGGAACTGACGTGGTTGATTAGATTTCTGCATGCTCTTCCTGGCTGGAACGAAGCCATAAACAGATTTCTCTCCACGAAGCTGGCGCTGGCGGTGGATCTCTGGAACGACAGCTCACTTTATCACATACAGATGAATGAGAACGGTGGCGAAAATGCCTTCAGAATCCAAGAGACGGTCATGGCAACCCTCGTCGTCATCGGCGGTTTGGATAATAGAATAAGAATTGGCGGTTTGGTGAATTGTGACGGCGAGATAGGCACTGTCTGCAAGTTTACGAAACACTCGAAGATTGTTATGCAGCTGTGGAATGGCAACGGGACGCGGAAGATAGTACCGTTTCACGCGGTGAAGCGGGTTAACGAGAAATTCCAGTTGGAGAGAATGCCTTTAACGGAGACGCTTATATCTGTCTGGGCCAATTTGCTTTTAGGTAAATATACGTAAGATAAATCGGCCAAGGTTTAAGTGACTGTGAGCGAAGGTAACATGGAATCACCAAAAACTCAAGTTAATAAATAGATAGTTTAATGTCGAGAAATTAATTAATTTTGCTTTTAGGTATTGCCTGTATGGATAAACGACCTGGTGGCATGCCCGTCATCGCTGGCACCGTCAACTCCACGATATTACGAAGGCAACAGCAACAACTCGCGGCCTTGAACGCCGGGAAGGCCATGCTCGCTTATCAGTCGAAATTGCGGAAGATCTTGAAATATTCGTTAACCAATGAAATTAATGACGATGAGAGACGTACCTCCACGCTTCTGCAGGAAATGCTATTGCGCGCCACGAAGCCACAACCGCTGAAACCGATATTTAAACGCAGGGAATTAGAGGAAGCTGCTCTGGCGATCTCTCAATATCTAGTCTCCGAGTTTAGATATAGGCCTATTCAACGAACCGGCATAACTTCGGATCCTACCACCCCTACGTCCGACTGCTCGTTGGTCTCCTTAACATCGAGTCAAAAAAGATACTGTAAGAGCAGCACAGCGGCGAGGAAAAGCTCCACGACGGCGCCTGTAAGTCCTTTGGTGGCTCAGTTAATCGAAATGGGCTTTCACAGGAAGAGTGTTGAGTTGGCTATCAAAAGTATGAGCGTCGCCGAGCAAAGCGTAACGGCAGAAAGTGTGGTGGGCTGGCTGTTGGAAAATCCGGACGCCGCTCTCAGCGACACGGAGACTCTGTCCAGCTTGGAGGGACTGACTGACAGCAGTGACGATTCGATTAGCGAAGATTTGGACGATTCACCATCGGGACAAGAGGGTGCTGCTACGGGTAGCGGCGCACCGCCGACGTACATGAAGCGCTCGGATTTCCTGTCGGTGGACGAGTATGCGATCTACGTGCGCGACAACGTGGCCCCGGGTATGCTGGTGCGATGCTGTAAGAGCTACGAGGAAGTCGAGTACGGCGATGTCGGCCAGGTAGTGAAAATCGATGCGGAAAACTTGCACGATCTGAACGCGCAGGTTTCGTGGCAACGCAAGGGCGGCACGTACTGGGTGCGTTTTATTCACATAGAATTGCTTGGTTATCCGCCGTCCTTGCCAGGTCCGCCCGCGTTGAAGGTCGGGGATAAAGTTAGAGTCAAGGCGTCGGTAACCGAGCCGAAGTATAACTGGGGTTCCGTAACTCATCATTGCGTCGGAGTGGTCACGGCGATAACTAATAACGGCAAGAACGTGTCCGTAGATTTTCCGCAGCAGCACGCATGGACCGGCTGCGTCGCCGAGATGGAGAAGATACCGTCCTGTCATCATTCTGTGATTTGCAACTCGTGCTGCCTGTCGCCGATTTCCGGTCCCAGATTCAAGTGCAAGTGCTGCGACAATTATAATCTGTGCGAGAATTGTTTCTACACCAAGCGATCGCATCGACACGGCTTCAATAGAATTGCGGAGCCTGGTTCGGCGGCCGTTTATGCCGGAAAGCCGGGCAGATACCACAGGCAGGACATATCAGAATCGTATTTGATCAACGATTGGTCGAAGTGCATCAAGACCTTGAGCGTGTCTTCGCAGGAAAATTGGGCGATGCGCCTGGTAAGCGATTGCGGATATTGGCAGAGCTGCGGGTCGCAGGGCAAACACTGGATTCGCTTGGAGATGCTACCCGGCATCCTGGTGCACTCTTTGAAGATCATCGTCAATCCACGGGATAGTAGTTACATGCCTTCTGTAATTGCGGTCAATGTAGGAGATTGCTTTTTTAATTTAATGGAATTAAGAACGATAACTGTACGTTATTCGGATACTAGTGTTACGCTTCTTCAAGACATGAAGGAATATTATCCGTGTATCGAAATAGCGATAAAACAATGTCGAAATAACGGCATAGACTGCAAGATACACGGTTTGCGCATAATCGGTCAGAACATGTTCGAGAATCAACTGACGACCTCGGTGTCTTTCCTCGCATCTGACTGGGAAGTTTTGCAGGAACAAGTGGCGATACAACGTTGCACCGACGCACCGCCGCAGCAATCAGCCGTTTACGTGTGGGGCTTGAACGATAAGGATCAACTAGGAGGCCTGAAAGGATCAAAAATCAAGCTTCCAGTGTACAGCGAAGTTCTCTCGAAATTAAAACCTATTCACATAGCCGGAGGCAGTAAGACTCTCTTTATCGTTAGCCAAGAGGGCAAGCTGTACGCTTGCGGGGAAGGAACGAATGGTAGGCTAGGTCTGGGGGACGACAACAACGTGTGCGAACCGAAAGCCATACCCTTCCTAAGTCAATTCGTGATCAAGAAAGTGGCGGTACACTCAGGCGGAAAGCATGCCCTGGCGCTCACTCAGGACGGTAAAGTATTCTCGTGGGGCGAAGGCGAGGACGGCAAACTAGGACATGGAAATTGTTTATCACTGGATAAACCGAAGCTCATCGAGACACTGAAATCAAAGAGGATTCGAGACATCGCTTGCGGATCGGGACATTCGGCGGCGATCGCGAGTAACGGCGAATTATATACCTGGGGCTTAGGCGAATACGGTAGACTGGGCCATGGAGACACTGTCACGCAAACAAGACCGACATTGGTGCAGGCTTTGGTCGGACAGAGAGTCGTCCAAGTGGCTTGCGGCAGCAGAGACGCCCAAACTATGGCTCTGACCACCGATGGCTGCGTGTATTCCTGGGGCGACGGTGATTTCGGCAAACTCGGCCGAGGTGGAAGCGACGGCTGTTACACGCCCTTATCGGTAGATCGACTAAACGGCTTGGGTGTCACACAGGTAGAATGCGGCGCGCAGTTTTCCCTCGCCCTGACGAAGTACGGCGAAGTGTGGACGTGGGGAAAGGGAGATTACTTCCGCTTGGGTCACGGTAACGATCACCATGTTAGGAAACCCACGCTGGTCGAAGGTCTACGGGGTAAGAAAATCATTCATGTAGCAGTTGGCGCATTACATTGTCTCGCGGTAACCGATATCGGTCAGGTGTACGCCTGGGGTGACAACGACCATGGGCAGCAAGGCAACGGCACGACGAGCGTCAACAGAAAGCCGTCGTTAGTGCACGAGCTGGAGGACGCGAGAGTGAACAGAGTATCCTGCGGCTCGAGTCACAGCATAGCTTGGGTACTGGTTGATCAGCCCAGCAATGGGAACCAAGAGCCAGTCACCTTCCCGACGGTGAGAGATCCGTTGGGCCAGATGTGTCTGGGCCTGAGTAACGCGCCGGAGCAAAACGGCGCAGTTGCTGCAACAAGTGATGCCGCCGCCACGAGGCCGTCGCTCGCCAGTATAATACTCTCTTTAGAGAGCAACGTTGCTAAACAGCAGGCTTTACAGCACGTGATAAATGCTCTTCTCATTATGCAGGCACGAGTGGCGATAGTGACGGCTTTGCAGAGCCACTCGATGCTGAATGGCTGCGTGTCGATGAAGCACGCGCCGATAGCACCGGTGGCGGACGTGATACCACCGACGGAGGCAGCCATGACATCGAGTACCGAGCACGCGGTTTATCAGAACGTCGGTGACATCGCGCAAGGCGGAGGAGAGGCACCGGCGAACGTCGCCGAGGCCGTCAATGTGGCCACCAGCCCTAAGCTGACTCCCGAATCGGAGGATTATCCGTTAGCCATGTTAGCCATGTCCATGTCCAGCTCCGCCAGCCTGTCCTCGCGTGCCTCGAGGATGTCGACGAGCGCGATGAGTGTTATAGCGGCCACTTTAACGTCCAACGCGCAAGTGGTGGGCGAGGACGGCGCGACAGCCTCTGGTTTGGATGAATTTACGTCGGCGTTAACGGAAGACGACGCGAGAGTTCTGGTGGATCTATTGAAGCTGGCGGTGGCCAATAGAGTCTGCGTGTCGGCCAAAGAGACGATATCCTCGGTACTGATCGCTCTGGGAAAGGTCAACAGTTCCATCGGCAGTATGCTGCTGGAACTGTGCGTCACGGAGCTGGAGGACACCGCGGCTAACAGCAACTGCGTCAATAACACGCCGCAGCCCGTGGTACAAGAAACGCCGCATCCCTACATAGACGACACTACGTTGACCGGCCACGTGAAGATACCCGGCGCGGAAGCGCTCCGGGTAGAATTCGATCGGCAGTGCTCGACGGAGAAGCGGCACGACCCGCTCACGATAATGGACGGGAGCGGCAGGGTCGTGGCGGTCAGATCCGGCAGAGAGTGGACCGAGTGGGGTCCAGAGATCAAGATCCAAGGGGACGAGCTGAGATGGCGATTCTGCTCCGACGGATCCGTCAACGGCTGGGGCTGGAAGTTCACGGTGTATCCTATTCTGGCGAAAACTGCGCCGTACGAGCTCGGATCCGACAGGGCAGTATTGTCGCAGCCGACCATAGCTCTGGCCGAGCATCTCCTCATGGACAACAGTCTGATAAATTCCGACAGGAATGTCGCGTCGCGTTTGGCCACCGCCCTGGGCCAGTGCAGTCAATTGAGCACTCTGTCCGCGCAGCAGAGGATGTGGGCGTTGAGAAAATTGCAGGTGGTTTACACAAACGGGCCGGGCATAAAGCCCGAGGTGGCGCTCTCCTCTCTGCTTGGTTCTCTACCGCAGGCGCTTTTGAGACAGTACACGTACGAGGATCCTATGGTCAGAGGTGGCAAGCAATTGATGCACAGCGACTTCTTCAAGGTTCTCGTGGCGCTCGCGTGCGACCTCGAGCTCGACGGAATGCAATTCTGCTCCGAGATGCACAAGTGGTCCTGGTTCCGAAGGTACTGTCTCGCTGCACGCGTGGCGAAGTCGCTCGTCGACCGCATTCCACTGCCAAAGTCGTTCTGCCACGAAGTGACGAAGCAGCTTAACGAGATGGCGATGGACGGAGACGCCGACTACACGAAGGATCACGAGAATCATAACATATTCAAGCAGGGACACGACGAGCAGCTGCTGCAGTGGTTGAATCGTCGCCCGGAGGACTGGACGCTATCGTGGGACGGGTCAGGCGCGATTTACGGATGGGGTCACAATCACAGGGGTCAGCTAGGAGGCTTGGAGGGTCCGAAAGTCAAGTTACCTGCGCCGTGCGAAAGTCTGTCAGCGCTCAGACCGATTCAATTGGCTGGCGGTGAACAGACTTTGTTTGCCGTGACCGCCGATGGAAAGATCTATTCGACTGGTAAACAGTTAACTAGCTCTCCTCGATAAATTATTGCATGGCACATATCGAATTTCAATGTGAATATTTTGCAGGCTACGGAGCTGCGGGACGTCTCGGGATAGGAGGAACGGATTCCGTTATGATCCCGACGCTATTGGAATCGATACAGCATGTATTCATCAAGAAGGTGGCCGTCAGCTCGGGAGGCAAGCATTGTATCGCTCTGAGTTCGGAGGGCCATGTGTATTCCTGGGGCGAAGGCGACGACGGCAAACTGGGACACGGTAACAAGGTGTCGTACGATCGGCCGAAACTGATCGAGGATTTACTCGGCGTGGAGGTTGTAGATATAGCTTGCGGTGGTCATCACAGCGCCGCTATTACTAGCGCTGGCTGGCTGTACACTTGGGGAAAAGGTGAGATATAATTACAGAAAAGTGCTAAAACGCTTTTATATTTCTATGATTTCGAGAATATGTAACACTAATTATTACGCGCTTGAATAATTATTAGATATTAAATTAAGCAATTAAATTTTTAAGTATTATTAGGTAATTAAATTTGAATAATTATTAAATAATTAAATTATTATAAAAATGTAGTTTTGCATTGTGGTAAAAGGGATAATTGATTGCAGGGCGATACGGACGTCTCGGACACGGTGACAGCGACGATCAATTACGACCGAAGGTAGTGGAAGCTCTGCAGGATTACAAAGTGATCGACGTGGCATGCGGAAGCGGCGACGCGCAAACGCTCTGCGTAACCGACGACGACAACGTATGGAGTTGGGGCGATGGAGATTACGGAAAATTAGGCAGAGGCGGAAGCGACGGGTGTAAGGTCCCACTGAAGATAGATTCTCTGGCCGGGCTCGGCGTGGTTAAAGTCGAATGCGGTAGTCAATTTTCGGTCGCTCTAACGAGATCCGGGGCGGTTTATACCTGGTAATAGCAACATATGGCATTTATTGTTATTACACCATTTATTCTTAATTAATTATCTTTAATCTCTTTTTACATTTTTTATTTGCGTGCAGGGGCAAAGGCGACTATCATCGTTTAGGCCATGGCACGGACGACCATGTACGTAGACCACGTAAGGTAGCCGCACTGCAAGGAAAGAAGATCATTTCAATAGCAACGGGCTCCCTGCACTGCGTCGCGTGTTCCGACAAGGGTGAGGTTTTCACTTGGGGCGACAACGACGAGGGTCAGCTCGGTGACGGCACCACAAGCGCGCTTCACAGGCCGAGATTGGTACACGCATTGCAGGGCAAGAAAATCACGAGAGTCGCTTGCGGCAGCGCGCACACGCTAGCTTGGAGCACCGCGAAGGCAACGCAAAGCAGAATGCCGGCGTCCACGCCCATGGAATACGATCTCGTTAAAGATCTGTCGTATTCCGTACTGCGCAACAGGCTGGTGCTACTACATCATTTCGCGGAACTTTTGTGCCCTGCTTTGGCCATGTTTCCGATCACCGGGCATATCGGGCTGAGCAAGCTGGCTCCCATGCTGGTGTACAGCATAAAGGAAGCGACATTCCGCAAGGTTATTCAAGCCACGATGGTCAGAGATCGTCAGCATGGGCCTGTGATCGAATTGAATAGGATACAAGTGAAGAGAGCCAGAGCCAAGGGTGGATTAGCTGGACCAGACGGCATCAAGTCTGTTTTCGGCCAAATGATGTCGAAGATGTCTCTCCTGACACAGGACGTATTGTTTCTACCTCATAGAGTATGGAAAGTAAAATTCGTGGGTACGTAATTCTATTCACGTGTAATCGCGATTTTTCTCTCATTAGATTACACAAAATCGCTAATACATTCGTATCATTTTAGGGGAAAGCGTCGACGACTGCGGCGGTGGATACAGCGAGAGTATAGCAGAGATGTGTGATGAATTGCAAAATGGCTCCTTGCCGCTATTTATACCGACGCCAAACGGCCGCGAAGATAACGGCACAAATCGAGACTGCTTCTTGTTGAATCCCACGGCCGACTCCCAACTGCATATGAATATGTTTCAATTCTTAGGCATTCTAATGGGCATCGCTATACGAACCGGTAGTCCATTGAGTTTAAATTTAGCCGAACCAGTTTGGAAGCAACTCGCAGGTATACCTCTGACACCTGCGGATTTGACGGAAGTCGACAGGGATTACGTCCCTGGCTTGCTTTGCATCAGAGACATGGATCCCGACGAAAAAGTCTTTCAAACCTTAGAAATGCCCTTTTCCACGCCATCCGCTGCGGGGCATGATGTGGCATTATCTAACAGGTATTGCCTTCAGTAATTTTCGGACTTTATAATTTTTATTTATTGTATATTCCATTTATGTATTTTGTTTTCTATTTGATATATGTATATATATATTTCCTAAAATATTTTATATTTAAATTTAACTTGAAGAATTTTATATTTATATAATAAAAAACTACTTAAAAATTTTTCAGATATCTTAAAATAACACCAGAAAATAGACACGAATACGTAAGATTGGCGTTAGATTATAGACTCCACGAATTTGATGCTCAAGTAGCAGCTGTACGAGAGGGCTTATCGAAAGTCGTTCCTGTGCCCCTATTGGCACTATTTAGCGGTGCTGAACTTGAAACGATGGTTTGCGGCAGTCCAGACATACCGCTTAATTTATTAAAGTCCGTTGCGACATACAAAGGTATGCATGCTCGATCGCAAGTATATGTGCTGCATCAAAGCATGCTTGTATGTGACAGCTTTAAAATAAAAAAAATCATCTTTTGCTTTGCAGGTATTGAAGCGATGGCACCACTCGTTCAGTGGTTCTGGGAAGTCATGGATGAATTTTCCAATCAAGAACGATCGCTTTTCCTTCGTTTTGTTTGGGGCAGAACACGTTTGCCACGCACAATCGCAGATTTTAGAGGCAGAGACTTTGTTTTACAAGTAAGAGAAATTATATCCATTTATATCCATCTCTCGATAAACAGCAGTTATTGTACATCGTGCCGTTTATTATTTCATTTCAGGTAATGGATAAGTACAACCCACCGGACCAGTTTCTTCCTGAAAGCTACACTTGCTTTTTCCTTCTGAAAATGCCGCGATACTCGTGTAAAGCGGTTCTACGACAAAAACTGAAGTATGCGATTCATTTTTGTAAGAGCATCGACACCGACGAGTACGCTCGAGTACAAGCCGCAACCAATTCCGACACCGAAGATACAGATAGTTTAGCGAGCGAGGAACACACTTCGCTTTAAATCGTTCATTACGCGAAACGATTATTTTGTGTTTGAAGTAGCATTTCTGTTGACTTCTTTAAAAATGTGTTCACAGATCCTCCAAAAAAAAAACCCTATTTTTCTTACACGGTATATTTATACATATATATACTACACACACTACGCTAATACTTAAATATATATGTACTGCTTTTGTAGCACGACCAGTTAATTGTATAGTAGATGTTAATGAAAAGTGAACAAATCACTAAGATTATTAGGGTTCTCTTAGTCAGTAATATATTATTTAAGTTAAGGTATTATTATTTACTACATTTAGCTAAATATCGAGCAATTTACTTAATTCCGAAATTTTTTACTAGTGTTTTTAGCGTAACATCGAAACTAGTTAGCCTTCAAGAAATAGTTTGTATAACGTCGTTATACGTTTCGAGGTCTTTAGAAATACATTACGATTTGCAAAGCATGAAGCATTATTATATATTCCATCACGATTTTTAAATGGCTGCATACTTCGCGCGCGCGATCATACGTTAAAATAGTTAATATGTAGCGAAAACATGTTCACTTGTCCACTAGTCTTGTTATTTTTATTAAATATAATCAAACCGCGCTGCAGATAAGAGGCAATGCAATGTCATCGGTTCTACTTTTTTTTTTATTGAAACATTTACTGAATTATTTATTGATAATAAGACATATACGACTTGGCACGGCGCATTTCACAATCGAAATATTCTGATACAATATCAAGGTCAAAAGAGTGCTTGCTTGCATTGTTCTCTGCGGTCTAACAATAAAATTCTGGATGTATATAAGTCTGTGAGAGTAAAACTCTTTGTACGAGTCGTTATCAGTGGTAAACATTTCCCAGAGTCTATATTGGCAATGAGGAAAGTTGTTTCCAGAAAATAAACAGTTGATTGGTTTGATTTTATGAAAAATATAATTTATGATATATTAGATTTAAATGGGATTCTTTTTTCCTTAATTCCTTTATATATCCATTGATTCGTATACTTTTTTCCAAGTTTCGATATTTCTTACGATAGACAATCAATTTTATATGAGCGCACATTCACTTTCACAAGCACAAAGAGATAACTGTACAAATGTTACGATAATGTACGATTAATTTTAGTTTCGTTTGGTAAGAACTGGCAAAAACTAATCTCATGACGAAATTAGTGTCTCTTATTATCATTGCGTCAACATAGCAATATCGGATATTTTTAGTGTATAATAATAAGTATAACAATCGCGCGCAACGCAGAAATTACGAAAAGAAAAAAGAAAACATAGATAACGGCCGAGGTACACTTGAGCAACCATGTAGCGTCTTATACACAAATTCCTCTCTCTCTCTCAAGTATTGTTTTTCTCTTTTAACGAATGAAAATATATTGAGCAATGTTGCTTTTGCGATTGACGTCGTTCGTAATCTTTTTTTTCGTTGGGCGAAAAGCAGCAGCACGAAAGCAGCAATTTTCTCAATCGAACGCGCGATGCACGCGGACGCGGACTGATATCGCGGGCGAGAGAGAAGTTAGCGTCGAGAAAAGTGACGATGCATTGGCAAGTTCTTTGATAATGTATATGTTGTAAACAGTGTAATTGTAAAGAATGAACCACACTAGCAGAATAGCTAGCGCGATACCGCGCGCGAGTCGTGAACCGGGGGGGAGACTGTAGTTCAATCTTCGCTAATACTGCAGTCGCGCACAAGCGTCACAAGCTGACTCGGTGAGGCGCACGAGATGCTTCGTTTAGCAAGGAACAAGGTACACGTTTAATTTAAACGTTCGGCGATATACATTATAAATACGGGTTTATTTACAATTTTGTAAAAAGATAAAAACTGCACATATTCTAATACATCTTTTCATATCAGTTACCTAAATGGGGTCTCAGAAATAATCGAGCGGTCGCTACATTCAAAGAGAACGAGACAAAGAGCATCGACGTACCCAGCAATGCAGATGTTGTAATAATAGGTAAATAAAAAAGTTCATTGTCTGTAGAAACAAGACAAAACCTAATCGGATTAGCAGCTTAGACACAAATTGAATAGTCTACATTATATATTAATTAAACAGTTTTTCAGTAATATCTCTTTCTGCACATAGAATTAAAAAGGAATAAGAAGTTATTAAGTTAAATACTAATCAATATTTACTCGCGAATCTCAATATTTACGCGTGAACACAAATTCATATTTCTTAATCAATTCAATAAAAATTCCCATAGGCGGTGGCAGTGCTGGTTGCAATGCACTTTATCAATTAGGAAAACGTGGAGTCAATGCGGTACTCTTGGAAAAATCGAAGCTCATATCCGGCACAACGTGGCACACAGCAGGTCTCCTGTGGCATCTACGCGGGATATGCGACGTAGAGACGGAATTGCTAAAAACTTCGCGATTGATTTACTCGTCCTTGCAAGAAGAGACAGGTATAAATCCAGGATGGATAGACAACGGTGGACTCTGCATCGCTCATTCTCGCGTAAGTCTGAATATATGTATTTTCTCACGCGATTGATATACCTTTATCCATTTCTCGGCGAATAAATATTCATTGCGTGTTTTTCGTAGGAGCGAGTGGCCGATTACGAGAGATTGATTACGAGCTGCAAGAATTTCGATATCGAGGCGTACATGATCGATCCGGTCGAGGCGACAGAAAAATTTCCTCTCCTGGATAAAAATGCGTTTCAAGCTGCGATATATTCTCCGGCGGACGGCACGATAGATCCTGCCATGTTGGTAAATGCGTTGACAAAATCAGCAGAAAAAAACGGTTGCAAGGTACGTCCTATCCATTTTTTTCATCACCGTCATCTGTCCCTACAATACATATATTTACATAATAATAAAACTAATTTTGTGTTCTACAATAAATTCTATAGTGCAGTTAGTAATTGGTAGAATTATTTGTTCGATAGCGATGTGCGTGTTCTATAAAAATGATTAGGAGCAAAATAGAATAAATTATTTTTTAAGGTCATCGAAGATTGTCCGGTCACTAAAATTCTCGTGGAGGATTCCGACAGTCATAAAACCGTTCGCGGAGTGGAAACGCCTTACGGCATTATAAAAACCAACGTCATACTAAACGCGGCGGGAGCGTGGTCCGGAACAATAGCGCGAATGGTCGGGCTGGACATCCCGTTGGTACCGATGAAACACGCGTACATCGTCACCGAGCCGATGAACGTGCGAGGACTGCCAAATATTCGAGACCCCGATTTTAACGTCTACTTTCGGGTGCAGGGTGGAAATATAAATATCGGAGGATACGAGCCAAATCCTATCATATTGAAATTTGTAAGTTCCATAAACGCGTCAAACGTAAGGATCAAATCCAATCGCTGTTGTAGAAAAAAAAAAGCGCAAGACGATTTCAAGTCTACGTACTTTTGATTAACTCAAATGATGTGTATTGTCAAGCCGCCGGAGGACTTCTCCTTTAGCCTGTACGAGCTGAACTGGGACGTATTCAATACTCATGTGGAGGCGATGAATCGGTTGATCCCCTCCTTGGCATCCGTTGGAATAAGAACAACGGTGTGCGGCCCAGAAAGTTTCACCCCCGACCACAGACCTATCATGGGTAACACAAAATTTCAGCATTAATTTACGATCGACGTGTGTGACATAAACACATTAAGTCTAAAATACAACAATGTCTCTGAAAGGTGAGGACCCACGCTGCACAGGTCTTTATTACTCCTGCGGATATAATAGCGCCGGGATGATGTTTGGAGGTGGTTGTGGAGAACAAATAGCATTGTGGATAATTAATGGACGACCGGACAAGCACATGTTCCTTCAGGACATCAGGCGGTAAAAATTTATTCAAAAATTAAGAGTCGAATCTTAAATTGTAGAATGTAATGCGACAGCACAATCATATTTACTTGGCAAATTAACTTTTTTTATATGAATCATTACTTTATAATACGCGCCTTATATTTTTTATGCCGATATATAAAATGTAAAATACAAAGCAGCAACATGACAAGCGGGATGTATTATTCTGTCAATATCTGCACTTAACGCTTTTGTATGTTTCTCTCTCGATCCAGATTTATACCAGAACAAAGAAAAAATTCAATTTGGGTGAACGAACGGAGTCATGAGGCTTACGCAAAAAATTACAATATTGTTTTCTCACATGACGAACATTTAAGCGGCAGAAACTTGAAGACAGATCCTTTCCACAATGTAAGCTATGCTTTATGTCAATTTGAGTCTTATGTTTCAATTAGATTGCCCAGTTTTTTCTTCATAAACATAATGTTATTGCTATTTTTTTTATTTTTATTTTTTTAGTTTCTTGTCAACGAAGGTGCTGTCATGGAAGAACGGCAAGGATGGGAACGTCCAGGATGGTTTCTACCGGATAACAAAACGGCTCCGATTTTACCTTACGATTATGGTGGCTATTACGACACGCCAAAGAACACGAACGACACATATGCCGATATATTGAAAACAGAATGTACATTTGATTTTTCACCCCACGAGAGTATCGTAAGTATTCCCTCCCTTTTTTTTCTTAAGATTTAACTAGAATTATCGAGAAATATTTTCGCATGATAAAAAATGTCGATTCGATAATTTTTTTTTTTACATACTTATCGCAGATACGGGAGGAAGCGCTCGCCTGTAGAAATAACGTTGCCTTATTCAACATGTCGTACTTCGGGAAACATTATTTATGTGGCCCAGACGCGAAAAAAGCGGTGGATTACATATTTACGGCTCGGGTGGATCGGGAGATTAACAGAACCGTGTACACCTGCATGTTGAATAAAAAAGGAGGTGTGGAAGGCGACTGTACGGTAACTGGTCTGGAATCCGGCTCGGGTGGCGTAGTCGATCCCATATTTAAGGGAAAAGCATTTTACATAGGTGTCTATTCGTACATTTTCTCGCGATGACCGCGCATCTTATTTCAATCCCTACATTACAATAATTTTCCATTTCCGACTTTTTTTTAGTGAGCGGAGGCATGTCGTCGTATCACACTTGGGCACATATCAGCAAAGTAATAAGAGATAAAGGTTTCCACGTGTCTGTGCACAATGTCACAGAGCAGATAGGAATTTTATCGGTTCAAGGTCCTAACAGGTATAATCGAAATTGAGTGCGAATACGAATAGACATATATAATTGTTACAAAAGATAAATCTCTCGTACATTATTCGTTCAATGTATCTCATTATTATAGCCGCCAGGTACTTCAAACGTTGATCGACGACGATCTCTCGAACAAATCGTTTCCGTTCTCAACTTCGAAACTAGTGCGAATAGATGGCGAGCTCGTGCACGTGTTCAGACTTAGTTTCGTGGGTGAACTCGGTTTCGAATTGCATATTCCAAGAAGTTCGTGCGAAAAGGTTTACAAAGCTTTGATGGAATGCGGTAAAAAGTACGATATGAAATTAGCCGGCTTCAGAGCGCTCTACAGTTTAAGTTGCGAGAAAGGTGAGCAGCAATGTACAGAGATACGTGTTTGCCTTTGTATTATCCGTGCTAATTGTTAATTCGTTTATCAGGCTATCATCTCTGGGGCTCAGACTTGAGAATAGATGACAATCCGATAGAAGCGGCCTTAGAAATCGTCTGCCGCAAAAACGGCAAGTACTTAGGAAAGGCATCTGTCGAACAGTGCCGTAAAAATGGAATTAAAAAAAGACTGGTACATTTACACACAACTGAGTAAGTATATATATATATACATATATATCGTTTTGCAATACAATCTGACCCCGATATCGTCGGTTCATCAACATTTTAAACGCGCACCGTTTGTGCTTAAATACTCGTTTAATTACAGTGAAATACCACTGTGGGGTATGGAGAGCGTCTACAGAAACGATCAATTAGTTGGTTATCTAAGGAGAGCTGAGCAGGGTTATACCTTTAAGAAGAACATTGGACAGGCGTACGTAAATCGGATAACGAATAGAGATATGAATAATTACGCGTAGAAATATACGTTAACTTTTCCGTCATTCAGATTCATCACAGCTCCGAATGGGCAAAACGTTACGAAGGAATTTTTAGAGACGGGCACTTACCAGATCGCAGCGAGAAGGAAAAAATATCCCGCGAAGATGTATCTTGAAAGCCCGTTCGATCCGCAGAACAAGAGGTTGCTAGGTGTATACACAATATAAAAATACTCTTTATCGATATTACTTCTTCTGATTTTAAACCATCTGCGAAAAGCAAGATGTATGTCTTAATAATCATGAACATTTTATATTTTTTTTCATACATAAAAAAACAGTATAAATTACTTGTGTATAAATTACTACGATGGACGGCAAGAAACACTTTTGTCACTTCAGATCCTATCCCGCTAACGGGTTAGCGTGTATAGTTACGTCATTTATCCTGATTTCCGCGAGCGGTTTGTAGTTCTTAGGATTCACTGGCTGTTTCTCCAATTGCTCCAAGGTTTCCAAGCCGTCGATGACTCTGCAGCAAGCAAATAAAAAGTCAGCGAAATCATTATCACAATTTCACACGCTCTCGCTGGGCACAGAAAGACCGACTTACTTCGCAAACAAAGTGTACTTCAGGTCCAGGTGCGACTGAGGCGCGTAAGTTATAAAGAACTGACTGCCATTTGTATTAGGGCCGTTGTTAGCCATGGAGACGAGACCCCTCACGTTGTGCTTAAGCTCCTCCTTAAACTCGTCCTCGAACTTGCGATTCCATATGGAGGTTCCCCCTTTCCCCGTGTTGGTGGGGTCTCCAGTTTGGACGATGAAGCCTTTTATGTTTCGGTGGAACAGGCAATTGTCGTAGTACCCACTGGCGCAGAGCGCAAGAAAGTTCTGAAACGAGAACGCCAATGCATTATAATTGTTATTGTTCTTAGTTTGTGGTTCGATTCATGCTCACAACGCTTTTGGAATCATTTCATCCTGGTTGTTAATCGAATATCGAATAAAGACAAATGACGCTCATAAGCGGTGCGAGCGTAAATTGGACCATAAGCCTTAATAATGTCCATTTTTACCAATGTAGATTAATTTTAATCTCGGTTTTATTATCTTTTTCCAATTTTTAAAACTAGAAAAAGATATAAAGTAAAATCAAACCTGAATTAAAGTTAATGTACGTTGGTAGAAATAAACATTAACGATATAACCTCTATATCTGCTACATTTTCATATATTTTTACAACTTACACTCAAGTATATTACCCAAGTAACAAGAAGACGTTAAATGACGTTTCAAGAATGTCTCATGTCCATTTCTACCACCGTAAATTAACTTTTTAATCCAGGTTTAATTTTACTTTTATATCTCTTTCTAGAATTTTTTAAGAATTAGAAAAAGATAAAAAGTAAATAAAACCGTGATTAAAATTAATCTACCCTGGTAGAAATGGACCTAACAGGATTACTTGTCGTCACTACACAACAGCATGTAGAAAATTGACTTGTACCTCGCACGTCTTCGGGCACATCTCGCAGAACAGTTCTATCTTGATGTCACCGACATCCGTATGCAACGTTACGCTCTGAAACGAGAAAAAGAACACGATGTTCCCATCATTAAATCATCGTGGGGCACACAAGCTGTGAAATATTGCGGGTAAACATACCATTCTTCAAAATGTACGATCGTGCGTTCGAGTCGAATCTAAAGTGATTTTCGGCAATCGTAAGGCGTTTGACAGCGAACGAATCCTCGTCCGGAGCAAGATCCTCTTGTCACCTCCACGCGCTCAGCGTCTTCGCGCGTTCAAAACACATTCAAGCCGAGAAATCGAAAATCGTTGAGGTTAAGAATGAAATCAACGGGAGAGTCGGGAGAATGATAGAGTGTCGGGAGGCGAGGTGCAGAAAGTGCGGCTAAAATTGCGCACTAGATGCGCGTGCGATTTCCACCACCGGGAGTCAAATATCGTCTGTAACGATCGTCGATCACGGAATTATAATATTTGCATTATTACGTTGCGTTACATTATATTACGTATTAAATTATTACTGTACTATCAATTGTCGTCTCTACATTATTATTCTTACGTCGAAGATATTAACTCTTGTATCATACATCCAGAGTTCGACAAATCGCCTTCAGCGTGATCTTCCGCGGATTCGAAGAAAAGGAATTTGTAGGCGGAATTCTCGCATCCGAGGGGACGATCGGGGGCGGATCATCGGCCGGTGAACGAGCGCAAAATTCGGCATCGTGGACGACGAAGACAATAGCAGCGTGGAGGGTCGGAGGGGGGGGGACAGCAGCCATGATGACGCGTCGCTCGTTTGATCCCGGCGGTGGCCGAGGCGAGAGTGAGAGAGAGAGAGAGAGAGAGGAATTCGCGCCAAGCAGCGCCGCCGACGGCCGCCGCCGTCACTAACTTCCGTGCCGCTGCGTCCACTCTCTCCTCCTGCCGACGCGCACGCACAAACGCGTATACCAGTGGAGTGTGGCGTGGCGTGGAGCGGAAATAGTGAATTCCGTGAATCTCCCCGGGGCGCTCCGTTTCCGCGAGAGAGGAGTAAACCTACGCTTGATCGTCGTCGGACGGACCGCCAGAGCCTAGAGAGCCCACGCAACCCGGGATCGCCAGCAGTCGCGACTTCGCGGGGATTCGCTTTTTACTTAAATCCCGGGCGTGGGGGCGAGGAATATAAAATATAACGTTTTCTCAAGCCGTGTTTTACGGCGCGGGCCGAGGCCGGGATCCGCCGACGAGTGGCGCGTCTGTGGGAGCGCGCGTTCCCCTTGGCGTGAGCGTGACGTAATTGTATTGATCCGCGGCGGAGGAAGGGCCCGAGAGAGTCGCGCATTCGCCATCTTGGACGGAATCGGTCGAGGGAAAAGAAGTTTCTGCGTCCCGTAGGCGCGGTGTGTGTGTGCCCTCCCCCCCTCCCGTCGTCGTCGACGTCGTCGTCGCCGCCGTCGCCGTCGTCGTCGTCCTCGTCGCAGTAGGCGGTAATCCGTGGCGATCCGCGCGTTAATCTAGTTTCACCGGGAGTTAACCCTGTTGTGAATTGGTAACCCATTTGGACGGACCAAGGTGAGTAGTTATTTTTTTCCCCCCCTGTATCCGCGCCGCCGCGGCGGCGGCGGCCCACCGCGGGCCGCCGAGAGTCCTTCCTACGTGGATGCTTCGCTGTACCCGACACTTTTTCCCTCTCCCTCCCCCCCTCCTTCTCCCCTTCCCCCCCTCGTCTCGTCCCTCTCTCCCGCTCGTCTGGGTGCCCTCTCCCCCCGTCCTGCCCGCGTGCCCGTCCGCTTTCTTCGCGACGGGTGTACCGTTATCGCGGACGAAAACCGCGACGGCACGGCGCGGACTGAAACGCTCTCGTCTCGTCTCACCTTGTCTCGCTCGCCGTTTCTCCACACGACCGACCGACCGACCGCGCGTTGTTTTGAGCGGTCCACGGATCTTTTGACATCGCGAGGAGGGGTTGGGTCGGCCCGAGAACACAACGTTACACCTGCCCCTGCCTTCGTCGGCCGCCCCGTCGTCGTGTCAATGTGACACATCGCGAGGGATACCTAAAACGCCGCGCGTTCGCACGAGCTCGCAATAACGTCGACGGGAGTTATTCTCGTCGCTTTTACTTCGGTACTTGTTTTTTTTTCCTTTCTTTTATCGTCACCGCGCGCGAGCGCGTTTACTCTGACAGCGTGACAGACAAAGCTTTTTCTCTCGAGCGAGCCCCCTCGCGCCTCCCTACCCCGCTGACGCCGCTGCTCCTTCCGCGCGGAGCGGCATTTTGCGCGCTTTAGAAACCTCCTCCACGCTACTTTCGCGCATTACCGAGACGAATTGCTATGGAATTAGCGCTGCTAACGTCGCTGCGTTATAGGAAGTTGATCGTAGAGCATTTTTCAGAAGTACTGTATGAATAAAGTGCTATATGCATTATGGCGATTGTTGCGTTAACATGTCAATCTGTTGTAATGCATCGTAATTTTTGCTTAATTATATTATTCTATTAAATTAACGGTGTAGAATACACACACACACACACACACACACACACACACACACACACACACACCCAAGTGGCTTTTATAATGGTTAAATTTTGTGTTGTTAAACGTAGCACTAATTCCATCCATTTAAATTTTAAGAATATGTTTTGTATAATTCAATGAAGCCTTTCAAAGTATAATTAGCGTATTAGAAATTATTGTGCTTAAATCTGAATAGAAATTTCTTTATCATGATTTTCTCAAATTGCAGTTAATATTAACAATGTTCATTGTTAGTATTAACGAAGAGAAGAGAGGAGATGTATTTATAGATAATTTTGATTTTACAGTCAAAGGGTTCGTTCTTTGGGTCTGATTGGTACTAAATGGTTGCGTGCAGACAGCATGTCTACTCTGTCAGGGATTGTGTCGAAGGGGGAGAAAGGAAAATCCAAGTTCCAATCATTAGATATCAATAGCTTGTACCGGGTGAGTAGGGTGAGTTGGCCAACATTTCATTACTTTTTCTTATAAGATTTCTGAGAGTCTTTGTTCACGAGTGTTCCTTGTCACAAAATTTAGATGCGTCAAACGATTCAGTCTAAATAATTATCTTTAACTTTATCAACCTCTTTTACATGTACTTTAATATTATATTGATAAATGATTATATCGTGTATATAAAAGTGTTTAAATATTTTTAATATTAAATATTTGCATACAAAGTTCTTTCTTTTAATACTTGTGCTACTGCTCGAGATAAAAGTTTCTTGCCTGTGGCAAAGCTAGCTGAAATATTTCCAAACCGACATTTCCATATAGGGTGAATCTTTGGAGCCGCATCAGCAGAAAAATACATTACCGCGCAAACATGGAATGCAAAGTCTTGGAAAGGTGCCTTCGGCACGGCGTCCTCCGGCTAATTTGCCCAGTTTAAAAAGCGAAACTAGCAGCAGTGACCCGGCTGTCAGTCTTGTGCCAAGTGGAGGAAGTGGTTGGGCTACTACTAAGGATTCAACATCGTCGACCACTACTACTACCACCACAGTAGCGACTTCATCATTAGATAACACTACTGTACGTTATAATTTAATTATTTTCTCCTAGGATAAGATAAAGGGAATAAGAAAGAATTTATTGCTCCCAGATTACAATTTATTTCATACCCTTTTAATCTCTTAACTCTCCAATCAATTTGCAAATATTTTTCTTTAATCTACAATTTACAATAAATTTCAAACTCCAAGATGTGCTGCTAAATTTAATATTTCCTTGCAGACTGTCTCTTCAACAGCACAATGCGCAGCAGGGACCACTGTTTCAACATCCCTACACTCTTTACTGCCGACACAACAAAATGCGTCGCAAGCTCCTTTTTTGGATCAGGCAAACAACAAATCATCATGGAGCGCGATTATGAGCAGATCAGGAGACGGTATGTAAAAAAAATTATATTCTACTAGCACTACAGGCGCATGTATGCATAATATTAATTAACGTAATATATTATATTAAAATATTAATTTCAAATTATTTTTTCTCGGTTTCCGTTCCATTAATACACTCTTAAATTTATTTATCTAAAAGCAGGCATGTATGCTTAAAATAATATGAAAAATGTCTGGAAAGTTTTTTCAAAATTCTCTAACTAAAAGCTTCTAATGGTGTCTATTTAATCGCTGTTAAAAGGCGAAGAGAAAATCTTCACATTTTTCCATGTGTAGGTATTTCATATAGTCGCCTCCCTCTACGAAAAGGGAGTAAGCAAGATCGTAGGCGGGGGCGACGCATTCAAAATTGATGGTATATGTAGATATATATTATGATTATTGGTTATGTATAAATTATTATTTTCATGCGCTGATCAATAGTATCAAATAGGGTTGAGAATTAATGGTACATTGTACCATTTACACGATATATTATGAATCCGCTGTATATATTAATGTACAATTGTGCGAGGCAATATTATTATAAATGATGCCGCATATAGTATTAATTTGAAATCTATTGGAATATAAATACGCACGTAACTACATCATGAAACGTTAGACAGATGTCCAGAGTTGGATTGATAAAGGACTCGACGAACTCTCTCTTTCTCTCCGAGATAATGATGCGCCGCGATATAGGACGCGACAGTAATCGTTCTCGTTCAGCTAGCATTTGCGATACTTATATCCTTTTAACATCCATTTCTGGACGTTGGGCATGAGTAAAGTATGTGCGGAGTGGTGTCGTTTGGGTGGTGCAAATTAATTGATAGGTACGCCCATTGTGGCAGCAGTGGTTGGTTACGCGGGGCTCGTGGGGGGCGCGAAAGGGGGAAGAGGTGCCCTTGGACTGAGTTTCCTCGCCCACCAGTCCCCGCAGTTCCAACACGAGTTTCCCAGTCTCAGTGGACAGCCGTCCGCCTCCGTCTCCACTCAGAGCCAGACTCAACAGTCCTCAACAACATCCAATGCAATCTCAGTCGCAGTCCATCAATCGTTACTACAGCAACAGCCGTATTCCCACAACCACTCAGGTGGGGTACTGCTTGCCTGTTGCTGCTAGATTCAACTTTTTTTGTTATCTCTCTGCCAGTAGTGCTCTCTGTGCTTTCCCCATGATGGCTTTTTTTTTTGAAGTTGCATTTCGATTAAATTTACTTGATCACGAGTAAGATGGAAGCTGCATAGATTGATGTAAATAAATCTGTTAGCAATGAACCTGTTAGCAATGAACTGCAGCAGAGACGTGCAAGAATGCGCAGCATGCGAATTCTTGTTTCTGTAAAGGCCAATTAATGGGTCTAGTAAACTGTGCTTTAAGAAGTAGTAGTTTATTTACACATTGGATGTTTCATGAAGACTATTCATTTGTACAATGTCTGAGATATTACTGATTGATAAGATATGTAAAAGTAAAAATAATCTGATTGAAAAGTTTAGTTACATAATAGTCATGTAAAACTAAAGATTTGTTTATCTAGTCATTAATATCTTTCTTTTAACATTTTATTTAATTTTATCGTTATGTGAAATTCTGCTGTAATCAGATCATCTTTTTAGAAATAACGTGTACTGATAAATTGATTATCGAATTGCATTTAAATATATATATATATATATATGTATATATATATATATATATATATATATTTAAATGCAAATCTATTTTTGATTACAATTAACTGTGATTGTATTATACATATAGTTTTTTAAAATTCTTATCTACTCTTGGTAATGACATATGTCCATTATTAGTTGTGTTTACATAAATCTCATGTTTGTTTTAAGCACGATTATTTTTATATACTATTCCACGAAAGAGAAATTTGAAAATTACATTTTGCCTTAAGATACATATATACATTTAAAGAAAATCATTCATAAAAGTCATACATATTTGGCTAGTAACATGTATATTTTAATAATAATTTTTACAAAATCTTTTGTCTATCAAAATTTATAAATAATTTTCTTTGTGGAATAGTAAATATACAAATATACATTATCAGTAGTAAAGATTTAACTTAAGGTTTTATATTAAATTTAAAAATTTTCGTACATTACCTTATTTTAGATATACATAGTGTAAAAGATGGACTTGATTATAAATGTTGATTTGCATTATTATGTACGTTCGTAGAAAATTTAGATGACATCACAGTATGTACCAAATCTCGCACATTAATTCTTACATTTTACTATTTTTATGAACAAATTTAAAAATTTAGAGAATTGTATATATAAAGAATCGAGATTGGTACATAATGTTAAAAGAGTGTCTTTCTTTGTTCTTTTAATTCAGTGAATCTTAATAGTATATGAGATTACACTATCCCAATTTCCTCATATTTTTGAAATTGCACCATGAAATGCATTATACTATTATTCTGTGCTTATATTACTTAATACTTCTTTTAATGTATATATATATTGTGTATACAAATAAGTTCATATGCGTTTACATTCAGGAAAGAAAAACGATTTGGACAACACTATTTCCAAACTATAACATTAATAAAAGTATAATAAGTATAAAACTATAACATTAAACATATAAACTTGTAACAAGATAATTATAATTTAGCAAGGTTTTAAACGAAATGTATTCAACATTGGAAATGAAACCTAAAATATTTTTTTATTATTACTTGATCGTAAATGTGCATACATGTTATAATATCATTTTATACATGTTGCAGAATAATTATAAATTTATAATTATTTTAATATTACAATATATATGCAAAAAGATATATAAATTTACTTACATGGAATTATTTTGAAGTACTATTTTATGAGAAATGAAACAGTTTTAATTAAAACATAATTTTAATTATGTAAATATATTTGTGTTTATATATTGTAATTAAAATAATTACAGGCTTTATGTAATATGAGATGAAATTATACGTTTTATCAACTCGTGTGATTTATCTTTACGTTTATTTTAGATGAAGTTAGATATCAATTTATTTTATCGAATAAAATCGAGCACTTTATTTTCTGTGCTTTATTTGTATTATTCAGTTTTTTTGTTATTCACGACACTATCTCCGTAAAGCATGTTATACGTGGGAAAATTTTATGCACAATCTGTGAAATAATCGCGTGTGAGCATGTATCTTGTTGTTATCACTTATCTCACTAAATATTTACCCTTTCTTCGTTAATTGATATGCATTATAGACATCGGAATATACAGTGTACCTTTTATTTATTTTTACTCTATATAACGAATTTATTTATACTAATATAACGAATAAATTACGTAGGTGGGACGCCGGGAAACCAACAGCAATCGAATCGAGAGTTAAATGCGCAGTATGGTCCAGGACCGAGCTTACGTCCGCAGAGTAAGTTTCCTCCATCTTAATCATTGTGATATCATCGTCTGCTCTGAAAGTAAACAAATTAGTCACGTGCGACTGAATTTTTGCAGCAGAAGGAAGTTGGATTCAAGGCGGAAGTCGCACGGCAGGTGGCGCAGTGCCAGTAACATCAGCTGGTCCCGGAAATGGGAATACTCCGGCGGGCCAGGGCCTCCCTTTAAATATACCTGTTTCAGGAGGACACACCCAGGAGGTACCCGGTGGAGGGCGGCAGAACTTGGGCCAATCGCCCAACATGGGCGCGGGCCCGGCAGGCCAGCATAATGCCGTAAACAATCAGGGTTCTGCGCCTTCTTCCGGTTCTCTTGGACCAAACCTGCACCACTACCGGGGACTTATCCCGCCATTTGTGAGTTTATATATCACAATCTCGAACTTTTGTAGATATTTTTTTTTTTTTTCAAACTTGCGTAACAAAATGAATTATGTGGTCTTTGTAGATGTATAGATCATCAAATTTTCCTGGTGGATTTTCTTCGCAATTTGCATCAAATTCTGGAGCCAACAGCCCCCGACCTAGATTTAGTCACCCCTTGGATCGATTTCCACCTCCTCCTCAACGTGACCGTATGGCAGAGGAAGAAATTCTGACTAGACCCATCATCAAGGAAGAAGATCTTACTCGTATGGATGATATTTCCCGTGACGCAGGATGGGCTGCGCACGATGATATTGATTATAACCAAAAATTGGCCTTTAGCGACGACGAAGGTGAATCAGAATCGAAACATGACGAGAAAAAAGATAACAAGGAGAAAAAGGGCGATGATAATATCGCAGAGGAGAAAGAGAAATCTCGAGATAATCGAGACTCGAAGGAGCTTCGCGATCCGCCGCATCGTCCTTGGACTCAACCTATGAATCGTGATTATCGTGGCTCGAATGGCGCGAGTGGTGGCTATGCCAATCAATCGCAATTACACTCCGTACATTCTTTGAGAGGTAATTGTAGTCTTGTTAAAGTACAAAGCGCATTGATTTACTTAAAAAAAAAATCATATTTAATCTATTTCTTTTATCGTAAACAGGTGTCGAGGATGACGAGACGTGGAACGAACGACGTAGAATCAAGGTTGAGGTTGCGTCCGTTGTCGAGCGTGCGCGATTGCGTAAGGAAGAGGAGGAGAAACGTTTCCAGGAATCAACGAAGCAGGCGGCGGCTAAGAAATTACAGGACTTGGAGCAAAAGTTGAAAGAGAAGCAGGCGAAGCACAAGGATGAGGAACGTGCGCAGTCCGGCGAGGCCAAAAGCTTGATCAGCATCCCGCCTGTATCTCTTCCAATACCCGAGTGGGAGAGGGAGAAGGAGAATAGGGAGCGAGAGAGCAGAGAACGGTCTCGCACCTCGTCCGAGGGGAAAGATGAGAAAATCATCTCGACACTCGTCGTACGCGACAGCCGCGACAATCTGAGGGAAGGCAGAGATCAAGGACTGACGGACTTTCGTCAGAGCGATCGACAGAACTTCTTGCGGCAGGACCCAGTGCGTAGCGAGCGCGAGAGGGAACGCGATCGCGATCGTGATCAGAGGGATTCGAGGGATCGCGAGCAACCGGCGTTCTCCCGACACTTTCAGAATAACTTGCCGCCCAGATTTCAAAAGCAGCAGGCAGAGAGAAGCAGTGCGAACTTCAACCGAATTTCGCCGAATGCGGAGAGACCTGCTTCCCAGTCCGTTCCGTTCTCCCAACAATACGATCCCGGTAGATGGCTTCACAATTACAACTCATTGAGTGAGTTTTTATGGATCACTCCTGTCTTAGAATTACATTCTCTTAATACTAATAATTGTACATAATTAGATTGCAAGGAAAATAATTATTAAGTCTTTATTTTGTTTCAATTAAGAACAGCACGATGATAAAGTTAGTAGGTGTAATAACTCTCATAATTAGTGAACTGTATAAAATGCAAATTCTCTTAGCTTGGCTAAATATTGGTATAGTATCTTGAATCATATAGTAGTGAATCTTAAATCAATATCTTTAAAATCTTTATAAAAATAATCTTTAGCGGAATATTTAGCCGTAAATTGTTTTAAGACATGTTTTTTTTCTTTCTTTACGATAAGATGTTAACGTGTATTCAAAAAAATGTGCATTATATTAAGTGAAACTTGTATTAGTAGATAGCGCTATGAAGCAATCCATGCCATCGCAACGTCGTAATAGAACCGATTCGGACGCTTCGGCACCGTTGGATGACGAACGACCCCCGTCTCGAGATCATCGCGGCGGCGGTGCACCATCGTCGAGAGAGGACCGTTATCGGCACTCTTCGCATCGGTCCTACGACAGCCGCAAGCCGGGTGGCTATTACGACGAATACAGCCGTAATTTCAGAGACTATGAGTACGATGACAGGCATCCTCGCGATTCTTGGGAACGCGAGAGACATTTTGACGATAAAGAACGAGACCCGAAGGAGAATCTGGACTCGAGAGATAATCGCGATGGCCGTGATAGTCGTGACAACCGAGACGGTCGCGACGTCAAGGATTCCCGTCCTACTAGCCGTGATGCTCGAGACGTGAGAGATGTGCGCGACAAAGAAAAGAAGGATTACGATAATTATTCGAAGGTAATAAAATGAAACGAGAATAATTATTTTTATGCCACAAAATTGATCAACATTTATATTGATTGGCTTATTTTATACTTATCCAAAATTTTTGATTTTTTTTCATAGGACTCTTTTGATGAGCGTGAACAAAGGGAGCGCTCGGAGAACCCGGAGTGGCGTGAAGAGCGCAATGTGGGACAGGACAGACAACTCGACAGTCGTCGCGACGCACCGAAGGAAGAGCGCAACGAGCGCCCGCAGAGACCGGACTCGCGCGACAGTCGCACCTCCAGAGAATCGAAAACGTCCCTGCGCGATGACGACCTGCACAAATTACGGGATTGCAGTTCCTGGGTGAACGAAGTGTCGGACTACGAGGAGAAGAAGCGAGATATGTATCACGAGGAGACTAGGGAAAGGGAAAGAGATAGAAGACAACCGCCCGGTCCAGTTACGAAAGAGAAGCTCGAAGCGGACGAATTGAAGAACGAGAAGCGCAGTTTGACCCAACTGAAGAGAGGCAGTTCTGATCTTCAAGAGAAGAAGGAACAGCCGAAGGAAATTTCCGCCGAGGCGAAAAAGGATACGGATGTGTGGAATAGGAAAACGGAACGTACTCCGGAAAGCAGACAGATCGACAGAGGCGATAATTCGCCGAAGGCGTGGGCCGACGCGATATCGCCGACTTTCGAGAAGGAGGAGGAGAAGATGGCGGAAGCGGCTAAAGATGGCAAGGAGTCCGACGAGATCAAGCAGAGCTCGTTGGACAAGCCCGCTTTGGACAAGAGGGAGGAAGCCATTGCCGAGGATGCCAAAGATCAAGCCAAGGACGAGAAGAGAGAAAAGAGTACGCGCAACAGAACGAGCAGCAGCGGCTCCAGTTCTCGAATTCGGGAGACTCGAGGTGGACGTCAGTGGGGCGGAACCTTCAGTGTCTATACTCGGGGTTGGCGCGGGCCGGAATCCAGGGGACGAAGAGGCGGGCCACGACCTACCGGGAAAGCCGGGATGTCCGCCAAGAGTGGTTCGTATGGGCACACCGATTCCGAGAACAGCGCTGACGAGATATCCGGCTCGACTGAGTCCGGAAAAGAGGACAAGCGATCGGCACGTTCTCCGAAACCGTCGCAGAAGATCGAGAAGGATGAGCGCAATCGCGAGGTGTCGAGACGGGACGACAAGCGGGGCGCCGAGTATTCTCAGACGCGCAGCGAGAAAAGAACGTACGACGGCAAGCCCAGCCACGAGGGTTTCGCGCCGTCGGGCGAGCCGTCCCGTCGTGGCAGAGGCGGTTTCCGTATCCGCAGCACGGCCACGGGCAGTCGTATGGAAGGCTACGGACCGCCGTCCAGTAAGAGTCCGTTCTCGGAACGTAATACGGACGAGAAGCACCAGCAGCAAACTGCCGGACGGCAAAATCCACCGACCCCGACCTCGGAGAAAGAGGCGGGTCTCCTACAGTCTACGTCCGTTGAATCCACCGACGACAAGATAATCGCGAAGCAACAAGCTCTTACAGCGGGCATCACGGGCAGACGTAAGTCTCCGAGTCAACAAGCTCAGCAGTCCGGCAATAAGCAAGAAGCGAATCACGCAAATCAAGTCGCCAACGTCCCGTCCCAAAAAGTGCAAATGCGAAAGGACGAGTCACGTTCTAAGCGAACTCGTAGTGGAAGTAGGAGGGTACGTATAATTATTTTTGCTTTTTCATGTTACACATAATAAACATACGTGGAGTATTCTAAATTTGCTAATGTATCTTTTATTCGATATATCTACAGTCTTTTATTAATTTAAATAAGAAATAGAAAATTCTAAAATATAAAATATAAAATGATAGCTAATAATCAAATTTAAGATTTGAGATTGATATGAAATACTTTATATTTCCTTAATCTAATTGAAAAATATAAATTTTGAATTGAATAAGGAGAATTAATATTCATCTTTTGTACTCTTTCGCTCGCACTCTTCGATTTTCCAATCGGCCTCTTACGAAACCTATGGCATGAGAATTGAAATTTCTGTAAATAATGCAATAATGCATAATGTTTCAGGGAAGAGACAGCCGCGAAGCTCGTTCACGCGGCAACAGCGGCACTGTGGCGAAGCAGTCGCAGTCGGATGTGGGCAACGAAGATTGGGAAACCACTTCGGAGAACAGTGAGGAGCACATAGACGATCACAAAGACTCTCGTAACAGTCGCAACAAGCACTTTGGTGGACGAGCCATTCAGTCTGTGGGTGGTCAAAACGCTATCGGCATGAACCTGCATTCCCGCAGAAACGAGCAATTGGCGAATACTAGAGAGCAACGAGAGAAAAATCCCAAGTCTTCCAATCCGGCGTCGCGTGCCCCGGGGGCGGAGAAGCGGAGTCTGCAGAACGCCGGATTCAGCGCCCAGAAGAATCACGCCGACGGTATACCGCCTCTGATGCAAAACGCGCAGATACAGAACGGGGGAAGGTCCAGGAGTCAGAGCTCGACCAACAGTGGCGCGGTCGCGAATAAATCGAGCAACAAAGACAGCATGGTCAATCGTATCGACGAGATCAAGCTGAGCGATCCAAACCTGGTGAATCAGGCGCTGAACGACCTCAATAAGAAGTCTCAGACGAAGGACAAGAAGTTGACGGATTCCGAGATCGAAACGAACAGCTGTACCGAGGATGCTACTAGTGGCACAGCGGAAGACAAGGTGGACGCTGACGGCTTCCAGGAGGTGCGTTCGAAGAAGAATGTGAAGGAGTCGAGACATAATCAGAAGGAGGAGGTGAAGCCCGTCAAGAGAGACAAGGAGAAGGAGCGCGAGCGCGAACGCGATCGTTCGAAATCGAAGTCGAACGGTTCGCAGCAAGTTCTGCAGCAGGTACAGAACATACCGCCTCTACTTGGCCAGAATATCCCGCAGCCGGCGAACATACCGTCGAAGCAGTACGACAGTCTCAGAAATTCTCGAAATCCAAGACTTGCGCCGCGATTCCAGCGTCTGGTGAAGCAACAGCAGCAGCAGCTGTGTCCCACTGATGCGAGCGACATGAGCAAGCTGAACAGCTCTGCCAACAATTACGCTAAAGACTCTTCTAACAGTCCCGCTCCTCCACCAGCGGTTAACGCTTGGGACAAACCGTTCACAAGCCAGTTGCGCTCGAACTCTCCGTCCGCGATTCCCACGGACATTCAGCTGATGTCTGGCTTAACGGCTCAAAATGACCACAGTCACGAGGGCAACGAGGCTAACTCTGGACACAGCAGCCAACGAAATTCGCCGAGCGGCGAGAAGACGGGGAAGAATCTGAAGGAGCCGCTGACGGAGAAGAACGTGTCCGACGTGTCCTCTCCCCCCGTACAGACCTTGATCTTCGAGAACACGAATTACTCGAAGACGACCAAGACGACCGGACCGACGGATCTGGCGGTGAAATCCAAGTTTTCGAATCACATCAAGACGCAACAGCGGGCCGAGAAGCGTGCGGAGATGGAAGAGGAGGGCAATCAAGTCCAGCAGCATCAGCAGCCAGCGCTCGCCGTTGCATTTTCCAAACCGAACGACTTGATCAAGGACAAGAGCCAGGAACCCATCCAAATGTCTTTGTCGTTCAACAAGAACGAAGACAATGCCGACATGAAGCTGGACTTCAACTTCGAGTCCGAGCTTTCGCAATTGGACGATAAGAGCAAGAGTTTGGGCATGGCGCGTTCCATGCACATGGCTGGCGGCCAGAGCACGATATCGCCGTCGACCGCGGAGCTCAATCTCAAAATCGCGTCCGTGAAGAAAGTCTGGGAGAACGCACCGCCGATGCCGACCGTGGTCGAGCACGAGGACGGCACCAGTGTCGTCAGTAGCGCGACCAGCTTCCCGCAGGCGTTCGAAAGCGGCGACGTCGACGACAGTTACAGCCCGCACCAGCAGTACAACCAGAGCAACATGAAAAGCGAGATCACAACGTCTACGAATGTGTGCAAGGTGAGAAATCATTTTCACATTCATATTATGTTACGCATGCAATGGAATTGTCATGTCACTTCAATGTTACTCCAATTGCTCTCCGTTATTTACTTGTCTTATTATTGTCATTACTGTTATACTGTAATTATAATTGCTTTCTTAATACTTTCCCCTTTTTGTGTTTGAAAAATTCTGTCTAGTAAGTGTGGTGAAAATGAGAGAGGTAAGTGGCTAACATCTTTGGTCAAAGGATACTTGGTCAGCCACTTGTCAATGATCAGTATATCGATTTAACAGAAATCATCTTCATTTTTTATCATCACTATCATTGTATTAATGTTACTGTATTTAATATCCTTGTTATCATCATCATCATTAATATGCATTATCATTTCTTGCCATATTGATTACAAAGCAAGGTATGTGTATTACCACGACATAATAAGCCTGTTCATTTTCACCAGATTTTCAAAACAGATTTGAGAATGATTTTCATTTGTGAAACTAACGAATGCTTGTCGAGAATGTCTCCTGTTGACATGATAAATATATATATATATGTGTATATAATATAACAACTAAATAATGAAACACAATGTCCCTTGTGGGAAAATGCTGACTCTTTGCCTGATGCGCAGCTGGTTCCCCCGCAGGTGAAGCCGCAGCAACAGTCTTCGGGGAGCAGCGGTACGCAACCAGGATCTACCGTGCCTGGGCCAAGTCCCATCGGAGCCGGTCAGAGCCCTATCGGCCATCCTCCCGTTAGCCTCCAAGGTCCCCTAAGTCCACCTCCGTTTAATTCTACAGGACAGCCCTCGCATATTAACTATCAGGTACGTTGCATTCTCTCATTGCTATCTTTATTGTTTCGAGAATTAATGCAAGGGACTTTATATTAATAGAGGGATGATCTTCTTGCTTTCAGGAATTCCCGCAGTATCCGGGTTCGCAGGCGGCGCAATACGGTGGCATGTCGGCGATACCATCGCCACCGGCGGTGTTATTCAACACAGGCTCGGGACAATTGCCGGCGCAAGCGGGCGGTTTGTACGGAGCGTTTCAGTTAGATCAGAGCCGATCACCGTTCACGCAGTACGCGCCGTACGCCCCGTCCCTCCAGAGCTCGTTCAGTCAACAAAATGTGTACTTGCAGCAGCCGCCACCGCCGCCACCTCACGCGCCGAATGCTCCCACGCCGGAGATGTACCAAAACAATTTGTCTCAATACCGCATTGTAAGTAAATTCTAGTAATGTTCTTGTAATATCTCCTACGCAATATAAATCGCTGCGATGAAATTATTTACCGTACATTACAACGTAATGGTTAATGTATGCTATCATTCTGCTCCGGTAATATTTACAATGAAAATAGTTTAATCTCTAATTTTTCTCGATAGACCGCAGCAGCTGCTCCGCCGTTCGGACAGAATCAGCAATTAAGTAATAATCCCAATACGGTACTAATCAGCTCATCGTCAAATTCTCTAATGTCGGCGAGTGTCAAACCGTCGTCTCAACCAATTGGAGCAATTGGAACTAAGGCTCCGCATTTCCAGACCCAATCTGCCCCTCAACCCAATCAGGTGCGATTTTACGTTATAAGACGTTATATTCTGACGCAAGAAATCCAACAGCGTTTACTGACGAGACATTATCTTTTTTTTTTTTCAGTTGGCTTACATACCGTATGATCCAAATCAAGTGCTCGGCGTAAGCGGTAGTTACATGAGCAATTCGCAATTAGTACAGAGACCCGGTCCGAACGTGCAAGCATCCAACAGTTATTACAGCGCTACGTCTGCCGGTAAATTTAATAGATTTTACCATGAACTTACAAGCAAATTTATATTACCATTAAAGACAGGCACGTAATATTTTTTTTAATCAATCTAATTTATTATAATTATAGAAATAAATATATATTATATTTTACATGTGTGGAGTGGAAAAAATACATTGTAATTATTAGAACAATCAACGTACAGCGCTATATATGCATCGCATTTGCGAAGTATTCTCAATGCTTAATATATTTTCAGATGTATTTCCCGGCTCGCAAACAGGCTTCTACCAATCCGGTGGTGCTACTCAACAAACTGGGACTCATTACGGTCTGCAAGGATTCGGTCAGCATAGCCAAAGTCTGGCAACGGGTAGTGCAACCCCTGTCGGTCTACAGAACTATGGTCCTAGTTTCCTATCCAGTTCAGGATTACAAATAGCCGCGGCAGCTCAGCAATTTCGCAATCCCACTGGTGGTTTGCCAGGGCCAGGAAATGCACCTACGTTTCTTAGCAAGCATCAACCGCAGGAGCAGCCCAGACAGTTGAAGAGCCCATCGGGAAATCAACAGGACGTGCTTGCATCGGTCTTTAGCTCAAGTAAGCTCGTTATCAATTTCGTAAAAATAATCGAAACGAATATATAATTTTAACCTTGAGAAACTTGATCTAAAAATTATATGAATTATATTTTTAAAAACTATTATACGAGAATAGTTTATATAAACTGTTGGACTACAATAGTCTAATGTTCTAATTGTAGCACCTCAAATACCGTCGCCTAAATCAAGAAATTGCAAACAGCAATCTTCGTCGCAACAACCACAGCCGAGTCCTACACAACATCACAAGTACCAACAATATCAGGGCGTTAGTCAGTCTGCTCTGGTAAGCAGCTACAATAACTACGTATGTACCATTTATTCATTAAAGTTATCTCATTTAAATATGCATGTATTTTATTAAGTTGAACATATACATAAAATTCTTAGTTATATGTCAATATTTCAAGGAAATCTGAAGCTAAAAAAAAACGTTATATGAATATGTTGAAGCTTTGTCTTACAATAAATTAAGGAAAATGTTTGATATACTTTTCTCTGTAACAAACAATAATTAATATGTGTTATGATTATGAAAAGGAGAAAGAAAAAGATGTGCTCGCAATATGTGCTTTATAATAGGCATTTTTAATTTATTTTTTATTCTAAATTTATTCTAAATTGAAAACTAAAGCTTAAACAACTTTTTTGATATTTTATATATATTTTTATTTTCTTAGAGCTTCTAGGTTTATCTCTCAAAGTATTGAAATATAATTAAATATCATTCTGTAACTATATGCATTACAATTATATTGAACTGTGTATTTTAGAATATCTGTTTTTATGAAATTTTCTTCTTTTTCATACAGTTAAATAAAAATGTAGAGAAGAATTAAAATATCCTTTGATAATTTCGAAGAATGTCGTTTAATTTCTTTAGAAAAAGATAAATGTAGATTACGTAACTACATTATATAAAGTATCATTAAAAATAAAATAATATGATTGTAACACGCATGTAGTTAAAAAAGAGTCATTCTAGATAACATCTGTACAAATCTTTATCATTTAATTGAGAAATAAGAAGTTTAAATTAATTGTGATATGACTTAATGTCATATACGAGTCAAGAAAATTTTTAAATAAAACCGTTTTATAGTATACAATCAAAATAAAAAAGACAAAGTTTATTTCATCTGGTTTACAGATGAAAAGTGAGACGTTATAGCCTTATAGTGTATTAATCTACAGGTTTTACAACAGAATGTACGTGGAATGGGTATGCCACCTCGTGCTGGTATTCAACCGTCGCAACAGCGCTATCCAACCCCGATACAACGACCCGCAGGACCGTTTGCACAGGGTCCAAACCCGAATAATCCCACGCAACAGCAGCCTGTTTGTATGCAGCAGCAACAAGCTCAAATTAATCGTCACAGACCGAATTTACATCAGCAGCAGCAGCAGCAACGTAATATGAAGATGCAACAACAATATTATCCACCGCAAGGTTTGTAAATTTAGATATTTATATACACGCTGAAGCTACATATTTAATGTCGTATATGGGCACATGTGTGATTAAAATATAATTAATAATATGTACCTTCTTTCTCTAGGAAACGTTAAAATGGATTCCAATGACAAATCTGACAGCCACAATGACAAGATGAATGATGGCCCTTCTGGAACACAGCCTGGGAGTAACAAGCCCAATGTGAATCAACAAGATAGTGATAACAATAAGGAAGAAGTGAATCAACAAAACGAGTGAACGTGAATATTCGTGAGGGTGAACACACTTGCTCTTCCATTTTGTGGAAAATACCTTTCTTTGATTAAACCTTTGATATAATCCCGTCGAAAAAAAAAAAGTAAGGGCAAAGACTAACGTGCTCCTCCATTTCTCGAGGGAGAAAGCACGCCAGTGTCACAACGGAATTCGTTTATCTACGAAATCACGTGCTTATATAATCGACTAGCAATTAAATAGATTAATTAAAAATCCGAGTTTCGTGCTGTATCGAAAGAAAGGACTTCTAGAAAGGTAAACATTATCTGTACGCACCTTTCCCGTTCTTTAGTTCTAACAGCATAAACTTACCGTCTTTGTGCAGTCGAAAAGACGTTTATTAAGCATTTCCATTATTAAGTAATATCGAAATATACATGAACATATTTAAGAATGGCGACAAGTTAATCAGCGCTGATTGATACTGCTAAAAGCTTGAAAAAAAAAGTGACACATTTAAATTGTCGTGTAATATTTGAATACTTGACTCAAGAAAAAGTATGTGCCGTCGTTAAGTGGAATGTTAATCGATTACAAATGCGAGCCGCATAATGAAATGTTTCTGTATCGTTAAGGGGTCACGTTCGTGAGGTTGTATCTGTGGGAAGTGAGATGAAATCTACACGGACTCTATATTATATATGATATAATATATATACATATACATTCATATATATGTATATCTCTCTGTACCCAGATCAGGATCAGCCTGCGGTAAACGATACTGCATGTCCTAGGACGCACGATGCACGTTTTCTTGAACACGTCATAAAGAGAAGGAGAGGAAGAAAGAGAGAGCGGAAGTAACCAAGAAATGTTACAGTTATTGCAATTTCGTATGTAGCATGTTCGAAAGGACTGAAACAAGCGGCGGGTGTAAAGTCCTCCGTTTATCCGAACAATAAGAAGCGGAATCCCTTACCGATTAGGATGGTACCTACGAGTCTGATCTAAACATGACGCTATGTCGCCCGTATGTATTTGCGACGAGGGAAAGCTCCATGTATATTGGTCGTTTTGTCGATGACGCGAGGTCACGGTGGTGCTTGCGCGACGGAGATAGGAAACTGTTGTTTATAGGTGTGCGCGCAAATCATCATGATCTAGCCTCATTCGCGACGAGTTTCAATCATTAGGTATATAAGGTATTGCTTGTGAAGCGTGAAAAGCCATATGAAATTATAACGAGCCTTTTCACGCTTAAAAAAAAAAGATTATGTTGGATCAATCGAAACCGCAATCTAAACTACTACTATCGCAACGTACGAAAAGGATTGTATATTCTCTGCTTTCGTTGCAGTTAAAGCTTTGTTATAAGGATAAAGCCCATGAAAATAAATAGTAGTATTCACAGGAGTCCACCGTTGCCAGATTTATTCAGCAAAGATAAATGTGGCCATTACGCCCATTTTACGCCTCGATTTTACGAAAGAAGTCTAGGCGCTGTTGAGATACGATGTTAACTTTCAACAAAAAGAAAAGAAAAACACGATATACTGCCAGTCGTACCGACGACCACTGTCTTTGAACTCTGAGAATTTTTCATGTCGTATTCGTGATGTCTGTGTGAATAGTGAAGAAACATGTATTAGAGGAAGAGACACTCTTAACACGTAGGCTTGTTAAAAATTTAACACTTCAATGAATTTAGAGAATATCGATTAGAGATGATGATAAAAAGATTGCGATTACTCCCGTTTACACCTGAGGATATCTTTTCTCTGAAGCATCGAGAAGTTGAGGAAGGCTATTAGAGAGGCGCGAGTATAAATGTAAATCGACATAACGACGGTGCCACGAATTGCTTGAATTAGACATGAGGTTACAATTCCTTTCGTGATTGACAAAGAATTGAATCCTTGGTCAAGTAGCGCGGGCAATGTATACAATATTTAAAAAGAAAAAGAGAAAAGGGAAACGACACTGTTGAAGTCTCAAAGAACCAGTAGTAAATGCTTCTCTCTTATGTTATTGCTTAATCCTTCAGTACTCGTGTGACATGCAATGTATTCTTACTTATTGCTTTCGTTTGGCCAATGCGGTTGACACGTTTATAAATGGGTTTTTATATAAATACATTGAAATTTTGCCGGTACAAACTTTTGATGTATTTATATTCTTAAAAGCACAATTTACATTAACGTTACAATAGAGCGACTGGCTGTATACACGTCTGGCGTAGTACACGAGTACCGAAGGATTGAGTTCTATCGTAAGCATCATTACCACGATAGCTATTACCACTTCGATCATTAGCATCATCAGCAACAGGCATCATTATTGTCAGCAGCATTGTAACAGTAGTGTAGGAGTAGAAGTAGCAGTGGTAATAGTTGGTGTTTGTGTGCAGTAAGCGCGATTGTAATAATGATAGTATTAATATAATAGCTATGATAATAATAATAATAATAATTGCAATAATAGTAACAATAGTAGTAACAGCAGCAGCAGCAATAGTACTATGACGATTCTCTCGCTTTCTTATTCTTTTTAATTTTGATAAAATTATTATGGTTTTGTTACATTCTTTTATCAGCATTCACACACATTATCTAATATACCATTACAATATGAAGAACTGATTTTGTTATTATAACTATTATAACTTGCCGCTATTATCGCCGTTATATCATTGTGTTTCAATTTATATTACTACTCATACTATTATTGTCGCTATTATTATCTTTTGTTGTACCATTATTACTGTTATATTACTATTGCCGTTACTACTAGTTAATATATATGTTATTATTATTATTATAATATTATTATAGCTATTATCGTTGATCATTTATCGCTATTACTATTGCTCTTGTTAGCACTATCACTATTATTATTACTACGATTATTATTGCGTTTACAATTATTACTGTATACTATTATTATTATTATTATTACTATCACCTGCTACTACTACTGCTGCTGCTGCAATTACTACAATTACTGTTAGTACAATTGCTATTATTATTATTATTTTATATTATTTTAATTATTATTATTATTATTATTGCACGTGTACACACTCGGTGGATAATGAAGGTGAGGAATAAGCTAAAAGAGTAAGTAAATCGAAGAAGTATGTTCAATTGTACGGATATGTCTCATAGGATATTCTCGATGAATTTTATTAAAAATATTAAAATTTGTTTAACGACATCTCTATTGTAGCTTAAATGCGAAGTGGATTTTGTTTCGATCACAACATATAAATACGAGCTGGTCTGTCGTATTACAACAAACGATCGTCTCGCAACGATTGCTAAAATACCTTTAATGACTTTTTATCTATATATAGGGCCGTATATTTTTATGTGTAAGGATGCGAGTTATTATTTATTTAGAGAGTGTCGTTTTTGTCGGATTCATATCGTATCTTTGTATCGCTTTTTAGCGAGTGGAAAATGTCAAATATGATCTACGTATATAATTGTTGGTGGCAATATGTGAATTGTTGATATTTTTTATTGTAAAGACGAGGTTTTCTACGTTTTCTGATATTTTTAATGTTTTTAAGTATTAACGCATGGGGAAAGTAATACGACAGACCCGTTTACCCATCGCAGGGCGCCTGTAATTATTATCTGTAGTTAGAAATATGACAAACATTACTTATACACCTACGTGCTAAAAAAAAAACGTGAAAATAAAACAGTAAACGGCAATTTGCTACTATTAATTTATACAGTTAATTGATACAACCCAACAGATAACTGTATAGGCGAAGAGATTGATAAAAAAAAAGAGACATTTAATAATAAAAGGTATTATAAAAGAGACGACAATGGCTGAAGTAATATTTTTGTTGTATAAAAGTGACAAATAATTCTCGTGGAATCGAAGAGCCGAATTAATTCGACTGAATTAACAAAATTCAACCATCGCCTCGTTTTAAAAATATACTTTTTTCCTTTGATAATTAACAAAATTATCCCATGGCAATTTCTATATGTGTTAATAAAAATTACATGACAGACACATACACACATATGGAGAATGCGTGTCGGTGTATCTCGAGTAGAGCCAATCAATAGTCCTCCGTGAATTAAAAGGATAACAATTGATTCGGTTGCAGAGAGCGCACATTGTGCAGATTAATCTAGTAATTAATTGCTAAACTCTTATAATGCGACTGCTTTACTTGGACACCTTTATTCGATAAAATCTTACATAAAATTAGTTATGCATGCTTCAGTGTATTGCGCCGCCCTCGTTTTTTTTTTTGCAATTTTAAAATGCGCTGCCGATAGCTCAACTTATTCGCGTTAACAACGAATGTAGTTTGCATCAAAAGATACTCGATCGGCTTTGCGTGTACGTAGTATGTTTTTTTTTTTTTCAGCGTGTTGCAGAGGCACGAAATCGCGGATGACGTGGACGCATATTATCTAGGAAATGCTTATCGGAAAGAAAAATGTTCAAGCAAAAAATCAATTCCTTCAATTAAAAAATATACATTTAGTATTATAAATACGCTACTTACATACCAAAATGGGCAATATTAAATATAAATATATTTTTTATTTTATATACATGGGGAGATGCTGACGCTAACAATTTCCATTTATTTAAAACACGGACATGTTCGCTCTCCCACAACTCGTGAGGTCGACGATACGTGCGAGGCCCGAGCGATCGATCAATCGTAACAATTTCCTCGACCTAACCTGTCGGGAGTGACAGCTTGGCATATAGATATAATGGCATAAGGGAGAGAACAACGGTGGAAGGAAAGGTTCGAAGAAATATTTAATTTCGCAAAGAAGGCCGGAAGAGTTATCTGAATTAGTGATCCAAAAATGACGGGGGGAGGGTAATTATCTAGGCGTTATATAACGCTAAGGAGAGATCGAAGGCGCGCACACCGCCCATCCAAAACCCGGTGGAATTTACTTAAGGAGAGGAGGAAAAAAAACACCTTGGCGCACACCAAAAAATCTCGGCGTTATCGGAGCGCGTGATCGCGCGGAATCTGCGGAAGCGGCGAGCCTGTCATTCGCCGAATCGCACGGATTGGTACTATTGGTAGACCAAATGGGACTCGCATCGCCCAGCCCCGCGTCGTCGGTGTCCCCGAGCGATCCGCTCCCGCGTCCGACGACGTAACTGACGGCCGACGCCGCCGTCGGCAGTGTGCACGTCGGCCGACTAATGGGGAACGAGAAGAGTGCTCTGCGCGGCCTCGAGATCGAGGACAAGGCCGTCGAGGTGACGGACTACTGGATGCACCACGATGCGAGCGTGCGCGACTCGAGCCTGCAGAGACTGTCCATCTTCATCAGCGAGCCGTCCTTGCACTTCGCGGCGACGTTCGGGAGACCATCGCCTTTGGAGCGAGCGGCAAAGGTTTATATCTGATCTACTCCTCTCTCTTTTTTTTTTAAGTGTTCCTCTGACAAGTCAGTCATGCAAAAAGACAGGCGAATGTTTTTCGAAACTCTTTGTCTTGACTCGTCTTTGAGATTCTTTATTTATTTTTGTATACTTTCTTTTGATTCTTTATATATTTTTGTATTTTTGTATGTGGATTACTATTAGATCTAATAGAATGTATGTAAGATTTGTAAGCAAAATCAACAGAATAATAAGCAAGTGAATCCGATGACGTCTAGCTGATGTATGTTTTAGAATTTTATGTTACATCGGCATCCCTGCATCCTGAAGTATATCTCCTCGTGGAGCAAAGGTAGCAAGTTCTTTCTCGCCACGGAAGAGGCCAGGCCGTTGGTCCAGGTTATCGAGAAGCAGAATGTACTGCAAATATGTATCGGCTTGCACAGTATCCTGCGAGCCTTGATATTCCTGCACGAGACCGCACTGGCGTCGCACAACAACGTGTGCAGCAGCTCCATTTACGTCACCGCGGAGGGATATTGGAAATTGGGTGGATTGGAGTGCCTGTGTAAATTCGCGGACGCGACGCCGGCGTATTATCAGCGAATAAAGAGCTACAGATACGAGAAGGGGATATCGTCGAATGAGGACGTAGCCGATTTAGTTAAGACTGCTAATCTCACTGCGATCGATTCGTACGCGTTTGGAGTGTTGGCGGAGGATATTCTGAAGAATTTACAAGATACAGGTATTGTAAAAATCAAAAGTCATGTATTGTATACAATTGCTGTCCTTGTTGAATGACATATGCGCATCAGTGCACCAATACATAAAACGATTCAATCGATTTCAGATGAAGCACCAAATTTGTTGGAATTTCGGGAGTTTTGTAGAAAGAATCTGCAGAATTCGGACGCGTGTCTGAGGAGTAGATTGTTGAATGTGCTGCAGCATTCGTTTTTCACCCACGAATTCATAAGGATACATGCGTTTCTGGAAGAATTGCCATTGAAAACTGATGTTGAAAGGGAAGAGTTTTTCACGTAAGCAACTTGAGAGAAGATATGTTAATGTAACGCAATAAGGTAAACATATCATTACCGAACCTGTGTGAAGTTGGCTCCACTTTTTTTAATTTCGAGAAACGTAATTAAGAGTTTTGGTTGCCCCCCGAAGAATTCTAGAGTTCTTTATTGATTTTAGAAAGAGTTGCGATTAAAGCGATGAAAACATTATTTGAAGACATGGAGGAGACGGCAGGACCAACTTCACATTTCTGTAACTTTAAAAGGCCTTAAAACTCTTTTGATTTTCATTCCGCGTTTCGATCATTAAGGATAATTGATAGAACTTTTTGGAGGGCTATTAGAATTCTCAAGAAATTGCCGAAATTAAAAAAAAAATTTTTTTTAATTTTCGAGTCCAGCTGAAAAATTTTTCGGAAATCCGACAAACAAAAACAAAAGAGTTATGGCCTTTTAAAGTTACAGAAATGTGGAGTTGCTCCCCATGTCTTCAAATGGTGTTTTCATCACTTTAATCAACGAAACTCTTTCTAAAATCGATAGAGAACTCTAGAATTGTTCGGAGGGCAACCGGAACTCTGATTATGTTTTTCAAATTTTCAAAAAAGTGAGGCTAAATTCACAGAGGTCATTACTAAACATGTATCTATGTATATCTGAACAAGTACACAAAAACATATTTTTAAATGCTTTTTTTCATAATATTATAATTTAATTGTAATCTTTAAATATTTTCACAATTAAATTTTGATATAATAAAAAAAGCATTTGTGATTAATAAATTTTGTGTACGCGTTCAGATATAGATACATGTTCAGTGACGGTACATTTACCTTATATACAATGTAAAAGTCGTTTCTACATATATTGTGTATATAATTGTGTATGTTATTTTCTAGGAAATTAAGGCAGCAATTACAGATGTATCCCGAGGCTGTTGTTGCCGAACAACTAGGCAGAGTGCTTCTTTCCAGGATAGTTTTGTTGGATAGCACTGCCCAAGTAAAACTTTTACCTTTTATCTTTAAACCCAAAGGTTAGAATATATCTCTGGTCGCATTTAGCAAAATCTCAATTACCTTCATATTTTCGATATCAATAGCTTCACATTTCACGCAAAACAAGTAGCCTAATTAAATGCCTGATGTCTTTTGCAGATGAGAAAAACGATTTGGGGACTAGTCTATTCACAGTTCCTACCTTTAAGACTATTTTAGTACCGAGACTTCTGCAAATGTTCTGCATTCGAGATGTCTCTATTCGCCTGCTGCTGCTTTCCCACTTCAGTTCGTTCGTTTACGTGTTCGAGGCGGACGAATTGAAAAGTCACATTCTTCCCGAGTTACTCGTCGGGATAAAGGACACCAACGACGATCTCGTCTGCGCCACGTTAAGGGCACTGGCCGAGATAGTGCCGATCCTGGGCGCGGCGACGGTTATCGGTGGTAACAGGGGGAAATTATTTACGGACGGTCGGCCGAATAAGAAGACGATCCGCGGCAAGAACCTCGATGACATTAGGAAAGCTTTAACATTCGCTCAGGAGATGCCCGTCTTCGTGAGCGTGGACGAGAGCAACGTGCACTTGGCGGAGAGGCCGTCGCCGGACGGCGGCGAGGATAAGAGGGAGAAGGAATTCTCGTTCGCCGAGGAGGAGGTCACCTGGTCGGACTGGGAGACGCAGGAGCCGGTCGGCAACGGCCATCGCCACGCGGAGGAGGCACCCGTGGACCACGTGCCAGCGGAGGTGCAAGATAACCGCGACGCGAGCTCGTCCCCGCCTCCGCCCGAATTGCCGTCGAGCGTCGAGAAGCCGAAGTACACGAAGAAGCTGGTGCTCTCCGACATTACCGAGCTCGACATAAAGAACTCGAAGGTGATAAAGTCGCCGAAGGAGGAGTTCGACTTCTTCACGGATATGGAGCCTGTGATACAGAAGACGCAGATCTTGCACGTGCCGGAGGTGCAATCGCCGAAGAGCATGTTCGACGTGAAGGCGTCGGGTGCCGCTCTGGAAGAGCACGACGTTAATGGCTGGGGCGAGGACTTGAGTGACTTAAGTATAGACGATACGTACGAACTGGCGGAGCAGTGAGCTTAATAAAAAATATACATATAAATATAAAAGAAGAAATCATTCGCACAAAAGGACGCGAACGAGCTCATACGACAAATGAATACTCCCGATTGTATCCATTAACGTCCACTCAGTATATGTGATTACCAACACCATGTAAACTACCCAAATAAGTATTTTTAATAAATGTAAAATATATGATGGGCTAAAGTTATACAATATTTCTCTCGTGTAAAAATTACATTGACTAAACCATACAGAGATATTGTTTAGAATATATATATAGAGTAGACGTTCCGCTGATTGTCTATGGGAATAATCGTCGTAATCGTGAATTCTTTCAGCTAATTGGATTAGATAATCATAACATATTTAAATTCTAGACGAGATTGAAAGCTAGAGAACAATATGTAGGATATATAGCTATACAAGTATATAGTAAGATATAGGGGAATATAGAGATTTTGTGTGTTAAAATGTCGTGTGTTTGCAGCATCAGGTTCCGGACAATCCGGACTCGGCTTCGCTCGTCGCGCCGGCCAGGGCGCACTCGGAGCGATTTCAGCCGTGGCCGGGAGGAATCGCGTCCGCCGCGCGATGCGGGACGACGACGAACGGGTGCTGGACGCGGAGCAGTGGCGGCTGGAGGCCCAGGCGGTGATCGACGACGTGCGGAAGCACGTGCGGGACCTGAGGGTGTCCGAGCGGCTGACCAGCACGAACCAGGTCATCTACCTGAACCTGATCACGCTCGAGGGCCTGCGGTTCTGCGTGGAACTGTCGGCCGCCGGCTTCGCCATCGTCGGCAATCGGCACGACGACACGTCGAACGCCGGCAACGAGCGCTTCGAGACGCCCTACGGTCTCCTGGACTTCGTCAGTCCGCGGTACAGGGAATCCTTCGGGAACGCGCTGCTGGACAAGCTGAAGGGGCTGAGCGACGAACGATAGATTTCCGAGAGATGAAACATAAACAAGAAAGGGGAGCAACGCCGCGTTTTCCTGGTTTCCGCTTAGATTAGGCCAAGAGTTTTAGAGGTTAGATGCGGTTTGACTATATATCGCTTTCACGATAAGCGTCTGTTATCGTACAGTATCGGTAGCGTGCAGTTTGAAATAAAACAGTTTATACTTTCTAGCTTATGGACTGCTTTATTATTATTATTTGGACGCGAGCCCAGGGAGCATCTCTAAGCGCCGCGACGATGCATTTGGGATCGCACTCTTCAGCTCGTCACAATCGGCGCTTATAATTATAATCGCGTGATCGCATTCTCGATAAGTGAACTGCGAAATCGTTCGAGTTTAAAAGAAAAACTTGACGCTTTATTAAAAGAGGAAAGAGACATTGCGAGGCGAGCTCTTTGCGAGAGAAATCTATTGTTGATTTGTCGTCTTTGTCTTTCTTTGCGTTTCCAGTTGTAAGTTTGCTTTGTTTGTAAAAACAGGAGTTGTAACAGCTGTTTTACTTTGTAATTTCGCTCCGTAATGGACTCCGTAATACGACGACAGAAAGAACAGAAAGAAATGAAAGAGACTAAAGTTTTTAAAAATACGATACGCATTTCTACTCAAATATCGCAAACTTTTCAAATATTTATTGTAAACTTTAGAGTTTAATTTTTGTAATCTCTTCGCCGATTACGTCTTTTTTGACAGTTAATGACTTTCTTTTGTTATGAATCAATTATTTTGTAATAAATTTATTACGAATAAATTTTTGTAATAAATTTATTATGAATAAATTTTGTGAAAAATTCTGTCAAGCTTTTGCTTCCTTCATATATTTATTCCCATTTTCTATGTATAGTAGATGCTGCCGTATCCTCGCTTTTATTTCTTATTCATGAATATAGAAAGAATTGGACAGTGGACTCTTTTCGGGAATTGAATTTAAAATCTTTATAAAATTGTTCTTGGAAAGCGCGGACACATAGGTGTTCTCTTATCATCTTCCGTGAAGTAAGTTTTCTAGTGCCTTCGGTCTAATCGATGACTTCACAGACGCGACAGTGACGCATACATACGTCTTATCTCGTATTCCGTTGCCTTGTTTCAGCGCACAACTGCGACGCGACGACCTTTATTAATACTCTCGTGGGCGACGAGGAAATGAGGAGTAATCTTATCTTACGAGCTAAAATGATTATTGCGCAATATATCTATCGGTTGACATGTCGAAAAATGTCAGGCGGCGAAAGATAATGCCCGAAGGTTTGCATTCGAACTCGGATTTTGCATCCCAAACAGCTGACTCTCGTGTCGTTTACATTTACAAGACAATTATTTTGTGATTCTAATTTCACACTTTCGACACCTCCGAATTCATTCGCCGCACCGTTATATACGATCTTTATTTTCTAGGACTCGAGAATTGGGGCAGAATTACTCGAAAAAATCCGCGTGAAAGGATATTCCGGAATTCCGTGTAAAGCCCAAGTCAGGGCCCAATAAGGAACGTTATATATATTTATTTCTGATTGTATACATTTTTCGTTCAATTCATTGTCATACTTTGATTATCGCTGATATTTAAAGGGTTATAAAATCGATAGCGTCCTGAAAACTGCAGGTCATTGATCGAATTGCGGGTCTCCGAGCAGAGAACTTGCATCAAAACTTGCGCGGTGCAAAAAGATCGGAGTGCCTAACTTTATTCAGACATGACAGGGCGCCCCGGCCTGCGGTGTCGTTCCTGCACCCGTTAATGCAATCTCGGAGCTGTGCGCGGGGCGAGTTTCTCTCTCTCTCTCTCTCGCGAGGTGATTTCTTCGCGATGGCACGCGGGAGATCGGCCGGTGCGCGATGACACGCCCGCGTAGTCACGCAGCAGCGACGATCAGCGTGTACAGCGACTGCAGTGCCAGCTGCGCCAGTCGCAGTCGCGCGGTGCAGCCGTACTCGCCGCGTTGCACCTTGTCCCGTCGCGTGCAGCGGATGCACGCGAGGACACGGCAGTGCCGCGTGTGAATACTGAATAGTTATAGTGCGATCCCGACACGGAACGCGGACGGAGGAAGAAAGGAGGAAACGGACGGACGGACGAACGCGGTCGCCGATGCGCCACGCGCGCCGCGGATCGCGCAATCGTGCGTGCGACGACGTCGTCGCGTAGAGGATATACCTATCTATCTCGCGCGGCGAACGAGAGAGGTGAGAGCCGACGGCCGCGGCGGCACGACACGGCACGATTTCGCGAGTGCACCTGAGATAGAGAGAGAGAGAGAGAGAGAGAGAGAGTGAGTGCGAGCGAGCGAGCGAGTTGCGACGAGAAAGCGCGCGTCTAGCGTCGCGAAACCGCGAGCTGCCGAGGTACGATTTGACGCTTCAAACGCGCGCGTGTGTCACTTCGTTCCCGCCTGCCCTGAGGAGGACGACGTTCGTGGATGAGGCGAGGCGCGTTCTCCGGGAACGGGGCGCGGGCCGCGGCGGGCGTGCACTTCCGCGACGACGTTTGGCCGACGGAACGGATCGCCGATCGCGGCGCACTTCGCGCCGAAGTGCGCCCGTCCGACTTTCTGTTTACGTTCCGCGACGACGAGGGGTGAGGACCAGGCGGCGAGGGCGAGGCGAGGCGGATCATATCGAGGCTCCGGAGGCAATCCGGAGTAACCTGCAAGCGCGGACGCGGCTCGACGGCAGTGTGGAAACCTAGGCAGCTCGCACGGCGCGCGTGTCTTTACACTCCCCTCGCGGAATCGTCCTCTCGCTCTTGACGTTCGACGCGGCTGCAGACATCAGGCGTATATAATATATACCACATATACTTTTTCGCGAGCCGGCCGCGCGCGCGGTGACCGCGCCGTTTCGGCGTCGTACATATAATATGTACGTGCGTGACCTGCCAAGAATTTAATTCCACCGTCTCGGGGCGCACACACACCGGAGCCAGACGAGTTATGACGCGAATAGCCCTGCGCCGCGACGCGACACCGAGGAACAAGTTAATCGGGACTAATTAGCGCGTGCCTATATATCGACGCGCGCTCCGACCGCCTCGTCTCCGCTTTCCTCGTTTCGACCCCCCCCCTGCCCCCCCTCCCCTCCCCCAGCTGGCGAATGAGAATCACGACTCGATTGGACCGTTCGCCAATTTTCGCCTCGCGGCATCGCGCGATGAATAATTTTTAAACGCGGTGCTCGATAAGTACAGGAATAACGCGTGAAAATCGTTTCGTTAATTGTACATGTCATAGTGCCCGCTGAGCGACTCTCTATTTTTTTTCCCCGTGCCGACGCAGGCAGACGAGGGAGTTTCATTTAACTCTCCTGTTTGCAGGAAGAAACGTACGGTCTGTAACGTAGGGGAAGAAATCTAGCAGCGGAGTGTCGACGTCGTCACCACCGACCGACCGACCGACCGACCCTGCGGTGAGAGAGAGAGAGAGCGCGCGCTATTAATACGGTCCTGTGTGTTTTTCATCGATACTGCCCGTCGCCGCACACGCTACGCTTATACTCCGTCGCTCCGTCGCATAACAGGTCGATCGCGCGCACCAGCGCGAGATCGCACACTACATCGCCGCTCTATATACTGTCCCTGAACGGCGCGGCGAGGGAGCGAAGTCCGCGAAGCGCTGGACCTCCATTTCTTCTGGAAGCGGCCCGAGGACGCGCGGCGGTGACAGCGTGTACATACATATACGTCGTCCGTGACAAACTGTGACGGCGCGGTGTTACCAGCTCCCCTCCGCGTCCCGCCGCGGGACCACGTCGTCGTCGTCGTTGTCGTCGTGTGCGTGTGGCGTTTTGTGAAACTGTGCCCCTGCAGCCATCCCCAGATGCCGTCTAAGGATCACCGCCGAGACTTTCGCCAGCCACGTGATCGGCAAGTTTCGATTCCGTTCACGTTTGCGTCGAAAAGTTTGCGGGTCAAAAAAAAAAAGGCCGAATTCTTGGTTTATTCATGAATTGGCAGAACGAGCGATTCTGATAATCCGGTCGCTCGTTACTGATCTCCCCCCTTCGTTCCCAAATCTAAATACGCCTTTCGCACGTCTGAAACACAGAGGAGAATATTCAGCTTTTTAATTTTAATTTCTTTTCGGTGTATTCCTGTTTTGGTAATTATATTTTAAATAATGTTAACGGAGCATGAAAGAAGGTGGTGAATATGGAATTTTTAAAGAATTATTTAGACTACGATCCTTCGTCAGTAATGTAGCATGCATTCTTAGTAGCAAATCGGCATTAGCAGTAATGATGATAGCAATGATTCATCAGTTAATACAGTCAGATTAAATTAAAGGCAGTGATATGACACAGAACTGAGAAAAATGCTTGCGTGCACTTTCCACAGTAGTGACCGTGAATAGAGGATAGAAAAACAGCTGTTGACACGTAATTTTAACATGTTTACGATTGAAAAAAAAATTATGAATGTGCAACGCATCAGTATTAAGCAGAAGGCTTTATTTTTTTTAAATGTAATTTAGATTCAAAGGTGTTTCTTTTAGAAATTTCATACAAATCTCTTAGATTTGTATAAATAGAATGTGAACAATAATGCTGTAATGATGCTTTTGAATGAATCTATTTACGTACGAACGTGATCGAAATAATTTTTCTCCAACTGAATCGTGAATGTATCTCTTTGTGTGAAGTATCCTACATTCTAAATTTAGATGCAGTCTCTGTGCTCAATGTATATTTAAAGTATAAATTAGATAATGTAGCCTCTTAGAGAAAATTACTGCCCAATATAGACCCATTGGGGGTCCAGCCGTAGTGGAGTGTTTGTTCTGTAATTTATTATGCTTTATGTTTTCTTTTCTTCATCGCGTTACAATGAAAGGAACAAAAATACCGCACGTAATATTAATTGCATAATCTTTATAATGCGTAAATAATGAAATGAATAAACCTACATTAATAATGGAAAACTTATAAATTAATACATATATATTGAAATGTGTAAGCAATCGAGCTTGCTTTGTCATTAACGGTTTATTCCGAAGAAAAGCTATGAATCATAAACTTTAATGAGATAAAGCTTATCGTATACTCTGATACCAAGCTATCCTTGATACTAAGCTTTATCTAATAATATCGACAGTCGCGAGCGATCTCTGGGCGAGACGGGGTGAGAAAAATTTTTAATTCTTAGATTCTTGATATTAAATTAGAAGTATACCTTTTACTTTTCACAGCTTACGATTGTGAAATGTCAATTTATTGATTGCAGTGTAAAGCGGATTAATAACAAGGCCATTGTTAGCTTACGCGTTATTTTACAAAATATCTTATATAAAATTGTACTATTTTGCGCTTTACAGCATATTCTTATAATGTTTTTTTTTATCGTGTGTGTGCAGGTTCAACGTGAACTTGATGAAACGAAGTAGATAGATGACAACCTTCTTAGAACAAAGGTATGGCAAGCTTGATGGTGAACACCTCTAGTAAAAACAGTTCGCGCAGTGGATCTCCTAGTAGAACGACTTCGACGTCTCAACTGCATCAGCAACAATCGACAGCAAACTTGGATCACACTCCAAGATTGCGTAATGCCCCAATGTAAGATTCTATTAGTACAATGAATATATACAGACTTTCATCGCTCATCGTTTAATGTTCAAATTCTTCAACAAAGAGCCATGCAATATATGTATTTACATATATATATGTATTATAATTTATCTAACTATATATATTTTACTGTTAGATACGTTTATATTACGATAGTCTCAATTCTAAGATCTGTGAATTAAAGATGTTTATAATAGATAAACAATTGTTAAATATATCCGTTTCAGTTCCCAAGGAGAGGGTAGCACAGGCAGTGGAAGTAGTGGTGGCGGCGGTACCGGAAGTAGCCTCAACATGAAAGCCAGCAGTAGACAAAGGTCACCGGGAAATTTAATTCGCACGGGGGATGCCATGGATGAACCAAGTAATACTTCAAACACTGCCGAACCAGACGAGTTTGTGCCAAATGTTCATCCACCGACTGATGACGAAGGAGTACGTATATTTCTGACTCATTTTAAATACCTCGAGCCTGATGAGGTATAAGATAATAAGTATCCCGCATCAAAGGCGAGCAGGAAAATTGTTACTTTGTAGATCTAATGCATATGCAATCTACACAGCATGTCTTTGCGTTCTTACATAAAGGGAGTTACATAATATTGCTATTTTATATGCATTAACTAACGTAGTATAATACAGAAGGTCATCAATCATTAATATGCAATCAAACTATGATTTAAAGAATAGTCAGTTACATTTTGCCAATTTTTAGACTCTTTGTCCGACATATAAATTGAAAGATCTTGCGTTTTGTTACAGAAAAGAAAGCGCAGAATAAATTGTTTCCGATATACTTAAACCGCTACGTTAAAGATTCTCTTTAGTTCTATATTTAACGTTATATGGTTTTTATATGACTTTTTTATGTTTTTTATGTTTTTTTTTGTTATGCTAATTTTGAGTGAAAGATATCAATGTATTTTTATAGGAACAATACCATACAACCCAATCGTTCCTATCGAATGGCTCTTCTGAGTTGATAAGCGATGATGTCGACTCTAGTGCAACACGAGTTCGTCAAGCTATCGAACACATTCAAAGCAAAATTGCTAAAACGCGTGAGCAGATAAGAATAGAACAAACCACGCGGGATGGTATGTAAACCTCTTTAAATTTAGTTTAAGATGGATATTATTCATTTACACACGAGTCATGTGTATTGTTATATATTGTATTGTTATTTGCTGTTTATAGAAAACGTCAATGAATATTTGAAATTGGCTGCTAATGCGGACAAGCAGCAATTAACGAGGATTAAAACGGTATTCGAGAAGAAGAATCAAAAGTCGGCGCATAGTATTTCGCAGCTACAAAAAAAGTTGGACAGCTACACGAAAAAGTTGAGAAATTACGAGATGAATGGCGCACCGACGAGTCACAGACAACCGAGGGAAATGTTACGCGACATGGGACAAGGGCTTAAGTGAGTGTCACATAAGTGATTATTTTTATTTTAATCGTATTAAGAGAAAAATGTTTGAAAATTTATCATTGAATAATGCCTGCATTAATTATATATTATTTAATTTGGAGTAACATCTTTGGCTAATATTTGGGTTTGAATTCCAGAAACGTCGGAGGAAACATCAGGGATGGAATCACTGGTTTTTCAGGGTGAGTGTTCATACGAAAATAGATCCCATGCTCAAATATGCTGAAACTCTATTCTTATGTGGTTGATTCATCGCTTCCTTTTAGAATCGCACTGCCATTAATATCACTATTATTTCAATTTAAGATTAACGCAAAACGTGTTTTCTTACGATAATTTACGAGAAATTATATTTAAAAGTATAGCTAAGCAAAACGTTGTTTATTTACGTTCTACTAAACGCTTATGTATAATGTCTAATCATATTCCATTGCAGAACTGTCATGTCTAAACCAAGAGAGTTTGCTCATCTGATTAAAAACAAATTTGGAAGTGCTGATAATATAAATACTCTATCACGTAAGTAGCCAGTGTCAATAAACTTCTCTAGTGACTTATACATGATTCGAGCTGTGAAGCATAACATATTACAGTACCTGGTTAAAAACAATTTAAATTGGTTCAGATTAATAAGTGCAATTTATTCCATTTAAATATAGAAAATAAAGTCGTATAATATATAATTCTTAAACAGTATGACGCATACATTCTATTCTTGTTATTTTCATTTGTTTAAAAAAAAGTATAAAAATATATCATTAGATAAGAGAATATAAATATCTTTTAACATTTTTGCTGTCATGGCAGTTGAGAGTAGTAAGTAATGTGTTGTCGAAAGAGCGAGAGTTTCGTTACACTTTAATTATATGCTTCATGCACAGTATTTCTATTTTTTCGGCTCTGCTTTAAGTTTCTTATCTTCTTTACAAAGAAGCGATTAAATGATAACACATTGTTGTCCGTAAAGTGTGATATTAAAGATTAGTTTGCTTATATTATGTATTCTTTGCTTTCTTTCAACTTTGCTTATTAAATTTCTATTTCCTTTTTTGACACAGAACAATTATTTGGTATAATTTTGCCATATATGTTATGTTGCATAAATTTATTTAACATTATATTATTACGTAGCAGAGTATTACACATGATTTACACTGGCTTCTATAATTACACCTTTCTTTATTTACTGTCAGTTATCCAATACTCTCTTGTAATGATGCTAAAATACATAACCAGTTGTTTTACCATTATCATGATTTTTAAAAATGCATTTTACGCATTTTTGTGAAACGATTGTTTTTTGAAAATAAAAAAAGGAAGCCGGGCAACACTAAAATAAAGCAGGAATGAGAAATTAATCATTATTTGGGGAAACTGAATAACATGAAAAAAAAACTCGAAAAATAATATTACTTCAAAAGGCCAAGCTTTGGTATTGGATAACATTCTAACTTGCCACCTCTGTGTCTCTGCAGATGGCTCGACTTTTTATGTAAACGATACACCGCATGCAGGTAATGGTGATAACGCTAGCGTTGAGGAAGATAAAACTCACCATGGATCGGCTACGCTTCCGGGTGGATGCAGTCTGGGCTCTACCCAGAGCGCGGCGGCCATGAAGTTCCCGTCTGAGGAGGGATCCGAGTGTTCTAGCGTAACTAGCGAAAGCGGCCCCGGCAGTAGAGGACAGCCGCACACGTGTCACAGTAATAATGCAGCCTTGAGTCTCAAATCTATTTTTGCAGAACTACAGGAACACCGGGAGAACCTTGATCGAATGAGAGAAAAATTAGATAGTGTAAAGGTTTGTATGTATTCAACTTTGTCCAAACATACATCTGGTAAAAGAAAAGTATATTGAAAGAGAAAACAGCTTGCGAATAACTAATTTTTCGCAATTGCTCGGCTAATTTTCATCTTCTTGCTTAGACATTACAGCAGGAAGTGACATATCTTTCCCATTCCCTCCAAGAAGAACGTTTCAGATGCGAACGTTTGGAAGAGCAGATTAACGACTTGACGGAATTGCATCAGAACGAAGTGGAAAACTTGAAGCAGACTATTACGGATATGGAGGAGAAGGTGCAATATCAAAGCGAGGATAGACTACGAGATATACATGAGATGTTAGAGAGTTGTCAAACTAAGATATGTAAAATGGAACATCAGCAACAACAGCATCAGCAATATGTGACATTGGAGGGTTTGGACAATAGCAATGCGAGAGCGCTGGTTGTAAAATTGATAAATGTAGTATTGACAGTATTGCAAGTTATTTTGCTACTCGTTGCAACGGGTGCTGGTATCATGATGCCTTTTCTGAGAACTAGGTAAAATTATTGTTTAGATAATTTTTATTCTCTTTTACCTGTTTTGATATCACTTTTATTTTCTGTTGTAGAAACAATAGAATATTTAAACTCATGTGTTCTCTCTATTATCTACATTATCTTTCTATTACTCTGTATTAGATATCTCAGATAATATATTGCTATGCGATATACAAGTAGAAAAACTAAAATATAATTGTGAAATTAAGTAGTTTATGTCGTTTTTTTTTGGTCACTTGTTTTTTAAATCGTGTTATTTTTCTGTGTTTTATTCATCTTCACACTTAGTCATCTGAATTTATTTTGCACGTTCATTATTTTGTTTTGTTTTTGCATGTCTGTTACAGCTGTACTAAGCCTCATTGTTTCATGTGCAGGGTGCGTATATTAACGACGACATTCGTCGTACTGGGCATAGTGTTTGTGCTAAAGCAATGGCCTGAGGTACATGACGTCGGCAGCCACCTCATGCGCCATCTCAAGCAGACCCTCGCCATGAAGTAGCATTGTAAGTGAATGAAATTTTCACTTGGTGCTTAATTGCCGTTAACACGTAGAGATCACGTAGCGCGGTATATTTCATACGAAGAGAACAAAATATGAAAGTTCCTAGATAACTTGTCTCAGAGAAAGAGGGAAAGGGGAGGAGAGAGTGAGAAAAAAATATTTTATGTAAACAGTGTTTATTTTAGGGTGGAATACTTAAATTTAAATCAAACCCTGTGATGAAGCTGGGCTAGATTGGACACATTGATTGAAACCTTGCATCCATTTATCAGTGTTATAGCACATTGGAGCAATAATAGTATGTATACGCGTAAATAAGTTTATCTTGTATCTTGGGTTGTTTAAATTTATTATTATAAGATATATGTATTTTTGATACCGTTATTTAAATTGACGAAGCTACTTTGCTGTAGGAAAATACGTGATTTTCAAATTAATTTGTATTGTACAAACTTTTAATTAATTTCATTATTTATATCTCCTCGTTTTGCTTTTAACTTTATGTTCACGATCACGTGACATTAGCGATCTATTAGTGCTGAACAAATGACACTAGAGAAACCACTATATTAAGGCACGAAGAATTGTCGAAATACTACACAGTGACACTTGGCTTGGCTATGTGTGGCACATTATTACGAAGATTTAATTTCAATTAGCCGTATATCTCTGCGTTCGTTTCTTCGAGCGAATGTAAAAGTAGTGTAAAAGATATCGAGAGAAAAAAAAAAGAGCGTTAAGTGATGCACGCCATTGTCTTCAACCTCCACGGGATCGGTCCAGTTACAATTTGTCAATGTACAATCGATTTGTTTTAAATCCTCTTGGATGTATGTGTCGATAAGTCAAAAATTTGTAACATCCAAATCGTCCAAATGCTAAACAATAATGTAAATTAAGGCAGAGCTCTTATATCACTAGATAGATAGCTGCTGTCCAGCATTGTATAAAGTATGAGGTAGCGCTGTATATTTACTTGTTATTTGTAATATCCGATAAAGGTGTAAGTCCTCTAGGAAATGCAAGCTTTTTTTAATTGTTGTTGCATTGCATAAAATAGCTAGTATATAAATTGAGTCGCGCATGCAATGAAAGGGAAATGAAGAATTTCGCTGAAGGCTGCAGGAAACGTTTACTTTCAAGTTGGAAAATCGTTGGAAAATCGTGAATACCGAAATTTGAGTATAAATAAAAATGTCATACACACATACACACATAAATGTGCAATGCATGTGCTGCGCTACATCCGATATCAAAGGAGGACCAACCGTCTCTTTCCTCTTGTCCTTGTCGATACGATTTACATCGCGCACATTATATATATATATATAAATGACGTTAAAGTTATGATAATGAAGACGAGAGTGATTTTCATTAGTCCAGTGAGCGATCTAATCATAAAAAAATCATAAATTTGCATGTATATTATAACGAGCATAAAGAATTGATCCATGACAGTTAGTTGAAATGAGAGAAAGACTGAAGGACTACATTGCTGTATAACAATTATGTGTTTACTTTAACATTGGCGCTATAATTTTAAGTGTTTAGTATTGGAAATTGTAACATTTTAATACGACATCAATATGAGAGATAATACCAATTTGTGGAAAAGCGAAGTATTTGATACACGCGGTAAAAATAGAAAACGGGTTAAAATAAACAACAGCATTCAGAAACAAGATTTAGTATCTGCTTTGTGTTTCTTCTTTGTATCGTTATTCCATTTTGTAACCGAGCATAAATATGACTTACAATACCGGTCAAAAGTTTGGACGCATCTGTATACGGCTGTAATCCATAAAAAAGACAAAAATATATAATGTACAGAAAATTTATCGCGTGTAAAAACTATATTTGAACGTAATTTCAACTTTATTGAAACAGAAACACATAACAAAAATAAATATTTGTAGTCATCTAATTTTTAAATTTTGTCAGTCATAGCTTATTTTCATCATGTACCCTCCTCGGGTTTTTGTCACAGCAGCACAAATTTTTGGCATTCTTTTTATTAGTTTACGTATAGCGTTTCCGCTGGAATAGTTTCCCAAGCAATTTTTAGAGCCTCAAAAAGTGTAGAAGAAATCGCCTACTCTCTGACAAGCGTATGGCACGCGAAGAAGCTTTTCTTGGTTTTTGAGGTGTTTCTGGTACAATTTTGACATATTTAGGATCATTGTCCTGTTGAAACACGAAGCTTTTAACTACGAGGCGCTTTCTAGAAGGCACCGCATGACATATTATAATCTTATGATAGTCCTCTTTTTTTTTAATTTCATCGATTTTAATTATCCAGTAAACGGGAAGTAATTAAAATAGATTAAAATTTTTTAATTTATGAAGTCCAAACTTTAGATCGGTACTGTACATATAATATTCACTGTCTTGCAATACATATTTCTAGCTTTCACAGTCTGGATGTGTCTAATAAGCACTGTTGTTACTCAAAGCAATCGCAGCACGATATACATTAAAATTAAATAATTATTTGTACAAGGGAAAATTTTGTCTTACTTTAGAATCATTTTATCGTGCCGCTCTTTCGTCTTGCACAGAAATTTTAATGTTTATCCTTATTTCACGCTGTACGTGTTCACAACGGAGTAATAGTAACTTATAATTAACAGTTCGGTATCTGTGTCAGTTTAGAAACGTGTATAGCGAATAGAATAGCGCAAACTCCTATTCAGAATTTTATTTAAAAGCTGCCTGTAACTGTGTACAAAAGAGATAATTTAAGAGATAATTTATGTCTCGTTGTATCGAATATTTTATGTTGTTGACAATGTATGTTGTAAAAATTAATTTGTATTAATTTAGAAGCTTGCAATGTGAGGGATAAGAGTGTCTGGTAATTCAGCAATTGACCGCATGGAAATTGAAGGCGTGATAAGGTAATTTTATTGCAGAGAGATATTCAATTCATTCCTGATCTCAAAGCAAATGAAAATTTGACTGTATATTCGTCACACCAGTAAATATTCGTTTTTCTTTCTCGTTGTCAGTCGATTATAAATTTCATCAAATTTCAAATCATATTCCAGATTATCTGCATGGTATTACTTTAAGCAGTTTAATAATCGATATACCCCCCCACAAAAATGTTTTAATATTTTCAATATTGTTTTTCATGTTCCTGTGGTAAATATTACATTTCGGATAAATCGCTGTGATTATACTAGGTTTATGTATAAGCTTAATATTTAAGAAGCAGCTTTGGGATCAATATAAACACAACTGAAAAATACTGCAAAAAAAAAACGTATATGTTGTATATATAGAGATTTTTCTCGAAAACCATGCACCGTTCATTACAATGTGTAACATTCGAGGCAAATGAAAACGCATTGGTTTAACTGAATATCTCCGTTAATATCTTTTTTTTTGTTATATAAAATACATGTAACTAATCTAAGATGTAAGTCTATTTAGTATTATATAATCATAAGTAGCCAAAAATATATAGGGTGTTAAGAATACATTAATTAATGTACATAGCATTATGTTACATTTGTAAAAATCTTTATCGAGTGTGATAAACGTTTTAATTGTATTTCATTGGTTCTCCATTTATATGTCATAATTTCTCTAAAAAAGAAATATCTATAAAAATGGAAATGAATCCCTTTCCATTTGTATATCATTAGATAATACATGAAACACCCTGTATATTTATAATTTTAGATCATGGTGCTTTGTAATATACGTATTTAACACTACTAGGAAATTAGAGAATTTATTCACGCGATCGACCACCGATTTACTGTGGGCCCCTGCACGCTTACAAAATATCGCGCGATTATACGTACAGGAAGGAAGCTGGGTAATTAAAGTAGTGAATAGTGCTCCCCCCCCCCTCCCCCCCCCCACCAAATCGAAATTCTAAGGGATCGAGTTATTAAAACAACGACGAATGTATTTTGTACCTCATTGAGAACGTCGCATAAGTTTCCGTTTTTCTACTTAAAAAGCCGTTTACAATTTTATATGTATTTTGTATTTACGAGGCCACACGACGTGTCACATAAATGTGTATCGTATATAATTTTGCGGCGATCAATTGACGAGTCCTGTTAAAATAGTTTGTCGTTCAACCGTATGTAGCTTTAGGGGCCCCGTATGTAGATATAGCGGTAGGCAAACAGAATTATTAAATAAATTATGTCATCGATGCCTTGCGTAGGTAGTTAATGTCAAATTATAGAGATAAATATTCGTTGTCAATTGTAGAACGGTATAGGCGAAGCCAGCAGCAGTGTTATTGTAAAAGTTGTTATCACGTACACTCTCCATTGTACATATATAACAGCTGCGTTCAACTGGTATTCAAGGTAATAAAAGGAATATTAAAAAAAAAAGAAAGAAAACTGAACGTAAATTTATATATTCATCTTTCGATACGCCGATACTTTTTACGACGCGCATTGTTAACGACAGTGTTTTATTGCTGCTGGTAGAGTCAACGTACCGAGGTACGTAAATGAGCAGCCTCTTCGGCAACATTATTTCGTACTGTCAAAATAAAGCGAATTTTCACAGTAAACTCAAATTATATTCAATTCCTACTTGACCTAATTGAATGAATTTTTTCTCCTCGAAGGTGATCTTAGAGAAACGAGAGAAATTCAATAATTTCCAGAATACGTACGGGAACGTGCGACCATAACTGAAAACACACGTCGGTGTAAAGCTTTTTATATTTTCTTTCAATTTCTCTTCATTAATAATAATATTACATTCAATCTTACAAATATAATATAGCTTCAGTTATTTTATAATATATCACAATTTCTACTTTGTATAGTGCAGAAAGCCGATTTATATTTACCGAGACGGTAGCTGTATAAAAATATACAATTGTTCATGATGATTACATTTACTCTCTTGGATTATCTTTTGAGGATTCAGAAAATGTTTGATTACAAAAGCATTGTCATAATTGTATATTAGCGTTTCGTCGTAAGAGCGCATCAGCCTTCGGTTCGTATTAAATATTATTTTACTATTAAATAATGCTAAATATAGATATAGTAGAGCAAATACTAATGTTTACTGTACTATATCTATAAGAAAATATCTTGCTTCCCTTACAACAATGTTAACGTTCATTTTTTTATGACAGGTAAAAGATTCAGGAATATATAAAAGATGTAATAAACTAAGAGAAATTCCTAATGCGCAAATGTGTTGTATACTTGTGAACGAAATAAGAAAAATCATACATTTTACACATTAATACAATCTTAAAAATATTCGTTAATGCATTTTTTATACTATCTAATATTTTGTTAAAACTTAATTGTTCGAAACATAAAATCAAGTGAACGAGTTATTATTAACAATTATCTGAAGTCCATTGTTCGATAAGAATGCTCCTGATTTTATATCCTGTAAAAACGCAATTTTATATATATATATATATATATATTTATATATAAAACCTGTAAAATCTTTACATCCATCTTTCGAAAAACATAAAATATATTTTTGAGTATAAAACTAAAATATCAATATTTAAATGTCATAAATTTGCTATAATTTTTCCAAAATTAAACAACGGGCATTCATTTGTTCACACATGATCTTCCTAGAGTTTAATCATTTTATCTGTTAAACAAATAATTGAGATAGATTTTTAATGTTTCAGAAAGCAATAGACATTGGATATAAAAGATTTGTATTTACAGGCTCTGGAATTACAGTATGATGCCACGAAAAAAAAATAAAAGAGATGGTATCGTTGAATATACAAAGGCATGCTGCATTTCAATATAATTCAATATAACTTTCAATCTTCATTTACCACAAAAACTACGCTGTAAAAATATCTTTATATAAAGTTTTTGAAAATGTACATTGAGACAGAATACACTATGGTGATGAAAGCAGTTCAATGAAATTTGTTCTAACAAATGCGAATGAAATTTCTTTAGCACCCAAACTGCGCGCCGGAACGCAGTTCGCCAGGATTCGTACGTCATTGCCACTGATTACCACTCGTAACTTCAATCTGCAATTTGGATCCCTTCGTGCGACTCTCTGACTATGATGTCGGACGAGAGGATGATCTTGACCTCGGCGTCCTCGTTGTGCGGCACAGACACCGCATCCTTTTGCGCGGTGCTCGCGGTGACGTGATGCTTCTTTCTGTGAGACATCATGGTCGATCGGGACACGAAGGCCTTGCCGCACTCGTCGCACTCGTACGGCCGCTCACCGGTGTGCAGGCGCTTGTGAATCGCCATCGGGCTGAACTGCGTGAACGTTTTGCCGCAGACGTCGCATCTGTACGGGCGCTCGCCCGTGTGCGAGCGTCGATGGCAGCGCAGCGCCGCGCGTCGCGCGAACACCTTGCCGCATATCTCGCATTTGAAGCTCTTCTCGCCGGTGTGCATGGTCGAGTGGATCCTGAGGTCGACCCGCGTGAGGAAACCCTTGCCGCAGACCTCGCACAGATACGGCTTCTCGCCCGTGTGTATGCGCAAGTGCGTGTTCAGGTAGCTCTTGCTGACGAACATCTTGTTGCAGACCGCGCACGGGTACTGGCGATTGTCGGTGCCGGAGTGTATCTTCTGGTGGCTCTTGCAGAGGCCCTTGGTGATGAAGCCGCGGCCGCAGATCTCGCACATGTACGGCTTCACGCCGAGGTGACGGTTCTCGTGGTCCAGCAGCGACTGCTTCGTCTTGAAGTTCTGACTGCACTTGGTGCACGAGTACGGCTTCAGGTCCGAGTGCACCCTCTGGTGCACAATGAGATAGCTCTTGCACTGGAATCCCTTGCCGCACGTGGAGCAGTTGTAGTCGAACTGGCCCGTGTGCGTGGCCATGTGCTGCGCGAGGCCGATCTTGCTGCGAAACGCCTTCTCGCAGGTCGTGCACTGAAACGGCTTCTCGCCCGTGTGCTTGCGCATGTGCTCCTGCAGCTTGTAATTCGACTTGTACTGCTTGCCGCATTCCGTGCACACCTTCGCGGTCCACTTCCGTCGCGCCGTCGACTGTTTCTTCGGCCCCTCCTGATTGTCATTGCTCTCTTGCGACGACACCACTGCGTTCAACTGCACGTCCTTCTTCTCCTTATCGACTACCACCTCAGTTTTATATACATCGCACTGCTCCTTATGTAGATTTAATACCTCGACATTGGTAAAATATAGGCCGCAGGAACAGCAGCAGAAGTGCTGCTCGAAATGCGCGGCTAGATTGGCCGTCTCCAATGCTGCTTCGTTGCAAAACGGGCACACGTACCAGTGCGAACCGGTCTCGTCTATAGTAGGATTGCTAAGCGTAGATTCCAATAACGCGTTCTTCGTTCTCTTCGTGTATTTAACCATTATTTCGCAAGGTACGCCATTTATCTGACTCGTGGATGGTAAATTCACGGAGTCCACGTGTTCGTGAGTTCCATTTTCGTTCATGCATGATTCCTCTATTTCACTTTCCGTTTCACCTTGGGGGGAGACGAAATTATCTACTGATACCTGAATTACAGAAAACCAGAATAGACATAAAATAAGATTGCATTACGCAATTGTATTAAATAATTTTTATTTTTATGCCTATTGCATTTACTTCTGATTTTCAACAGTAAAATAGTAATTTTTCCTTACAGAAAATTGTTCGTTATTTTAAAACAACATAAGTACTTACATCATTTTTTAGTACGTGCTGCGGCTCTTCCGTGGTTAATCTGTCTTGCAATCTGTGGTATTCCTGTTTTATCGGATCCGTCTCGTATTTTACATTTTCACAGTAATGCACAATCTGCTCTTGGCTCTGATCCTCAGGATTGATAGAAGTAACATAATTTATCCCTAATTGACTCAAGTGGCCATCCAGGTTTCCCACTACAGTCATATCGCTATCCAAGTGCATTGTGATCTGATGATTTGAAACCTGAAAAGAAACAAATTCAGAGTATAAATTAAAACTGGTATAAAAAAAACAGAATCATTTTAAATTATTTTCAATTCGACAAACTACGACAAATAAACGATCTCGCTTGCGCTAGATTTACGTAGTCAGACGCATCACATTAATTTATATAAAGTTATGATCAACTTATAAGCGATCTGTCCGATTCGCATAAATAAGGATTTACAAAATAGATATCGACTGGTTAATTACTTCTCGCATGTGTTCATCGACCATCCTCACGGTATCACCGTCTAGACAGTCAATGCCTTGTATATCTGCGTCCTGTTGACCCATCTCTTCCTGAGTAACCACTTGTTCGCCACCGGCCAGGTCCATCTCGTCCATCACTTGCATCGTATGCATGGTGGATTCCGCGGCCTCGTGAGCCGAATGGCTTTGTACGTTGTCGTTATTAATCTGTATGCTATTCAGGTTCCTCGGAATTGTGCCCATGTCACTCACGCTTGCCAGATCGTGCTCGGTTATGTGCACGATCTCGTCCTTGACAATCTCCTTCAGCATCTCCATGAACATCCTTTCCGTGTGTAGACATTTCTCACGGAAATCAAACAACTGATCCAGCTTGTACGCGCAATCTTGGCAGACCACTTTGGGCAGTTGATCTGTCAACGACACCTGAAATTTAAAAACCATAATATAATATATTGCCCCAACAAACCATGGATTGTCTAGCAGAAACTAGCGCAGAAGATATTAGCATTCTTTATTGCTTTCGTTCGGAATAAAAAAATTAAGTCTAATAAAATAGCGCAATAAAAAGCATAATAATATAAAAATATGAGCTAAGCAGAATATTTTGTAAGTATATTTCTAAAGATATCCATATATAAACTATTCATTGATCCTAATTAACTCCTCTCTTATACAGCTATATTATAAATTTAAATTTATCAAATCAATTGAAATCTAAGTCGCGCCGCGACGTTAGCCGGACGAAAGAAAGCGCACGCCTCCGATCCGAGGAAGAGAACGAGCGATCGCTATAGGCGGACGGGAGAGAGGACGCGTGTCCCTCCGGTCACGGTCCGAGGGCATTCCAAAAATCAGGACGGAAAATTAATCCGACGCTGTCGGGCACGAAGGCCGCGAAGAGCCGCGCTCGCTCGCTGCGCCCTTACCTGCACCGGCAGGCAGGCCGCTATCTTCTTGTCGATGTTGCGCATCTGATCGCCGGCCTCGAATATCGGCAGGCCCATCAGGATGCCTGTCTTGGTCGCGCACAGGCGGCACAGGTAATCGAACTCCTCGACGACGGCCATGTCGACGGGGACCGAGGTGCCTCCTCTCGTCCCGTCGTGCTCTCCACCTTCCAACGCGAGTCACCGACGACGACGGACGATCGGGATGAATCTGAGAGAGACGGGGGGAGGAAGGGCGGGTGGGAGGAACGGAGGGAGAGGCAGAAGGGAGATGTCCTCTCGTTTCCCAGAGAACGCGGCGGCGATCGCGATTCGATGGTTCCGCGAACGCGCATCCCTTCACGGCGACGTGCCGCGAAGTGTCGCACCAGAGCGCGTCGCTCCGCGAACCCGAGCCAGTTCGCGCCGTATCATTTGAGAGAGAGGACCCCTCGTCCCGTGTGCTCTCGCGGAGAGTCGGGAGGTCCGCCGTCCAGGGCGGCAGGAGTCCACGCTACTCCAAACAGTCCAAACTCCCCTTCCCGAAAAGGTTGGAGACCCACTACTACAGCGCTACGCTCATCACACTCCAAGTCACAGTCACAACACACACATACCAGGCACAGCGTCGCCTCCCCGCGGAGGTTAAACGGGGCACGGTCCACGGAGCGAATTAAAATCGGTCACGTGACCTCCGGACCACGGAAACTACGGGAAGTCGCGGCAAATTCGAATCGCGCGCCGCGGACACGCCGCACCATGGCTAGGGCCATTCATGACGCCTGTACCAACTTGCCAACGCTAAATAATTAAACTTTTCTCAGTTGGTAGCAAGGAAGTTCGTGACTCGCCAGTCGCCACTCTGACTCGGTGTATGTACTTCCGTCCATGGTGGCTTCCGTCTACCGTTTTCGTAGTCATGTGTGGCGCTTGTGGCGGGAGGTTCGGCCAGGTTCGGCCGCGGGAACCCGCACTCCGCAGATCGGATTCTGTGCTTCCGTGGCATTCGCGAGTTTCGTTTCGCGAAGTCGCGACGTTTGTAGACGATGGCAGACATTCACGAACGATCGCGGCAAATACATCGAGGTCGCCGAGTCGCATGTGTGTGTGGGCCCTTTTCGCTCTGCATGTCCATCGACGATGATTCGAAGAAGGACCGTCGTCTCTCTTGTTCTCTGCCATTCCTGCCAAGGAAGTTCGGCGTTCGGGCGTGCGAGAGATCGTGGTCCCGTTGTCCCTTTCGAAGCCTGACTTCTCTCGCTATGAGGTAGGTGTTCCGTTTATTATAATTATATTGGATTTTAAGTCTTAATTCGATTTGACGAGAATCTACAGCCCGATAGGGTAACTAAAATAATACGTACGAGGATGATTTTCGTAGATCAATCTCTTGTGCTTTTCGTTAACGTCGGCGAGCATACATTATCACGTTAATTTGGAATTGTTAAATTAAATTATGGAATTTTCATCCGATTTCTTATTAGTAACTTATTTTTCATCGTGATTGCTCGGGTAGTAAACAAACGATCACGCGCGTACCGTGGTATGTACAGTCAAGGACACATCGGTTGCGACACTTTCTTTTTTATAGGTTTCAAAACGGACTAATATTTTGCAAATGCGGACCACGATTGGTGTTATCTCTAGACTAAAGATGGTACATCGTGGTTCGCATTTACAAAATATTAGTTATCTATAAACTATATATTATGTATATTAAATATATATTAGAAACCTATAAAAAAAAGTGTCGCAACCGATGTGTTCACGACTGTACATAAGTGATACGTACGAGAATGATTTTCATAGATTAATATCGTGTGCTTTTCGTTAATGTCGGTGAACGTGCATTTATCACATTAATTCGGAATCGTTAAATTAAATAATGGAATCTTCATCCGATTTCTTATTAGTAACTTATTTTTCGTCGTGATTGCTCGGGTAGTAAACAAACGATCACGCGACCTTGGTACATACCACAGTACGTGCGCGTGATCGTTTGTTTACTACCCGAGCAATCACGATGAAAAATAAGTTACTAATAAGAAATCGGATGAAGATTCTATAATTTAATTTAACGATTCCGAATTAACGTGATAATGTATGCTCACCGACGTTAACGAAAAGCACACGAGATTAATCTACGAAAATCATTCTCGTATAATCATTTTCATAAAGTAGATTGATCTCGTGTGCTTTTTAACATCGGCGAGCATACGTAATCACGTTAATTCGGAATCGTTAAATTAAATTATGGACAAAGTCTTTGTCCGATTTTTTTATTAATTACATATTTTTCATCGTGATTGTTTGGATAGTAAAGAAACGGTTACGCGCGCGTATGATACGAGGATGATTTTTGTAAATAAGGACTGGACAATATAAGGTGACTCTTTTCTGTTACAGCGGACTTCTATTTCTGATAATAATTTCAGAGAGTGCACAACTCAAAGATTCTTTTTCCCATCCTGAGGAAAATGAGACTTACAGAGCTTACAGTAATGTTACGCTCAATTACGAGGACGAAAGTTTTGAGTCTTCGCCTCTCGTTCGAGGTTTCGCTATTGTGCTAAATAATGGCAAGGCTGCATTTCTCTATATGTTGCAAAATGGCATGAGTAAGTACCAAGAGGTTGCTTCTACATTTAAGAATCGATTTTTGAAAAGTTTTAGTTAGAAATAGTGTTAGAAATTCTTATTAAACGAAATTGCTATTATTTTAGAAGCCGGCGGCATCAAGCTAACGAAGAATACAAATGATGGATATTAGCAGACTGCATACATCCCGCTTGCAAGATGAGCGCCATGCTGACGTCGATTCGCACGAAGACCGCTGGCAGTCATCCTCATCCTGAGAGTCTCCTGCTGAACGTCTCCAGGCGTCTTCTCATTGTACAACGTGAGCATTCTCCAGACACTTCGGAGGTACTTTTCACGTTCGGCGTGCCGACGGTGTTAGCGTCTTACGTCGAGAACTTTTTTTCTTTAATGGCACCTAGCTACTCCCGATCGGGGGTAATCCGGCCAAAAATTTACGTCGAGAACGTTTAGACCGTCGCGCTCGAAAAGGGACAAATCGCATTTGACCTCTCTGTCCGTTCTGCGTGGCTCATGGCATGCGAGTTTGGTTACCGCTAATTCCGTAATCATCAGGATTACTGACTCTTATTCACATCACTTGCCAAATTATATTTAAGAATATTTATGTAGTATCATTTCTTTTGGGGCGTACGATCCAAACGCCCCGTTAAAGATTCTTTTTGTAGAGCCATAGATGAATTTTGCTGGGTCAGCAAAGAATTAATTATTTTATTATTTACCTCACTTAAATAATTTTCAAGGGTTGACGGTTTGTCTCTGCTAAAATTAGGGATAGAGAAATTATAGAGCCTATATATTTGATTGAAAGTCATGACTGTTAATGACTGTTATTTACATTCACATTGCTTGCCAAATTACTGAGGGTTGTTGAAGTTTGAAAATTAGGTTGCATTTTCTAGATAAACATATATATATATACAAAGAAAATAATATTTTAAATGGCATTTACATGATAAAGAATCACATTTTTTATCATACATTAAATCAAAACATATTGATATCTCGATTAATTTTGCAATTAAGAAAAATTCTTTGGCACAAAATTCTAGCTTCCAAAGTACTATGTGCAAAATTAAAAAAATTTCTCAGAAATTTTTGTAATTTTATATATATATATAAAATATTAATTTCTTTTTGGAAACAATTTTCTTGTTTACATATGATATGAACGGTCATATTATTAAGTATAATAAAATGATTTTGTAAAAATTCCAGTTTGCTACGTTTTAGCGATGTGAGTTCATAGATATTATGACATCTTTGTAAGTGATTTGCTATCCTTTGCAAATTACATTTAATGGGAAAGTGTCTAGTACAGTTAACACATTTTTTAGAAATTGCCTTACGTTTTTCATTTCGTTGTATTTCTAAGTATTTTTTCGCCCATTCGTTTGTCATATTGTATATGCACTTTCCAATTTTGAAATGTCTATAACAAAATTAGAAAAGGTATATATATAAAAAAGCAATATATATATATAGAATGTGTATATGATGCAAGTAGACACTTGCAGAAAGGAATGAATCCCGAATCTTCCAGATTGCCCCCAAACAACAATCATTTTGGCAATGAATTATTTATTTATTGTGTTCATTAGTTGTCATTTGATTGAACGTCATAACTGTTAATGACTGTTATTTACATCACTTGTCAAATTACTAAGAGTTGTTGTTGTTAAAGTTTGAAAATTAGGTTGAATTTTCCAGTTGGTTAAACATTTTTGGTTTGGATGACTCCTCGCTGATATCTATTTTGTCTGAATTTAATCTGTAACAAAAATTAACATTCGTTCATTAGTTGTTATTAGTTTTTTGTGTTTTTTGTCATTTGATTGAAAGTCATGACTGTTAATGACTATTATTCACATCACTTGCCAAATTACTAAGAGTTGTTGTTAAAGTTTGAAAATTAGGTTGAATTTTCCAGTTGGTTAAACATTTTTGGTTTGGATGACTTCTCGCTGATATCTATTTTGTCTGAATTTAATCTGTAACAAAAATTAACATTCGTTCATTAGTTGTTATTAGTTTTTTGTGTTTTTTGTCATTTGATTGAAAGTCATGACTGTTAATGACTATTATTCACATCACTTGCCAAATTACTAAGAGTTGTTGTTAAAGTTTGAAAATTAGGTTGAATTTTCCAGTTGGTTAAACATTTTTCATCAATTATATATATGATATTTGGATTTCTCTGACTCTCATTTTAAATATGCTCTGTAAAATCATTTAGGAATTAATTGGTTTAATGCAAATTTTTTATTAACCGTAAATTACATTTAAGAATATACTTACGTTAAATCTTTTCTTTGGCGTGCAATTCAGACGCTACTGAGTTTTTTCTTACTTTCGAAATCAAAAACTGGTTTACTTACAAGAGCCGTACGGCGTTTTCCATTTCTTCAAATGTTACTTCATGCTGCAGAAGACGCTTATGACGGTCCAAAATATGCTGATAAATCAGCTCGTAGTTGATTTTTTTGACTCTATTCCATCGAGGTCGCATAGATTTTGGACAGCCTTGTTCACATTTTATACGAAAAGTTTTATCAGCATTTTGCGTTATAGATATAAATTTTTTTATTTCTAAACTATATATATATCTATAGTAGTTATTTGGCGTTTGGGGGAGGGGGGTTCTTTCCTTCTGGATGGTTTTCTCCTGGTTCATTTT